AGGAAGAAATAAAAGTGTTTGGAAAAGGGAGTCAAGAAGTCACATTATCCTTGTCATTCACTGGTGCATGGTGATCGCCAGATGCCCGTGCCACGCTCTTGGACTTCCTGACTCCAGAAGTGTGAGTCAGATACTTTCTGTTCACTGTAAATCACTCAGTCTCGGGTATTCTGTTACAGCAGCAGGACTGGACAGACAGATGTTCAGAGAAACGAGTAAATATAGACACCTGAGGCAGGAGATAAACACCTAATTCAGAAAAGAGGGTCCAAAATGAAAAACTAAGCATCTATCTTAAGTAACTGAAAGAAAACAGTAATTTTTTAAAAAAGCAGATGGGAAAGAAGAAAAGGAAGAAGTGATGGAGAAAGACTGGCAATGACCCTTAAAAAAAAAAAAAAAGAGTACAATGAAGACTAGACACTTGGCCAGGCTGGCCCAGAAAAGGTAAGCAGAATGTGTATTAGCTAGAATTTTCCAGAGACCAGCATGGGAGGATAGGAGAGGATTTATCAGGGAACTGGGGCAGCCAGTGGTGGCCAAGAAATCCCACAGCCAGTGTCTGCAGCTGGAGTGCCTATGCCAGCGGTGAGCTCAGGAAGGAGGCCACTGTGTACCCCTTGGACGGGAGCAGAGGCCACTGGTGTACCCTCAGACAGGTGCAGAGAACCTGTGTGTCAGAACTTCATGTCTGGGTAGGGTGAACTCTCTGGGCAAGGTACCCCTTTCTTGATTCTTTTTTGCCAGTCTTGGGGCTTGTGAACTCAGGGCTTGGGCACTGTCCCTGAGCTTCTTTTGCTCAAGGCTAGCACTCTACTACTTGAGCCACTAAAGCATACACTCTACTACTTGAGTGTATGTGGTACTGAAGAATCCAACCCAGGGCTTCATGCATGTGAGCAAGCACTCTACCACTAAGTCGCAACTAACAGCCATTTCTTGATTCTCAGAGGACCACCCTGTATAGCTCCAGACTTCCATGCATTCACCCACATTTTGCGGGTCTTTCTTGCCCACTGGGCTCCCTCTTCACAAGCTAATCTCCCAAAATACGCTCTCAGACACACCCTAAAGGTTTCCTAACTTATACCTTTTCTTCTTATATTTTTTCCCCCTTACTTGTCCTCCTCTTCCTCCCCCCTCTGATACTGGCGATTGAGTCCAGAACCTCCTGCATGCTGGGAAGTCATGTGGAGCCACACCTCAAGCCTTTTGCTTTTAAGTCAGGGTCTTCCCTTTTCACCTGGGGCTGGCTTTGGCTACTGATCTCCCCCACCCCCTCTGGGTAGCTGAGATTATAGACCTGCAACACCATATCAGGTTTAGGTGTTCCTGAATAAAGTGGGCATCTCACACTTCCCATCCTTAAAGCACAAACTACATGGCTTCAGCCCCCTCACCCCCACAATTAGAGAATACTGACAAGAACACATTTTTTAAAAAGCTTAATCGTTTATTAACTACTTTCAAGTTGAATCGATAATTTAAAAAACGTGTCCATTATAAAGGCTTCAGCAGTGACTTACCAAGTAGTTAAAGAAGTGTAATTCCAATCTTTGAAAACTCTTCAAGAGTAAGAAGTATGGGAAATTTTCCCAAATTGCTTTGAGGCAAAGCCATCATGAAAGCCAGTTTTACTCATGAGCATAAATATAAAAAACGGTAAAGCTTTTAGTATATAGCAATACTAGTCTGGCCATGCTGGGCTTACTCCAGGCCCGAGATCTGTTCTGTCAGCTCAGATATGACCACAGCAGCAGGGCTCCTGGAGGCAGGGATGTGTCTGGTTTATTCAAATCAGGGTAGAGCTCCTTGTGGCTGGAGGCTAAGCAGATCCCCGGCTTCCACTGCAATATGGGCGAACCTGGCTGGAGGTAGATGGGTGAAAGTGCCTGGGTCTGACTGTTTAGAGACAGAGGGCTGCTAAGGGATGGTGAATGCTAAGCAAGAAGGGCTCCTAGATACTACTCAGTAATAAAAAGGGGTGAGCTATGAACCAACACAGATGATCTTTAAAACAACTGTGCTTCACCTTCCCCCAGCATATGTGCTACAGGATTTCATGCACACAAATACTTTTGTGCCATGTGTTTTCTGTACTGGGAGGAAGCAGGTGAGTGCCTGGGGAAGGGGGGAGGCAGGTCGACTTGTGGGTGGAGTATTTCAGGGGGTTGGAGTCAGTGTACACAGGTGTCAGTACAGTCAAACCAAACACTTTGGCTAGTTTGCAGAAAGTCGATTCCAGTGCAGTGCACTCTCTAGGCACTGGTGGAGGAAGTGCGTGCACTTACACCTCTTCCCACCCAACCGCTCAGGAGCCAGCGTGGGGTACAGTAAGTCACTTGCCCTGTTCTGGTTCAATCAGAGCCACGATGAGCACAGGAGAGCCTGACACTCGGGAGCTGTGTGTTAAGATTCCATCTTTGGGAGCCCTCTCACGTTGCTGTCGGTCCTGGGGCTTGAACCCTGGGCCTGGGCGCTGTCCCTCAGCTCTTCAGCTCAAGGCGAGCGCTCTACCACTTGAGCCACAGCACCACTTCAGGTTTTCTAGTGGTTAACTGGAGATGGGAGTCTCACGGTCTTTCCTGCCCGGGCTGGCTTTTGAACTGTGACCCTCAGATCTCAGCCTCCTGAGTAGCTAGGATTACAGGCGTGAGCCACCAGCGCCGGGCTCCTTCTCACATTTTGTATTATTCCTACTTAGTCGCTAAAGGTGAGTTCTAAATGGGAGTTCTTTGAGCGTTCCTATCTGTCCACACACAGGCCTGGGTTTAGGCTCTGACAGGCTCACGGCCACGCTGCCTTCTCTCTGGTTGTTGTCAGCAGGCCGTCAGGCCCGTGACTCCAGAATGACTCATGACCAAGTCTCGTACAGCCAAATGAAGCCACCTGCTCAGAAGCACCACAAGTTACTTCCTTTGCTTTGGTTCTGAGGCACTCACCATTGGTGGGACACTAGGGTATGAGGGCAGGAGTACACCAAGGGCCTCGAGTGAGGAGGGGAAATGCTGAAACAGAGTCCCGGTTCTGCCAGCAGGAGGCTGTAGGTGGGAAGATGACGGGTGATGACACTGTCCTATCTAGCCAGGGAGAATGTCTCTGAAGGGTATGAAAATCCTGCTTTGGGTGCAACCGTGTTTTCAACCAGGTTCCAAGAATGGCCCACCCTACTCTGCTGAGGCCTTGCTTTTCCTTTTGCATTAGACATGTCTTCCACACAGGGAAAACATCCCAGACATCTAAGGGCATCCTAGACATCTGGGGAAGGGATGATACGGAGACACAGCCTTCCTCTGAGGAATCTTCCAGATAACTGCAGTACACACCAAGCAGCGCGCAGCGTAGCCTGAAGGCACTCACCCAGACAAGGTCGGTCTGATTTTGTGTATCTGTGAGCTCTAACCTATTATGCCCTTCGGCTTAAATTAGGAAGCCTGGGGTTCAACCTTTATCTCACCTTCTATTATTATACAAGGCTTACTGAGTTAGCTCACTTTGGTAAGCTACCGGTCTTCAGCACTTAGGTTCTGTCTTCAGTTTCCTACTTTCTTTCTCCATTGTGATCTTATTCATTTTTGATAGGCTGTTTTATAAAAATTTCTGGAATCCTCAGGAACAAAATAGGATAATTCAACCATTCTCTCTCTCTCTCTCACACACTCCAAATCAATTCCCATGTCCCCAAATTTTTGTTTTCAACTTACTTTCTCAGCCTTACAGGCTACTTTAGCCCTAATTCTTATGGACCTAACCTAGGACAGGGTTCCTCACGCAATGGCTGGTAAGGGCTTTTGCTTCTGCCTATCAGGAGCTGGACCTCAGGGCCTGGGCACCGTCCCTGAGCCCTTCTGTGGCTCCGGTCCCGCGCGGAACACAAACCCAGCGGCACTGACCAGTTCCTTCTAGGGCCTGTCACAAGGGCTCAAGGGGCCGGGTTCAGGTTCATTTCTGGAACTGGGCGACCACAGGGCCACGCACATGGGGGACAAAGCTCCGGACCACGCCGTGGCCCTTCCTCTGCTGCCCTCTGACCTGGCTGGCACTCGGAGGGTTCAAAGTGCAGGAGCTTCTAGCCTTGGTCTTCACTCAGCTCTGGGGTCGTCCTTCGGGTGCCCGGTCCAAGCACGCGCGTCCTGGCCTGGGGGGGGGCGGGCTGCGGGGCCCGGCCTGGGGGTGGGGTGCTGCGGGGCCCGGCCTGCGGGGGGATGGGGAGGCGGGCTGCGGGGGGCCGGCCTGGGGGGGGGTGCTGCGGGACGGTGGTGGGGGAGGTGGAGGGCTGCGGGGCCCGGCCTGGGGGGGTTGCTGCGGGCCGGGGGGGGGGGGCGGGCTGCGGGGTCCCAGCCTGGAGGGAACTGCGGAGCCCGGCCTGCGGGGCCCGGCCTGGGGGGGGGGGGGGATGCTGCGGGGCCCGGCCTGGGGGAAACTGCGGAGCCCGGCCTGCAGGGCGGGGGCTGCGGGGCCCGGCCTGGGGGGGGGGGGGATGGCTGCGGGGCCCGGCCTGGGGGGGCGGATGCTGCGGGGCCCGGCCTGCGGGGGGGAGGCAGGCTGCGGGGCCCAGCCTGGCGGGCGGGCGGGCGGGCGGCGTGCGGCCTGCTCGGCGGCTGCGGGGCCCGGGCTGCCGGCGGGGTCGGGCCCCAGGTCGGCCTCCGGGAGGCCGCGGCGAGCGGTCCCCGCCGGCCCGCGCCCCTCGGCCGCACGCAGCCCGGCCCGGCGTAGCCCCGGATGGCGGTCCGCGCCGCCGCCGCCGCGGCCGGGCCAGGTGACGCCGCCGCCCGCCGGGCCGCGCATGCGCGCCGCGCCGCCCCCGCCCCCACCCCGCGCCCAACGCCCCCGCCGCGGCCCGCGGGCCATGGAACCCGCCGAGGCCGGCGCGGTCCGAGCGCTGCCGCCCGCACGTCCGGGCGCCGCCGCCCCGTGAGCCGGGCGGGCCGGGTCCGGCCGCCGCCGCCGCCGCCCGCCCCGCCGGTGCCGCGCGTGCGCGCCGGCCGCCCGCCGAGGGAGAGCGCGAGTGAGGGGTGGGCCGCCGAGACGATGCCGCGGGGCCGCCCCCCGAAGCCCCGGGACGGCGCGGCGCGCGGCGACTCCGGTAAGGCCCGCGGCGGCCGCCGAGTCCCCGGATGGGCGCGGGGGGCGCCGGGAGAGGCGCGGAGGGCGGGCGGGCGGCGGCGACTGGCCGGGCGGGCGCAGCGCGGGCGGACGGATACGGGCGCCGCGGCCGGGCCCCTCCGCGCTGGGCCTACTTTCCGGGCCGCGGCGGCGCGGGCGCGGCGGGGGCGGCGGCGGCGGGGGGAGGAGGGAGGGCGGCGGCCTCCTCTCCTCCTCCTCCTCCCCTGCCCCCTCCTCCTCCTCCTCTCTGTCCTCCTCGGCCCCGGTCTCCTCCCCTCCTCAGGCCGCCCGGCCGCGCCCCCTCCCCGGCCGCGGACCCCGGAAGCGGCGGGCGGCGGCCCCGGGACCCCCGGCGCAGGCCCGTGGGGACGCGGGCGGGCGTGGCCCCGCGCGGGGGCCCCCACGCGCGAGGAGGCCCGCGGCGGAGGGCGGAGGGCGGCCGCGTCCGGAGCCGAGCCGGGGCGCCGGGGGCGCGGGGCGCGGACGGGCGCCGGCTTCGGAGCGGGAGCCCGGCGACGCCCGGCGCGGCGGGGGGACGTCCTGAGCGGGGCCCGGACGGGATCGCGGTGGTGGCGCCGCCGGAGAGCGCGCGGGCGCCTTCCCGCCGGCCCCGCGCCCCGGGCGCGCTTCCCCGAGCCCGACGCGGCCGTCCCGGGACGGCCTGCGGGCAGCGGGGCGCGGGGCGGCCCTCCGCCGTCCCGTACCGCGCGGGCTGCGGCCGGAGTCCCCCGGCTGCCTCCGGTGTCCCCCCCGCCTCGGCCGGGACCTTGTGCCCGGCGTCGCTGGCTGGGCCGTTCACCCTCGCCCTCGCGGCTGGCACTTCTGCCGGCCGGCCGGCCTGTTTCCTGCTTGTCTGTCTGTCTGTCTGCTTGTCTGCCTGCCTGCCTGTCTGTCTGTCTGCTTGTCTGCCTGTTTGTCTGCCTGCCTACCTGTCTGTCTGCCTGCCTGCCTGCCTGCCTGCCGGTCTGCCTGCCTGCATGCCTGCCTGCCTGCCTGCCTGTCTGTCTGTCGCTGTCTGTCTGTCTGCCTACCTGTCGGCCAGCCTGCCTGTCTGCCTATCTGCGTGCCTGTCTGTCTGCCTGCCTGCCTGCCTGCCTGCCTGTCTGCCTGCCTGCCTGCCTGCCTTCCTGCCTGCCTGTCTGCCTGCTTGCCTGCCTGTCTGTCTGTCTCTGTCTGTCTGTCTGCCTGCCTGTCTGCCCGCCTGTCTGCCAGCCTGTCTGCGTGCCTGTCTGTCTGCCTGCCTGTCTGTCTGTCTGTCTGCCTACCTACCTGTCGGCCGGCCGGCCTGCCTGTCTGTCTGCCTGTCTGCCTGCCTGCCTGTCTGCCTGCCTGCCTGCCTGCCTGCCTGCCTGTCTGTCTGCCTGCCTGCCTGCCTGCCTGCATGCATGCATGTCTGTCTGTCTGTCTGTCTTCCTGCCTGCCTGTCTGCCTGTCTGTCTGTCTGTCTTCCTGTCTGCCTGTCTACCTGCCTGCCTGCCTGCCTGCCTGCCTGCCTGCCTGCCTGCCTTCCTGCCTGCCTGCCTCTGCCTGCCTGTCTTCCTGTCTGTCTGTCTGCCTGCCTGCCTGTCTGTTTGTCTGTCTTTGGAGAACCCCCAGTCCCCACAGGCTGGTTCCTTGCTCTGCTCCCACCTTCAGCCTCAGGGCCTTTGCAGGCTTTCCCAGGCTTGTTCCCTACTTAATCACAGCCACACCAAGTGTGGCTTGTGGAACCCTGGAGCTTCCCCAGGAGCCCTCCGAAGTCTGGCAAACAATGCTATTACAGTGGTTCCAGTAAGACAGTTAACCTGTGCAGCCATGGCGCAGGTGGTGTGCCAGACTGTGCTGGTGAGTTCTCCTCTTCATCCAGTCCACACAGCAGCAGAGAGCTTGTGGAGGCCGACTGGAGCAGCCGCATGCCCCTGTTAAATCAGATATTAGAATGACAGTTGCCGGGGTTAGGCATGTCTGTAATCCCACCCTTTCAGGAAGTAGAGGTAGAAGTATCACCATTAGAGGCTGGCCTGAGTCGAAGTGCCAAACTCTACTGAAAAATAAAAGCAAGAAGCTGATAGAGTATAAGGCTCCACCTTGAAATCTCCTAATCCCCCCCCCCCCAAAAAAAAAAAACACCAAAGACTTTTACTATGTTTTGGAAAATATACCTTTTTTCATGAAAACATGTATTAATGTAATAGAATGATTTTTAAATGAGTATTTTTAAGTACCAGTGCAAATACTAATAGGCATAATTGATGCAATCCAAAGATCTTGGAAAGCTTCAATAATACTTAAAGATGTCTCCACACCAGAGCATTAGAGGACCCTTGCTCTTTCAGTGTTTCTCATAACTGAAATGATTGTGGGGTTTTTTGTTGTTGTTGTTGTTTTTGCTCACTCATGAATTTCATTCCCAAGAACATCCTACAGAGTTATGTGGGAGTTTTTGCAGATGAGGAAATGAAGTTCAGGGAGATGAAGTGATTAAGAAAATCCATCCAGCAAGTAAGTTTCAGAGCTGGAATTTCAACCTGTGCCTGAATCTCATCTAATAAAATAGAATGATTGTCACGTGTCAGTGGCTCAGGCCTTTAATCCTAGCTACTCAGGGGTCTGAAATCTGAGGATCTCAGTTCGAAGCCAGCCCAGGCAAGAAAAGTCCATGAGACTCTTATCTCCAATAAACCACTCAGAAAACCAGAAGTGGTAGAGCACTATACTTAAGCTGAAGAGCTCAAGGACAGTGCCCAGGCCCAGAGTTCAGGCCTCACGACCAACATCTATCAATCAATAAAATGATTAAATACCAGAACATGCAGTTTGTTGTTCTGCTTTGATAAGTACAAAACCTTTCATGCAAGTGTATCACTTGTTCAACTTTTTTTGAGTACTTACTGTAATGATGCTGTGCCAGGTTCTGGAGATACAAATTTGAATCAGAAACGCAAAAGTTTCCTTCTGTTTTTCTTAAGAATGTATAGCGGGAAGGTGGAGACACTACCTATGTGCCAGCAGAGAACAGGGAGAGCAGGCCTGGAATGCCAGCTACACAGAGAAAATGATGTCAAAGCAAAGCCTCCAAGGAGCTAGGCTTCCCCAGAATACATTTCCTGAACTGAGCTTAGGACAGGAGTAACTATTATGTGTGTGTGTGAGCGTTAAGCACATGCACACTAAAGCTGTGTCATTTCTACTGCACCCCTTAAGTATTGATGCAACTGATTTTTGTCTTCATTAGGTTCCAGATACTTTATACTTTATTGTGATTTCTCAGAAGTTTTTAGTCAGTCATGGGGTTTGAACTCTGGCCATGGGCACTGTCCCTCAGCTCTTCAGCTCAAGGCCAGTGCTCTACCACTTGAGCCACAGTACCACTTCTGGTTTTCTGGTGGTTAATTGGAGATAAGGGTCTCACAGACTTTTCTGCCCCGGCTGGCTTTGAACCATGATCCTCAGATCTCAGCCTCCTGAGTAGCTAGGATTACAGACATGACCCATTTGCGTCCGCCCCCCCCCCCCCCCCTTTTAATTGAGTTGTAAGTTAATTATATTGTCAGAAAACCTACCTTGGGGTTTTAAAGTCATTTTTGAACAAGGCATTTAATAATTTTATCAGGACAAGATTATTTTAGTCATATTTTGATGTTTACTGAGGTTTGTTTCATATCCTATGACTATATTTGCTGATCTAGGAGTAATTGAAGAAAAGAGGATGTATCATTGACTTGTGTTGGTCAATTACCTAGAGAAGTATAATTCTCTGTTATTAATTTTTGGCCACCCTAATAAGCACTAAGTGGTTACTTGATTTTGCTTTTGATTTGCATTTCCTTAATAATAATGTTGGGTGGCTGGATTGGACTTTTTGTTACTGTGTTAAATGGCCAACAAAGACTTGTTTTGGCTTATGCTGTCAGGGTTTCTACCCATAATACCTGGCTTCATTCCCCACTACAGGGGAAGTGGAGAAAGGGGAGGGGCTAGATGCAGCTCCCCAAGAATCTATTTCCTCCAGTCAACCCCCCCCCCCCCCCCCCGAAGTTTCCAGAACCTTCAGCTGGGGGAGGAAGGCATCATTACATGAACCTTTTGGGGGAACACTTCATATCTAAGTCACTATGGTGTCTTTTCAGTATTTGTTGGCATTTATGCCTTTGGAAAATGTTTATTCAACATTTTATTTTTTTAAAATTATTTGATGGTTTTTCAATGTTGTCATAAGAATATTCTGGACACTAAACTCTTAATAGAAGTATGATTTATACTTTTTATTACATTGGTAGCTGGTCTTTTCACCTTGTTTTTATCTTTTGGTACTGAGGATTCAACCCATAGACTTACCACTTGAGCTATGCCTGCAGCCCTTTGGTTTTTATTTTTTATTTATATAATTTTTTTTTTTTTTTACCAGTCCTGACACTTGAACTCTGGGCTGGGTGCTGTCCCTGAGCTCCTTTTGCTCAAAGCTAGCACTCTACCATTTGAGCCAAGAGCCACTTCTGGCTTTTTCTGTTTATGTGGTACTGAGGAATTGAACCCAGGGCTTGCTAGGCAAGCACTCTATCACTAAGCCACATTCCCAGCCGTAGTCCTTAATTTATTTGTCAATCGTGAGTCTTGAACTCTGGGCCTGGACACTGTCCCTGAGTTCTTCAGCTCAAGGTGAGTGCTCTACCATTGAGCCACAGTGCCATTTCTGGTTTTTCTGGGGTTAATTGGAGATAAGAGTCTCACGGAAGTTCCCCTGCTGGCTTTGAACTACCATCCTCAGACGTCAGCCTCCTGAGTAGCTAGGATTACAGGCATGAGCCAACAGGGCCTGGTTCCAGTCCTTTTATTTTTATATGTTTAAACAGCTCACAAGTTACTGGTGCCACATTTCATGTTTAGAAAATACTGTGTACATTTTAAAAAGATACATGTGTGTTTGTGTGTGCGTGTGTGTACATTTTAAAAGGATTTGTGTGTGCTTGTGTATGTCATTGTGCAGCAAAGGCCTTAGTGTTCATTGTTGTGGCAGCTTGGAGATGCTGGGCAGCAAGCATTCAGCAGATGGTTAAAAATGTAATGTGAGCTACAAGGGTATAGTGTGGAAATCAGAAAGCTCCTGTTTTGGTAGTATTAATTTTTTTAAGACAATTACTTAGTGTTTCTCCTGATCAGAAGTCTCTACTTACTTTAAGGAGATTATGAGTAAGTAAATATTAAACATAAACCCTGAGGCTTCACTGGTGGTGAGCACCACAGGGACCTACATCTAGTAATGTGGCAAGTCTGAGACATCATCAGTCTCCCCGCCCTAGCCCACGCTCTTCCCTCTTCCCTGTCTGTGAAGGTGGGCCTGTCCATCTGGCAGACACCGTGTGTGACAGACAGAGGTCAGATCTGAGGGTGGGTCCCACAGGCCTCTGCACGGTGCTTCAGTCCTGCTTGCAGAGTGAATGCAATGGCCTTGCCAGTCTAGCATAGACTCTGTGTTCACAGACTAATAAAACAGCTGCTAGTGGCTCACACCTTTAATCCTAGCTACTGGAGGCTGAGATCTGAGGATTAGCATTCCAAGCCAAGCCAGGCAGACTTTTAATTAAATAGACTCTCCAGGTAAAAAAGAAAACAAGTCAGAAGTGAAGGTGTGACTCAAGCTGACTGCTATCAAATATGAGCCAAAAGAGCCAAGCTCCCGTATTGCCAAATTCGTGTGCCCATACATACTGTACATACGTGTATATGTATGTATGTGTGCATATATGTGTGTATATGCACATATATATAGTCAGTGAACAAAATCAGTGATTATTCTGTACATTAAGTTTTTCGCATTGCCAAAGATGATCCTGAGTTCCAGATCAGCTTCTGAACAGCGAGACCTTGTCTCAAAAAACCAAAAATAAAATACAAAACTCCATAAATTTCTGGTAGAATTTGGTTTTAAAATAAGTAGGAAGGCCAGGTGCTGATGGCTCATTCCTGTGATCCTAGCTACTCAAGAGGCTGAGATCTGAGGATTGTGGTTCGAAGCTAAGCCAGGCAGGAAGGTCAGTGAGACTCTTCATCTCCAATAAACTCTTCAGAAAAGGATGGAAGTGGCGCTGTGCCTCTAGAAGCTCTAGAAGCACAAGGACAGCACCCAAACCCCAGGACTGGCACAAAAAAATGAACAAAATAATTTAGTTTTATTTCTGCAGTGAGACTAATGCATGTCAATTTTATAGATGGTGTTTTGCCCTTGGATGCGGACAACATTGATGATGACTGTCCCATTCCAAACTTCCATAAATGTGAAATCTGTCTGCTGTCTTTTCCAAAAGAGTCCCAGTTTCAACGCCACATGAGAGATCATGAACTAAATGATAAGGTATGTGTTTCAAAAGGAATGTCACAATCTGAGCATTGGATCTGGAGGTACTATAAAAATCAACATACCAAATAGTAAATTGTCTTAAAATTTAGGTTTCTGGATTGTAGAATATGTCCTGTGAACATGTTTATATCTTCTTGAAACTTGAATGTGTTGTGGTTATTTATGAGTGGAAAGAGAAATATTTCTAAAACAGACTTCTTTCAGTAGCTTGACCAAGTATAGAAATGGGTATTTTGAAGTACTTTTTTTCTGGTAGGGCATTTTACCCTTAAGTGATCTTACATGGTGTTCTAGGCATTTATATCTTCTTTCATCCAGGAGCACTAATGTGCTTTGTTTTTTTCTTGGCGTGGTGCAGATGGGACTCAGGGCTTCCTGTGTTAAGTGTGTGCATGACTTTGCATAAACTCTACGGCTCGGTCACACCCTTTAGCTGATTTGCTGATAGATCAGGCCTCGTTGCCTAAGTCTCAGCCTAAATAAAAGGTTATAATCTTGATGCTTTAGGTAATACAAGTGATTGCTTTATCTCCTCTTAAGTACAAGATAGAATATCTCTGTTGTAGGGGAAAATTTACATTAACAGAAACCACTCTATTGGAATCCAGTAAAAATTTGTATGATTACTTATTTTGCTTGAAGTGATCATGTTTAAAACAGCAAATTGATTGGAATAGAAGGATAAACTCCACCTAATGGATTGAAATTCCCAAATCTATTTTCATGGAGACTATAAATAGATACATTTGTATACAACAATTTATATTAGAAATATTTCTGAACTGAACTGGGAATGTTGATTCAGACGTGTTCCCAGCACTTATGAAGCTGAAGTAGAAGCATCAGGAGTTCAAGACCAGCCAGAGCTGGTCTTGAATTCAAGACCCAAAAACCAAAACCAAAACAAAACAAAAACAAAATACCAAGAAAGGATGTAAGAGATAAGAAAGTGAGTGAAGACAGAAGAAAAGGAGGGAGGAAGAAGGGAATGAAAGAGAAGGTAACTTTTTCTGTGTGGTGCTGTTCTTATTATCCAGGAGGAGTTCTGTCTGCAGTTTTACTGGGTCCCTGCTGGGAGTGTTGACTCAGTTCCAGAAGACACATTTTTACAGAGTGTCTAGATCCTGGTGCTTGTTACTACTTAAAGAATGTTTATTAAACAAGGTCTTTAAGAAGACTGTTTCTCATTATCATCTTCCCTTTTCTCTCCACACAGCCACACCGATGTGACCAGTGTCCCCAAACATTTAATGTTGAATTCAACTTGGCCCTTCATAAGTGCACGCACAATGGAGAGGATCCTGCGTGCCCAGTGTGCCACAAGAAGTTTTCCAGAGTGGCCAGCCTCAAAGCGCACATCATGCTCCATGAAAAGGAAGAGGTAGTTATTTTGTACATGTTGTGTTAACTGATTGTTACACTGCTTCTGATCATTAACCAGAAGGATTTGAGATATAAACTAATTTAAAAGTCTTTTGTGTAGATTTCAAAGAGCTAATAATTATCACTAATATTGTCTCAATCTCCAGTTCACTGATAAAACATTTCATTTTCTGGCCTTCTCAGTCCTTTAGATTAGAGACATTTGATGTTTATGTTGGCTGGCTGAGGATTCCCATCTCTACCCTCGCCACCCCACCCCCATTTCTTGTTGCTTGTGGGGCTTGAATTCAGGACCAGGGTGCTTCCCTGAGCTCTTTTGCTCAAGGCTAGCATTCTACCTCTTAAAGCCACAGCATCATGCTACTTCGGATTTTTGAGTGGTTAATTGGAGATAAGAGTCTCTTAGCCTTTCCTACCTGGGCTGGCTTAGAACCACATCCTCAGATCTCAGTCTTCTTGAGTAGCTAGTAGGATTATAGGCGTGAGGCACCCACGCCCAGCTTTCACACTCCTCTTCTCCCCCCTCCCCCACTTATTTTTTTGCGGTCTTGGGGCTTGGACTCAGCTCCTGTGTGGGTACGGTCCTTAATCTTTTTTTTGCTCAAGACTGGCACTCTACCAGTTGAGCCACAGCGCCCCTTCCAGCGTTTTCTGTGTATGTGGTCCTGAGGACACCCAGGGCTTCATGCATGCTAGGCAAGCATTCTACCACTAAGCCACATTCCCAGCCCTGGTATTTCCTTCTTGAGACAATAAAAATAAATATCCTGTTTAAATTATATATATATGTATATATGTATATGTATATATAAAAATTAAGTTCATACTTTGGACAGAGGTTTGTATTTTGTCTTTTTAGTACCTGAATTTTTGAGACAGGATCTTACTAAGGTAGCCTAGACTGTCTTCATGCTTATTAGCAAGTGCTATGATTTCTGGTTTGTTTCACCATGCACAGCCTGACATGCTTTTAATTCTTCTTTTAAAATAATCTAGAGCTGAGCACCAGTGGCTCCTGCCTGTTATTTTAGCTACTTAGGAGGCTGAGATCTGAGAATTGTGGTTTGAAGCCAGCCTAGTCTGTGACACTCTTATCACCATTTAACCAATAAAAAGCTGGAAGTGGCCCTGTGGCTCAAATGGTAGAGTGCCAGCCTGGAGTACAAAAGCTCAGGGACAGCCTAAGGTCTAGGACCAGTGTGCCTACATGCACACATGTACACATATAACACACATGCATGTACACATATGTGTACATACACACAGAGTCTATTATTGTATTTTAAAATTACATATGTAAGTAATGAATATTTACTTTGGGAAAAGTTTGAAACAAAAGAACTAAAAACACTCATGGTAAAGTATGAAAAGTTGACCTTGCCTGGTGCCAGTGGCTCTAGATCTGAGGATCTTGATTTGAAGCCAGCCCAGGCAGGAAAGTCTATGAGACTCTTATCTCAAATTAACCACTCAAAAACCCGAAGTGGCAGAAGTGGCACTGTGGCTTTAAGAGGTAGAATGCTAGCCTTGAGCAAAAGAGCTCAGGGACAGTGCCCAGACCCTGAGTTCAAGCCCCAGAACCGGGAAAAAAAAATGTTGACCTTATAGAGACAGTAGAAAGTACCAGAGGATGTTGGTCAAAGGTTATACAACTCTAGTTAATCAGGACCAATTGTTGAAAAAGATCTGTATTGTATTACAGGATTTAATGCATGTAGCAATATATTGTGTTTAAAAGTTGCTGAGAGTAGATTTTAACATGTTCTCACCATAAAATAACACGTATGTTAGACTGTATATGTTCAGTACTTTGACTTAGCCAGACCACAGTGTGTCTGCATATCTAAGCATCATGTTGTGCACTATAATTTTTTGTGTGCTGGTATTAGAGTTTGAACCCTATATGTGATATATATTATCAAATACACATACATCTATGCATACAAATCAGGGCCTGTGCTCTGCCCTTGGCCATTTTGCTCAAGGCTAGTATTCTATCTTTTGAGGCACAGTTCCACTTCTGGCTTTTTCTAGGTTAATTGGATATGAGAGTCTAATGGACTTTTCCTACCTGTTCAGGTTTTGAACCTCAGTTCTCAGATTTTAGTCTCCTGAGTAGCTAGGATTGCAGGAAGAGCCACTGACACCTGGCTTGTAAATGCTTTTTTTAATTGGTCAGTAAATTTAATTAATTAAAATTATTAAAAGCACTCACAGTCACAGCCTTTGGAGACAGTTGCATGTGTAGTCTTTCAGGCTTTTTTCCATACATGCATGCGTGTGTGTGTGTGTGTGTGTGTGTGTGTGTGTGTGTGGTGTGTTGTATGAAGGCTTGAACTCAAATCTTCAAGCACTTGCCTGACTTTTTTGTTCACTTCTGGTGCTTTTGAGCCATGCCTCTAGTTCAGTTTTTTTTTTTTTTTTTTAACTGATTAATTGGAAATAAATACCTGGTGGATTTTTTCTGCCTGGACTGACTTTATACTGTGATCTTTATATCTCAGCTTCCTGAGTAGCTAGGATTATAGATGTGAGCCACTGGCATCCAGCTTCTGTAATATGCTCTATATGATAGTTTATATGATTCGGCTTCTCTTCAAACTCTTTGCAAGCTCCTTTTTCTCAATAACCATTATTAACATAATACTTCATTTTTTCACTTACATACATGTATATCTATGCATGTTTTATTAGTCTTTGTGTAGGATAGATCTCTCATACTTGGGTTTAGTAAGTTAATAAAATGGATTTTATGTGATCTCGCCACAAAATAACATGGATTGCCATATTATGTTCTAGAAAGCATAGGCCATTTTATACCTTCATTGTAGAATGTAGGAATTGAATGCCTCTTACTCAATTATAGCACTATGTAGAAATGGCCATAGTTGGTTTTTGTTTTTGTTTTTTTAGTTTTATTTCATTGTAAAGATGGTGTACAGAGAGATACAGTTACATGAGTAAGGTAATGAGTATATTTCTTGTCAAGCTTTGTTACCTCCTCTGACCGTAGTTTTATTTTATTCATATATTTTATTTTATTTTATTTTTTGTGGCTAGCAAGGCCTAGCAATTACTGGACACATGTTCTACTTCTTGAGCCACACCCTCAGTCCTTTTGTCTTTTATTTTTTTAAGTAGGAATGTGTTAAGCAGTGGTATATTAGAATACTTTGCATTAAGTGCTGCATGCATACTGTAAGGAGCCAGGAGTGGAGCAGGTGGACATAAAGAGTGAGTTGTGGCTGTCTGGACCTGGCACCTGATAGCTAGTGAAATTCCTTAGCTGCTTCTCACAGCAGCTAGAGGTAGCAGCAGTCAGTACCAGCTAAGGTGTTTTGACAAGAGTCAGGACTTGTGTGGGCCAGGGCCTGTAGTCTCTCATCTTTGGCTCTTTACAACTTCTTTACTTCTCTAGGCTTGGCTTTCTGAAGCTTCTTCCCCCAGTGTTGCCTCCATTGCCACTGCTGCCCTCTTTTCTTTAGCCTCCTCTACTGTGGTAAAGGTCACAAGTAGACACAAAGCACACTTTTATTAGACTCCAAGGTCAGAGAGGTGGGCAGCTCCTGACCGACTTGAAAAGCGAGCCAAACAACTTGGTTACTTGGTGAGGAGGGGACTGGGACATGGGTGTGATGTGCAGATCCAGGATTGAAATTTGTACCAATTGCAACACAACTTCTGTTTTTTTTTTTCTTTTTTTTTGGGGGGGGGGGAGGGGTCCGGTCTTGGGGCCTGAACTCTGGGCCTGGGCGCTGTCCCTCAGCTCTTCAGCTCAAGGCTAGCGCTCTACCCCTTGAGCCACAGCGCCACTTCCAGCTTTTTTCTTTTTGCTTATGTGGTGCTGAGGAATTGAACCCAGGGCCTCAGGCATGCAAGGCAAGCGCTCTGCCAATGAGCCAGCTTCCCAGCGCAACACAACTTCTGAACCCACCAAATCCAAGTCCTAGGCTGCAGGTTGTACCAGTCACATTTCCTGTTGAGTCACTAGGGGACTGTTCTCCCGCACTGGTGTGTGTGAGAATAGCTGCAGGGCAAGCAGGGTGTTTTGTGTTCACTGAGGCTTGTCTTGTCCAGGGCGATGTTTGTCTGGTGTGGGGACCTCCTGAAGCAAACATTGGCCAGTTGCTGAGGCTGAAGTGTCCTTGCCGCCAGAGTGCAGCTCTCTCAGGTGTCTGTGAGGCGGGTTGCCATGGCGATAGTCGGGGCGAGCACTGAAAGAGCCGCTGCTTGGTTACAGCTCTCCATTCTGGTCTCTGCACGTGGGACAGGGTGTGACAGCTGTCCAGACAGGCTCAGACCCGCCCGCCGCCAACAGCTTAGCTGTCTTAAATAATAGTGAAGGATGATTACACTGAAGACCCATACATTTAAACGCACACACATTCTAAACGCTCACAGTGCTTTGTTCTGACAGTGCTTAACTGGGCTCAGGCCCTGCCTAATGCCCTGGTGTGTGGGCTCCTTGTGGGCAGTGAGTGTGGTGGGCGTGGATGTGGCTCTGGTGGACAGGGTTGAGGGTGGCAAGGCATGTTGTGGAAGAGCGGGGGTGGGGGTCAGGGGGGACAGTGCATACAAGAGAGCCCACTGATGGACTGAGTCACCCTTCCGTCAGAGAGGGCGAGGCGAGTAGACGGAGATTCCCTGAGTTCTGTGTTCTGGGAGGGCCCAGCCCTAAACAACTGTAAAGAGCAGAGGTGGCTGTCTACGTCTGGGCAGGACACTGTCTCCAGCTCCAGCCTCCTGCAATTCAGAGAACAGAGCTTTCCCTATTCCTGGTCTAGTGTTCCTCAGTTCTCTTTGTCGTTCATTTCTAGAAGCCTTTGGGGTTTTACAGGTTATTTTCAAAAAGTCTTTTCATTGTTATGCCTACTCCACAAACTTTGTCCACATTCTTTTCCAGATGGCTCCCCAAAGTGGAGTCGACAATCCTTTATTGTTGATTGCATTCACTGAGTCAGTCCCTGGTTGTGGCTGAAGCCTAGGGATTAGATAGTACTCAGAATGCCTCCTAGAATCTGCCTTGCCTGTGGGGTGTGGTCAGAGCACCTGGCTCAATGAGTACCATTTGCTGTCCACAGACACCGACAGCTGTAGGAGAGAGTGGCTCTGGGAAGACGGGCTGGTGAGGAAAGTGGGTGTGTGCCTCTGGGAGGCAGCTGAAGGGCTTCCTGAATGGGTGTAGTGGAGGTTATGTTTCTGTTCCAGCCACCCTGGGTGGTCTGGAGAGCAGCCTGTTCACCTTGCCCACTCTGCTCTTTGAAGAGGGTACCTCTTCCAGCCTGCAGCCCTCTGCTGGCCACCAGCATCATAGCACTCACTCAGGACTTTCCAGGGGTGTCCATGTGACGTGAAGGGCTGCTCTCCTTCTGTGCAGGAGGCGTTGCTCTGCTTGCCTGAGACTTCCTAAGGACTCCCTGGGTGTGGAAGGGCAGGAGGAGGGCCCCAGCATCTGCTTTTGTCCGGCTAGATGGAAAGCAGGGGACAGCAATGACATGGCTTGGTGCTGGCTCCAGGAAGTACTCTGCACTACTTTCTTCATCTGAGCTAACCAACAGCAATTCACCCAGACAATTCTAGCAAATGTGTAAGTGATCTCCATGTAGAGCCCTTGAGATAAAATCATCGAATTGTGTGATTCAGAGTGAGTGATGGGGGAGGATGTGAGCCAGAGCAAGGTGGGAAGGGAGGTGGTGTGAGAGTTAAGTTCTGTTCTGCAACTCAAAGGCAGGAGAAGGGGGTTGGGCCATGGTTAGTGAACGGTAAGTGCTTCCTCCTGCCACCCACACTCAGGGGTTACCCAAGTGAGCAGAAGAGAACCCTTTTCCTGTCCAGAGCATTCTAGAATGATTTTTTTTAGTAGTGCCAACAAGTTACTAATAGTCTAATAGTTCCTTTCTTCTTTACATTATGATACAATATTACTAATTTAAAGTCATCCAGTCTGAAGGTGTTAGATTGTTCAAAGTATTCCATTCATCCTCATATTTTCCTGTAGCAAATCTGTAAGTATGCTCAGTTAATGACCTAGTTTTAATAAGGTCTGTGTGCCGGGCATCGGGCATCGGTGGCTCATGCCTGTAATCCTAGCTACTCAGGAGGCTCAAAGCCAGACCAGGCAGGAAAGTCTGTGAGACTCTTATCTCCAATAAACCACCAGGAAACCAGAAGTGGCGCTATGGCTCAAGCGGTAGAGTGCTTGCCTTGAGCTAAAGAATGCAGGGACAGCGCCCAGGCTCAGAGTTCAAGCCCCACGACCGACCAAAAATAAATAAAATAAAATAAGGTCGGTGTGTGTTTATGAGACTTCTATACAGAAGGGGAAGAAATTCTGATGGAAAGAAATAGTGACATATTTTGTTACTTGGAAGCAACAGTGTCCTCTCACTGTGAGCTTATGCTTTGATTGTTCATATTTGGACAGTTGGTTTAGAGGATTATTTCATAATTCCATATGGAATAGCACATGGAGTATGCATTGAAATTTGGTTGAATCAGCAGTTGCCACTGCTGGAGGTGCTTACGGAGCCCTTACCCTGCTGTGTTGTCGCCTTTGAGGGAAGGTGCTGTCTCTTCTGTTGTGGGGGCCCGGAGTGGGACCACCTGGTTCACATAGTCTGTCACTGCAGTCCTGAGGTAAAACCAGATTCAATGCTAGCAGGTCTGGACCAGACCGCCCAAGTGGAGGTGGGCAGGGAGTCAGTGTCTTCCACTTGAGAAACTAGCCCCACCAGACAGGGGTAAGTGTACCAAATAATGGCCAATGCAAGCTGTTGGGCAGTCACTGATGAGGACTTTCTTTGAAGCCCTGTGTGTTTCACACTCACACATATGTCCATTGCTTGGCACACCCAGCTAGTTCTGATCAAACTGAATGGATCTTGAGGTTCTCTGTTTATAAGTCTGCCAGCTGTAATCTCAGCCACCTTGACACAGAATTCACGTTGCTTTATATTTGTGGTGTTCTTTTACTTTTTACCCAGTCTTCCAGTAGAGAGATGATTTTCATGCATTCTAATTTGGACACAGTGGTGTATATTTTTGAGAAGTGAAGATGAAGTTTGTTCCACAGGAAATTATCAGTGTCGTGGCCATTCGTGGTGCTAGTTGTTTTAAGGAGTAGTGGTTTGGATGTTGCTTTTCCAGAACCTCATCTGCTCTGAGTGCGGGGATGAGTTCACGCTGCAGAGCCAGCTGGCCATCCACATGGAGGAGCACCGGCAGGAGCTGGCCAACAACCGTGTCTATGCCTGCAAGGCCTGCAAGAATGAGTTTGAGACGCCATCAGAGCTGAAGGAGCACATGAAGACTCACTATAAAGTTAGGTATGGCCTGCTCTTAATTCTGTGTGGGGCATGAAAAATTGGTTTCTTACCTGCTAAGTCAGGAATTGGTTATGTAAAACCAAGTTACAGGTGTGCAGTTAGAGCTCAGAATCGTGGCTACCATGCCTGTACTTGATTGCGTATACACGTTCATTTCTGGTCAAACTTAACACTCTTGTTTACATTTTTTTTTCTTAATGAGTGAAGAACTCCTTTTGGCCCTTGTGCTCAAGTTAGCTCATGATGATGATCCATGACACATTCCTTGAGCAGATTTCCCCAACAGACTGGAAAAGGCTGTCTCAGATACTCTTTAGCTGTTGTGTTATCAGTAAGTTTAGCTTGAGGCCATTCTAAGCTCTAATGGTTAGGAAATAGGTGTTTTTAAATGAGAGGTCTCACACTACTTATAAAGCTTATGAAGGGTGTAAACTCTGTGCAATGTATTTCTCATCCTTGTCTGTGCTTTTCATTTTGCCAGTTGTTGACTAATGTGTTGCCTGCCAAATACTCCATTATTTCAGTGGGTGTTTTATATAAATATAATGCATGTTCCTTGTGCACATTACATTTTTGTGTTGGTGAGATTTTAGAGCTGTTATTTTTGATGTTTCTTATAGGGTTCTTGAGCTGATTGGAGTCACAGGAGTCTCAGACAGCTCTGACTGCTAGGTCTTCTCAGAAAGATGAGGCACATGCTCAGGAAGCAGTCCTGTAGAGCGAGTAGGAGGTAGAGCAGTGGCATGCTGAGGTGACCCCAGTCCCGAGTTTCCTGTGTGTCTGAGAATCAGAAGGAGAAAAGGAAACAGCTGAGGCGAATGTGATGCATGCTCTCTGGGAGGGGCAGAGTGGACCAAGTGTGGAGAGGCTGGCTGGAGGCCACCCCGAGTGCCACTCTCACCACTGGGGACTGCCTGTGGCCGGTGTGTACGCAAACGAGTGTCCTTAGTAGTGGAGCACGTCTCTGGCAGGATGTAGCAGAGTCCCTCCGGGAGGCTGTTACCATGGCACCAGGTAGAGGTTGACCAGAAGCTGAGAGAGGGGAGCATTCTGAAGTGCTTCAGATTCGGGAGGTGTGCCCCTGATGTAAACCTGATTCCTGGAGGTTTCTGTTTTCTGAGGTAGAAAGGAGCAGGTTGGATGACGCCGGGTCCACTGGAACTCTGGCCAGCCAGCCACAGCAAGGCCAGGTAGACGGTCAGTCAGCTGTCGGGTGTGTGGGTAGGGGAAGAAGTTTGGAAATGATGCCGTAGAAAGTGGAGACTGAGGCTGTGCAGACTCGCAGAGGTCTCTGACCAGCCACAGCTGATCTAGGAGAGACAGTCCACTTCTACTCTAGCACCACATTGGGGCCTGGCGTGGGTAAAACAAGCTTGTCTTTCATCAGAAAAAAAAAAATGAATTTTCCTAGTAGTATTCTCATTTTGAAACTGTAATGTAAGAGGGATGACTTAATGATTATTTCTCCCTGTTATACCTAGGGTATCAGGTACAAGGTCTTATAATCGGAACATTGACAGAAGTGGCTTCACCTATTCCTGTCCACACTGTGGGAAGACGTTTCAAAAGCCCAGCCAGTTAACTCGACATATAAGGATACACACAGGTGTGAAGAACATCACTTTGGGATGATTTATTAAGGAAATGTGCCTTAGTACTAGTGCAGATATAAATACCACTCTTATGTGGTATTTGAATCTAATCCAGGCTTTTCTAAACTTTGCTCTGTAGTATTGGTGAAAATCTTACTGAACCTTTCTCTGATATTACCTCACTTGAAATATAGGGATATTATATCCATCAAATAGTTGTCCTACATTACAAATGGACAAATCCACAAAGTGTCTATAGAATAAAGTTCCTGATGTATAGGGGTATGCTTTGTTGCTGGGGCTTGGAATTAGTGGTGGGCTGGTAACACCTAGGCTGATTAGTTCTGAAGACAACACCAGGTCTTCAGATGCTATTAAAATAATCCTGCCTTCACGAACTATACTGTAAAGCGTCCAAGTGATAATTCATTCTCTGTGCCATGTCTTGCTCATTCATTATTTTTGCTTGAATATTTGAAAACAAGTACAGTATTCACTGTATTGAGCCCTCCTGCCATTTTGTAGGACAGTTTACCATATTGTACAGTAAACCAAGGTTAGCTCAGGGAGAACAGTGCAAATATTTATGTCTTTGAAGTGACCCCTGCATTGTCACTTCGTTTTCTTTCAGTCTCATCATTTGGTTTCCTGCACAGTGACAAGCAGTGGCATCTTGTAGTTATGTGGACGGCAGCAGTGGTTGGTCAGCCAGTTCAGATTGTGCGTTGCTGCTTTCCCATCAGCACTCTTAGAAAAGTGTCTCTGTGTAGAGGACTGTCAGATCACTCAGATAATTCCAGTCTTGTTTGTCATTATGAAGCTAGCATTTTCAAAGCATCAGCCCACCCTTCTTCCTTAGAATGAGGAAAAAAGAAAGCAATGTGTGTAAAATCTGAGACCTCCAGACACTGGTGGCTCATGCCTGTAACCCTAGCTACTCAGGAAGCTGAGAAATGAGCGTCAAAGTTCAAAGCCAGCCTCAGCAGGACAATCCATGAGATTCTTATCTCCAGTTAACCAGCAAAAATCTACAAGTGGAGCTGTGGCTCAAGAGTGCTACCTTTGAGCAGACAAGCTCAGGGATGCACATAGATCACGAGTTGCAATCCCAGCATCAGCTCACATACACAAAAGATAACAGAACAGTGCCTTTGCTGGTCTGTGGAGTGGACTGAGCCAAACCACAGATGAGAACAGGTAGATTCCGGAGGGAAAGCGATGGCCCTGGAAGTGGTTCTGGAGCTTGCCTCAGAGGTGGCCGGGACTTTGGTTAGGCAAGCCAATGCTGAGATTTAGAGGAGATCATTGTGTATGTGAATGTACAGGTGTTTGGCTGAAGGAGAAGGTTTAGGGTCTTGAGTCTGGTAACTTGCATAGCTGTTTTCTAGCCTGTGATGCTCACACAGATCTGTGTTCTCCTTGTAGGTGAGAGGCCGTTCAAATGCAGCGAGTGTGGAAAGGCGTTTAACCAGAAGGGGGCCCTGCAGACCCACATGGTCAAGCACACGGGGGAAAAGCCCCACGCCTGTGCTTTTTGTCCTGCTGCCTTCTCTCAGAAAGGGAACCTCCAGTCCCACGTGCAGAGAGTCCATTCAGAGGTACGCTTAGCTCTGAGCGCCTGAGAAGTGCTTCAGTTGATGGAAAACCTGACTTTTAAAGAAAATCCAGTTATGCACAATGACCTGTTTTAGGGGGAAAATAATATATATATATATATGTGTGTGTGTGTGTGTGTGTATATATATATATATATATATAAATGTATATGCACTTAAAAATCCCCCCATTTGGCTTATTATATGTGGAAAAAATACAAAATACTATGTTTTCTTGGTTTGAATATGTATTTGAAAATACAATGTTGTGATCTGTTACTGTGAATAACGTATTTCTTTTAGCAGATGAAATGCAAATATTGTCAAGCATAAGATGTAGAAAGATAAAGCAAAAATATCAGCCATGGGGTTTGAACTCTGGGCCTGGGTGTTACCCCTCAGCTCTTCAGCTCAAGGCGAGTGCTCTACCACTAGAGTCACAACACCACTTCTGGTTTTTGAGTGGTTAATTAGAGATAAGAGACTCAGGGGGACTTTTCTGCCCAGGTTGGCTTTGAACCATGATCCTCAGATCTCAGCCTCCTGAGTAGCTAGGATTACAGGGGGGAGCCACTGGCACCTGGCTCAATGAAATGATTTTGAACAATGAAAACTTATCATTTTTAAAAGCAAAAATGTACAATGTGTGTATTTTTAATTTTTCTTTGAATAATTGAAGTAAAACTGTTAAGTACTACTTAAATGATCTGTAAGGTATTAGGCTGGTGTGTCTTATGTGTAATCTCAGTAGTTAGGATGCTAAGATAGGAAAATCATTAGTTTGAGGCCTAAAACCAAAGGTAAAGCTGATTTTTTATTTTAGAATAGCAGGATAAAATATAAAATAAAATGGGTATCTAAAATAAAAAACCTATATGTCATAAAGTTTCATAAAGAGATTCAGAATTTAATTCTCAACAAGTTATTGTAAAAAGTGATAAGCCTTTACTATCTAGATCCAGAGGTGGTGGGAAGGGCATGTTGGCAGGGTGAGGTGCTGACTCCCTGCCCGTCAGTCTAGAGAGGCACATGTGGGCAGCACAGGCGCTCTGGTGGAGTTGCTTCTGAGAACTGCAGGCTGCATGGGGACAGCTGTGCACTTAGCAGGCTCTCCGGAACTTGGGGCCCCAGGGTGGCCCTGGGAGGCACTCACCCAGGGCCCAGTGTCTTGTGAGGCACCAAAGGCCTTCAATCTGGTTATTGAGATGTGGGAAATAGAAGGAAGCTTCAGTCAAGTTCAGAGAGCTCCATAAGTTTCTTTCTTTTCTTTTTTTTTTAATTGTGAAAATACCGTACAGAGGGGTTACAATTACATGAGCAAGGTAATAAGTACATTTCTTTTTTTTGGGGGGGTCTAGTCATGGGGCCTGAACTCTGGGCCTGGGCCCTGTCCCTCAGCTCTTCAGCACAAGGCTAGCGCTCTACCACTAGAGCCACAGCACCACTTCTGGCTTTTGTTTTTGCTTGTATGGTGCTGAGGAATCGAACCCAGGGCCTCAGGCATACAAGGCAAGCGCTCTACCGCTGAGCCACCTTCCCAGCCCCAATAAGTACATTTCTTATCAAGCATTGTTGCCCCCTCCTTTGTTTCCCTCATCTCCTGCCTCGTTCCCCCCACCCATGAGTTTCTAAGCCAGCTTCTGTAATGATGACAATAAGAAAGACTAGGTTCAATATGCTTTCTCTTCATAGATACTCTTAGTCACGTTATTGTTCTCTGTGCTCTCTTTCTGCCTTTATGGTAGTTTTAGACATTAGTCACTGATAAGGTACTAAAACTGGTGATAAAAAATTAGACTGTATCACCTTCCTTCATAACCTGTGTGTATACTCCAGTTACTGAGAGTAGTATTTATATCTGTTTTGCCTTTCTTGTTTAACCTTGTATTTAGCCACTTGAAAAGCTGAGAACCGGGCGCTGGTGGCTTGTACCTGTAATCCTAGCTACTCAGGAGGCTGAGATCTGAGGATCATGCTTCAAAGCCAGCCTGGGCAGGATAGTTCGTGAGACTATCTCCAATTAACCACCAGAAAACTGGAAGTGGCTCAAATGGTGGAGCACTCAGCCTTGGGCTGAAGAGCTGAGGAACAGTGCCCAGGTCCAGGGTTCAAGTCCCATGATTGACAAAAAACAAACAGAGAACTATAAAAAGTGTGCTTCCTCATTCCTGAGCCACTTCTCATTTCTGTTGATCTCATGCTAACATTATTGATTAAGGAAATGGCTCATTGATTCTAGAGCTGTCTTAGAAGAAAGAAGACTAATGATGAGAGGAATGGAAAATTAGGATTTTCTAGAACTTAAAGGTTTTCAAATGATTAAGAATAAAAAGGATGTTTTTCTTTTTTATTCGTTAAGGTCAAGAATGGCCCTACCTATAACTGCACAGAGTGTAGTTGTGTGTTTAAAAGTTTGGGTAGCTTGAACACTCACATCAGCAAGATGCACATGGGTGGAGCCTCAAGTTCCACAGGCTCTACAGAGACTGCCCACGTAATAACGGTGAGTTTACTAAATTGGTTAATCAGAGGATCCGCCCCCCAAAAAATCCAATTTTATATATGACCTCCAAAATCCAATATTGAGTGCCAGAAATGTACCATCAGGTTTTTTTGTTTTTTGGTTTTTTTTTGGGTCCGGTCGTGGGGCCTGAATTCTAGGCCTGGGCGCTGTCCCTCAGCTCTTCATTCAAGGCTAGTGCTCTACCACTTGCGCCATAGTGCCACTTCCGGCTTTTTTCTTTTTGCTTATGTGGTGCTGAGGAATCGAACCCAGGGCCTCAGGCATGCAAGGCGAGCACTCTACCACTGAGCCCCTTCCCAGCCCCCATCAAGTTTTTTTATATGATGGTAAGGTGCTTCTATTTTTTTAACTAAGAAAGTCAGTCTTTGTAAACTTGAGGATAATAGATGATCCTGATTTATATACTATCATCCGAAACAATAAAAAAGCAACATATGCTCAGTAATTTAAGGTATTATAATTTCTACAGTATACTGATTATAATTGAATTTCTTTATCTTTACATTACAATTTAAAAATTAATCTTCATAAATAAGACTTCTCCTTTCTTACATGATAGTGATAATTTTTTCTAAGGCTTTTGCTCTTTAGGATACTAAATTATATTCTCCGATACATGCACTTAGAAATTGTGTATCTCTGGCACAAACATGCATGCGTATTTACACACAGCCACATTATACTTAGAAATACAAGAATATACATAGCACAGCACACATACACTCTCCCTACCCCCGCCATATATGTAGCTGCACTTTTGTTCTTTTTTTCCCTAAGATTTCATAGCTCAGCTTAATCAGAACTTGTACAGTATCCTCCTAGTTGGTACTAAATGAGAAGATCTAAGCAGGGCGTAGAATGGTAGAAGTAGAAGACTTTTTTCTTTGTGTGTGTGTGTGTGTGTGTGTGTGTGTGTGTGTGTGCCAGTCCTGGGGCTTGAACTTAGAGCCTGGGCTTTGCCCCTGTGCTTTTTTCTCAAGATTACCACTCTACCTCATGGGCCACAGCCATTCTGGCTTTTTATTCTTTTTTTCTTTTGTAATTAAAGATAAGAGTCTCATGGACTTTCATGCCCAGGCTAACTTCGAACCAGATCCTCTGATCTCAGCCTTCTGAGTAACTGGGACTACAGATGTGAGCTACTAGTGCCCATAGTTTTTTATGTTGATAGAAGCATGTCCTTGTTTTTAAGTATCTGAAGGAGTAGGTATTTAAGTACAAGCCATTAGAGTTTTTATAAATACTCATAAATCCTTAGTTTGTTATACAACTTCTTTCTGTCAGTATGGAAGATAGACCTGGGTAATACTTAATTTTCATTTTTAGTGATTGTTGTTGCTCATAGTTGTGCAGTTTGTTATGGTACCTCAGTTTATGGAGGGGAATGTTGTGAGACAAGAAGTTGAAGCACAATAGGGTATAATAATTAAATCTGAAAATTTCTGCTTTAGACTTACTTTTTTAAAGACATAAATCAGTATTTAAATCCACTAAATACTGCAGTTTTACTACCATTTTATGGTGAACTCTTACCACAACTTCACTATTTCCTTTGGTAATATGCAGACAAAAAAGTAGATGTAGTGAATAGCTTGGAATAATTAGATCATTTTAAAAGCTCATATAAAGAAACTCCCAGAAGGTGTAGTGTAGTGATTTAGAATCCTGTGATTCAGCCAACTGAGAATGTTACGAATTCCCTCTGTTCTTTTTAAGGATCTTGAAGGAATCAATGTTCAGCCTACTTGTCTCCTTGCCCTTCTCATTTTCTAACTTTGACTTTTTATTTCATTTTTGAGAGACTTCTTCAACTTTTATCACCTAATTTTTTTGTTTCATAGGAACATTTTTAATTTACAAAGCTCTCCTTAGTGATCTGATAGGCTTTATGAGCAGTAACAGTTTTGTTTTGTGTTTTGGTAGAAGAGTGAGGCTGGAACCCAGGACCTCAGTACTCTAATATTGTTGCTGCATTCCATTCCCCATGTTCCTTTTTTTTTTTTGGTTGGTCGTGGGGCTTGAACTCTGGGCTTGGGCGCTGTCCCTGCGCTCTTCAGCTCAAGGCAAGCGCTCTACCGCTTGAGCCACAGCCACACTTCCGGTTCTCTAGTGTTTTGTTTTTTTTTTTGGGTCCGGTTGTGGGGCCTGAACTCTGGGCCTGGGTGCTGTCCCTCAGCTCTTCAGCTCAAGGCACCACTTCCGGCTTTTTTCTTTTTGCTTATGTGGTGCTGAGGAATCGAACCCAGGGCCTCAGGCATGCTAGGCAAGTGCTCTACCACTGAGCCACCTTCCCAGCCCTTTTTTTTTTTTTAATTGATGTGTTTCACGGACTTTCCTGCCTGGGCTGGCTTTGAACCTTGATCCTCAGATCTCAGCCTCCCTGAGTAGTTAGGATTACAGATGTGAGCCACCAGCACCTGGCTCCCATTGTTCCTTTTTTAAGACTTTTTTTTTTTTTTTTTCTGATTGGGGCATTTGGCTCTGAAATCCACTAAACATTTTCTTGTTGGATATTTTCTGCTCCTTCCTTGCCCAGTCCTTCCTCTTAGCTTATCCTATCATCAGAAGAAAGTTCTGAGTCTGTTTGTAAGCTTTCTGTGTGGTCAGGGGTCACCTGGCCAATGAGTGGCCAGTGAACCTACTCTTTGGATTCAGAGAACACAGAAATCTTTAATCTGGGGAGCTAAGTGCCATAGGAGGTTGCTGTCATGTCCCAGAGTTTATTCTTAGGTTGATAGAAGCAGATCCTCATTTTTTAGATATTGAAGTGAGTTCTTCATTGTTCTATGGAGGATATGAAGGAGGTTTTCCCTGTCTTTTTCCATTCCTCCCTCCCTCATTCCTTTGTGCTTCTTTTTTTTGTCGATCATGGGGCCTGAACTCTGGGCTTGGGCACTGTCCTTGAGCTCTTCAGCACAAGGCGAGCGCTCTACTGCTTGAGCCACAGCACCACTTCCAGTTTTCGAGTGGTTTATTGGAAATAAGAGTCTCACAGACTTTCCTGCCTGGGCTGGCTTTGAACTGTGATCCTCAGATCTCAGCCTCCTGAGTAGCTAGGATTACAGGGGTGAGCCACCAGCACCCGGGCCTTTGTGCTTCTTTAATGCATGTGCTGCATTTAGTATACCAGAGAGATGAAGACCTATATACTCAGTCTCTCCACACTGAAGTTAGTAAAAAGTTATAGAACAGGTTATTGGGTATATTCATTTAAGAGCCAGTGGTGGGCCTAACACAAGTTATGCTTTATGCTAGGCGCAGGTACTGCTAATCTCAATGCTAGTAAGGGTTGCGTTAGCCGTTTCTTTTTCTGTGTAAATTAAAATTTTCATTTTTAATGAAAATGTCACCGTGTTCCAGGCCACACTTTTTCAGACTCTGCCTCTGCAACAGACGGAAGCCCAGGTCTCCACCTCCAGCCAGCAGAATTCTCAGGCAGTGACCGACGTCATCCAGCAGCTCCTTGAGCTATCAGAGCCAGGGGCTGTGGATGCACAGCAGATCCCACAGGCTGGGCAGCAGCTGAGCATCACAGTGGGCATCAACCAGGACATCCTACAGGTGAAGCACGTTTACCTGTTGGCGTGAGGCTTTCACTCTAGGCTCTGTCAGAAACCAGGCTCGTTACTGAAAGATAGCTGTGCAAGGCTAGTCAGACAGGCATCCTAAATTAAAATGTATCAACATTGAAAAAGATTATAGTGAAATGGCCTGAATAGTTCCTTGTAGTCAATGCAGAATTCTAAATACTGTATTTGCTAGTCCATACATCCAAAAAACATAAAGCTCCCTCCCTTTTTTTTTTTCCACGGTCCTGGGATTTGAACTCTGGACCTGGGCACTGTCCCTGAGCTTCTTTTGCTCAAGACAAGTGCTCTCTACCACTTGAGCCACAGTGCCACTTCCGACTTTTTTGACTAGTTCATTGGAGATAAGAATTTCATGGACTTTCCAGTCCCAGCTGGCTTCAAACCACAAATCCTCAAATTTCAGCCTTCTGAGTAGCTAGGATTATAGGTGTAAGCCACCGGTGTCTAGCTAGTTTCCTCTTTACTTGAAAAGACTCTTTAGAACTAGTATCTGTCTGTTGAGTGACTTGACAGACATACTTCATTTCTCTTGAGTGTGTGGTACAAGTCATAGATGTATCTGATTCCGGTGTGTGTGCGCGCGCGCGCGTGTGTGTGTGTGTGTGTGTAGGTGTAGGTGTAGGAGGGCGGGGAGGGTGGGGGCGCATTGCTGGCTCTGCTGTGGGTAGATGATCAGCCTAAGCACACCTGGGAGAGGAGGAGCCTGGGCAGAGAGTGCTTTCCTGACTGGTCACCCCAGGTCAGGACTATAGCCACAGTTCTTCACTTCCACACAAGGGCCTTCCTCCTCTTCCCTGTCTCTGCGTACACTAGCTTCTCCTGCCTCATGGTGAGGAGTTGTCCTGGTTGTGAGGATGTCACACCTTAGCCAGTGTCGTAAAGGGAAACCCAGAGTACTTATGCCCTGAGATAGAAACCTGCCGTTCAAAGACAGTTCAGGTTGTCAGAGGAAACCCAGAGTACTTATGCCCTGAGATAGGAACCTTGACATTCAAAGACAGTTCAGGTTGTAAGAGGAAAGTTTTTGAAAGTTAATGAATTTTAAATCCCTTCGCTTTAGAGATAAAACTACTTATTACATTGCATTTTGGGTGGGAGTGGAATGTCAGGTATCAAAAGGGAGGTCAGAGCCTCCAAATTTGGATGCCTCCTTTGATAAACAGTTGCTGGGAACTGTACTGTCTATTTCTTGGAGTGGAGTCAGTTCTGTGGGTGAAGCTTTGTGGCATCTTGTGATAGATTGTGGCAGGCCGGTCTGGGCTGCTGCCTCTTCTAACCTTTTAGTTTTGTTCTGTCTCAGCAAGCCTTAGAAAACAGTGGGCTGTCTTCACTTCCAGTTGCAGCACCTCCCCACGACTGCAGCCACACCCCACCGTCTGCAGCCCCGCCTCCCAGCCCACCTGCCTCGGGTGTGTCTGTGGAGCCGGTGGACCCTACAGTGGCTGCGCAGGAAAAGGGGCAGGAGAGCTCCGAGAAGGCAGAAAAGAGAGAGAAGAAAGTCATGAAGAAGAAGTCACCGCTCCTACCTGGTAACTTAGTGTGCTTTGCCCTCGGATGTTTTGGACAGTGTATATGTGCGTTTGGGGAAGCACCAGCATCCCTGCTCTGGGTGAAAGCCATGTTTGCCGCATGCTCTGAGTGACCTGTTGTGGACTGGAGCCGGAATCAGTGGGTGGTCACAGTGCTTCTTGGATGCACTCTTTACTTCGGTAGGCTTCTTTCCTGGCTTCCAGCCAGTCCCTGGCTTGCACTTGGAAGGTCTGTGCAGGGTGTTTGCCTGATCTGGACATTTCCTCAAGCTTTAGAACTATCACCTCTTCAGTCTTGACTCATTGCCCATTGCTTCTGTGGCTCCACTCTCCAGCCCTGCATCCTCCTGGGCTCTTCTTCCTTCCCTGGGTGCTGCCACCTGACAGTGCGTAGGCCCACTCTGCTGAGCCTCCACCCTGAGCCATTCCATGCCTACCCTCACTTCTCTGTTTTAGTCCTCCATCACTGGTCCCAACCTGGCTCCTGTCCTTCCTCTACCCTTGGGGTAGATTCTTACTTTACATACAGTGAAGCTGTATATCTGTCACATTTCCAAATAACCATGCTTTCTTCTGAGGCTTTCCTTCCTGAAAGGGTCGTTCTCATCCTTCCTCCATCTCTGTGAAAACTCTGGCCATCTCAGGCCAGAAGCTATGGAGTGTGCATGCCACACGTGTCCGTACTGGTGTGGTGGGATGCTTGCATTCTCCCACAGGGATTGTGCAGATACAATCTATGGCTCTTCCAGGCAGTGGGCCCTTTCTGTCCCAAAAGGCATCTGCTCCTTTCTGCCCCCTCAGCCTCTGAGTCACTCTTGTCCACAACCAAGACCAAAATGAGATGGAATCTTAGTATCATTGTGGCTTGCATTTCCTTTATGGCCAAGGATGCTGAGCATGTCTTCCTGTGATTACTGGCTATCTGTACCTCTTCTGGGAAGCATCTGTTCAACTCCTTTACTCATTTATTAATTGGGTTCTTGGATTGTTGGGGGTTTAGTGTTTTGAGCTCCTTGTATATTCTAGTTATTAGACCCTTGTCTGATGTATACCTGGCAAAGATCTCCTGTTTTGTAGGCTGTCTTTTGAGCTTGGTGATTACCCTTCATTGCAGAAGCTTTCTGCTTGATGAAGTCCTAGTGGGAGAGTTTTAATAAGTCCTGTTTGAATAAGATTTCACAAGTTCTTTTCCATAGTTAGTTTGGTAAGGGTCCTGAAGTGACTGTGGATGCCCAGTCATTAGGGCATGGTTTAGGTCCTTGATGAACCTTCAGCAGGAGACTGCCCAGGTGTCCTCTGGGCCCTATGAAGGTCGGGTTCTCAGTGCTCCTGCGATGCCAGGTGCATCCGTCCCCTCTGTGCATGCATGGCCAGGACATAGGTTTGCCTCAAGGTGCCAGGAAGTGCACTGGGTAAGCACTTGTGCTGGGTAGGTCTCCTTGTCCACCTTTCAGAGTTCTTCTGACTGAAAGGTATAATGTGTGCTGTGCCCTTGGATTGGAAATTCAGTTTCTCAGAGGCTGACAAACCATCACTCCTTATACATTTGCTGTTCCTGATGTGCTGGGGCTTTGCTTGAGCACCGGTGACAATTTGAGGGCATTGCTTCACAGAATCTACTTCTCCATACAGCTGATGGTCAGAGCAGATGCTAAAGCAGAGGACTGCTCTCTGCTGTCATGGTGACCTGTGTCGTCAGCTGGCCTGGTTTGGCTGACGAGAGGATTGGGTTCCTGGGGTTTCTTCCTGCATAGTCTTTGGGCATGTGTCTGAGCAGGAGGGGGAGTGGAGTTCTTCCTCTAGGCCTGCAGTCCTGCGATGAAGGGGTACTGAGGGCTGGTAAGAATGTCTGAAGCAAGCCATACAGAGAAGTCTGGCAAGGGCTGCATTGTGAAACTTGCTGCTGAGGGCGCTACAGGCCCCTCAGGAATATCTTAACAGCCTGGTTCAGAAAGTCTGGAGCCTTCCTACTCCTGTGTGAGCAGCAGAATCTGAAACTCCTCCATTACTGGAGTGGACAGATTCTTCATTAGTGCTTTCTTCAGCTGATGATAGTCAGCAGTCCAGCTGTCACTGCCATCCAGCAAGGAGCGAAAGCTCTTAATATGTCTGTGTTCTGTTCAGCATATCTTCAAGGAAAGGATTCATGTGTTTCCTGATAGCTGACAAAGCTACAGAAGGGAAAGTAGTTCTGATGTGACCCTGTGATTTAAGAAAGCTGTTGCTGGCCATGGAGTGTATCACAGTGAGCAGTGGAAGCACTGTGGAGAAGTTGTCCAGTGTCTGGTAACTGCTGTAGGAGCTGACCCCTGCTACCATCCAAGTCCTGGGCCTTGTGTCCTGCCAGCCACTGACCGCTGAACTGAAAGTGAGCAGCGTCACCTCCTCCGGGGCTGCCGTGCAGTGTGAGTCTCATCCGTGGCATGTGTGGAACTGCACATCAGCTAGTAGTAGAGGCGAAGTTCCATTAATCCAGTCCAACAAAATGTGAGCTGCTTTCTGTGGTTCTCAAGTGTGGCTTCGTCCTCAGTTCATTTTCAGATGGATTCTTCGTCATGAGTCAGTGTTTTCATAACAGTCAGGGTATTTGCTGCTGTCTCTGCTTCTTGCTGGTCTGAGTGCAGACTACCTTTAAGCATCAAGATCATCACAGCAAATCCGCTGATGCTAGGGGCAGTGCCATCATCTCAGAGCAGTGGTCACTGTAGAGCCATCAGACTTTGGTTCCGTGGCCCACGGCTTAGCATACCCTATCCTTAGCTGATGGTGTCCAGCTAATGATCAGTATCTATCCCTTGGTGCTTCTCAGCCTGCAGTGTCTGGCCAGAAAGACTGCATCTGGCCAGTGCTGGACAGGCTAGCATACTGCAGCACTTGATAGGAAGGCCACATTGGCTTCACATGGCCAGTTGTGTCTGCTCCTTTATGTATAGTGTCAGAATATAATCCCATGAGCCTTCCGTGGAACATCTGCCTTCAGGTGTCCCAGTAGTACATTTACACACTGTCATTGGCTGTGAGGGACGAGGCTGTGTTGAGACATAGCCCCAACTACTTCCTGCACTGGCATGTCACTTCAGAATTGGTGTACTGCTAGTAATTTGCCAAAGTGGGTACCATTGTCAAGTTTGTGGTGCAGTGTCCTGGTGTTACCTTTCATCACAGATTCCTGTGAGCCTCCTCTATCCAGTGTACGCACCACATCCTGCTTGTCAACTTCAGATCAAAGGCCATGAGGTGGGGATCTGTAATTGAGGGTAAAATAAAACTAAAATCTTGGGTTATTGCTGAGGAATTATGTAACATGAAGCAGAAGATAAGGACTTCTTTACAAAAAGATTTGCATTTGAGGAGTCAACATATGAATTGGTAGCCAGGATTCATATAACTGCCCAGTTCCTTGTTAGCTTATAATATTTGTATTCATTTTGGTATTATTGTTCCCAAAAGTAGAAAATCTTTATGTGGCTTGACTTTGCTGTGTGGGTTGGAACTCCTGCATACACCTCAAGGCTTCAGGAAGAATCCCATGGCCTCCAGTGGCCAGGGTCCTTCGTCTGAACCAGCAATTGAACTTTGCTCAAAAGGAACTTTCACATCTGATAGTTACTGTGTTCTGTGGGCTTGCTTGGATTGGCACGGGCCTAGGAGGTTGATGCAACATGCTCCTGGGTGTCCGAGGCATTTCCATCCTACCGTGCATATGGTCAAAGGCTGGGGCTTAGGGGGCTGGGAAGTTGGTTCAGTGGTAGAGCGCTTGCCTTGCATGCTGGAGGCCCTGGGTTCGATTCCTCAGCACCACATAAGCAAAAAGAAAAAAGCCGGTAGTGGCGCTGTGGCTCAAGCGGTAGAGCGCTAGCCTTGAGCTGAAGAGCTGAGGGACAGCGACCAGGCCCAGAGTTCAGGCCCCACGACCAGACCAAAAAAAAAAAAAAATGGCTGGGGCTTAGATGGAATAAAAGAAATGGAAAAAGCCCCCATTCGCACAGGCATTCTCCATCTCTGTCTGTTTCTCCTTCCTGGCTACTGGGATTCGAGCTGTTCCACCGTGCCTTACCCACTGTAATGGACTGAAACCTCTCTAGCTGAGCAAGATGGATCTTTGCTCCTCTCACATCATTTCTTTTACGGTAGCAAGAGCATTCATTTATCCATCCCAGGCCCTGCACTTGAGTTTTCTGAGTACCACAATCCACCCTTGGAGCCCCTAGCATTCATAGGGGTCTTTCCTGTTACTCCACTGTGGGGTGGCCACACAGGCCCATCCTCGCTGCCTTATCTCCCTCAGCCTCCCTCGGCCTTGGCTGTGGCTGGAACGAAGGAAGTACACAGGGCTTTCCCCTTGGCAGCAACCTGAGGCTCATGGGCAGGCCTTGCCTGCTGTTGGGTACTGAGCCTTGGTGTTCACGTGAGGCATCCCTTATCCTGGCTGGAAGTTTTTGTTTCTGGGACTTCCCTGTTCCTGGCTTCTGCCTCTTCATTCATCTGGTAAATGTACCTCAGGCAGGCCTCTCTTATCTCTAATAATCTGCCTTCATAGTGCAGCCAGGGCCTGCTCTGTGGTACAGGAGTCTCTGCATCTTCTCTTCCTGGAGGCAATGGAATTAATGGGGGTTAGTGCAAGTCTCGTCGCATTCTCGTACCTTGCATGCCTGGTACACGTACAGGACTTCCCTCCTTGATGATGCTGAGTGTTTGCAAATTTGCTGTCACCTCAGGGATAACTCTGTATAATAATTCTGCCTAAATATATCAGTGTCAGTGTGTTTGAGGAGGAAATCTATTGCTTTTCCAGACATCTCCATTTGTTACAGTCAGGAATCTGAATTCTATTCTTTTTCTTTGCTGGTTATGTTTTGAGACAGCTGCTGCCAGTTTGGAGGTTCTATTAGAAACCATTCCTAGAAGATTAGAACTTGGTGACAGTTTTCTACTATGACAGCCTGTCTAATTAAAGACATTTTAATTTTTGTTTAAAAAATATGATTTCTGGGGAAGAATTCTTAATTTTAGCTAACATTCTAGTTGCTATTTTACTTTTTTTTTGGTCAGTCGTGGGGCCTGAACTCTGAGCCTGGGTACTGTCCCTGAGCTTCTCAGCTCAAGGAGAACGGTCTACGATTTGAGCCACAGCGCCACTTCTGGCTTTTTCTGTTTATGTGGTGCTGAGGAATTGAACCCAGGGCCTCATCCATGTAAGGCAAGCGCTCTACCACTGAGCCACCTTCCAAGTCCCTATTATTTAAAATAATTTTTTTTTATTGAGATGAGGTGATTACATAAATTTCACATATTTCACAGTATTGTAGAATAGTGATACTTTGTTAAAGTCACAGACACATCTTAACCTTCACAAGGCAAATTGTCATTATCATGATCTATAAAGTTTGTGAATTCTATGGGCTTTGACAGTATAACTATTTCTTCCACACCAGGTGATGATTACGTTTCTTTCCTTTTGCTTAGTGTTGGCTGTTCCGTCTTTCCCTCTTGTTCCCTCCCTCCCATCGCTGCCTTTGAGTTGCTTAGCTCATTTTCATCAATGTCCAGTATAGTTGATAGGCCCCTCTGTTGTATGTTTTCCCATTTCCCTCTGATTCTGTGTCCTCCTCCTGGCTTCCCTCAGATGTGTACATATATATATATATACACCATATATGTGGTCAAGAACATGGTGTCATTTAGCAATGATACAACAAAAAGAGTGGAAGTCCTTTGTTTCTTGAGTCCTGTTTACTTTGTCATATGTCCTTGCATTTTGCCCAGCCCCTATTTTATTTTTTTTTTGAAACCTAATTTTCTTTTCTTGGATTGGTTTTTGCCAACAACATATTAAGGGTACACATTTCCTATCTTTATACATTTGCTTACACTGAGGGAAAATTCTGATAAAATGCTGATAACAGAAAGAAGGAGATGATGGATTGTTTTCTCAGGTCCTGGGGCTTGAATTCAGTGCCTGGGCATTGTCCCTGAGCTTTTTTTGCCAAAGGCAAGTGTTCTTCACTTGAGCCACAGCTCTACTGCTGGCTGTTTTGGTGCTTTTGAGATAAGAGTCGCACAGACTTTCCTGTTCTGCTGGCTTCAAATCATGATCCTCAGATCTCAGCCTCCAGAGTAGCCAAGGTTATAGGCATGAGCCCTAATGTCTGGCTTAGATTTTTTTCTTTTACTCACTTAAGAAAACTATGTCTTGGAAGTGGTGCTGTGGCTCAAGTGGTAGAGCATTAGCCTTGAGCTGAAGAGCTGAGGGACAGCGCTCAGGCCCAGAGTTCAAGCCCCATGACCGACAAAAAAAAAAAAAGAGAAGTATGTCTGTATTGGCATAGATAAATTTAAATTTGACTTGAAACTTTCTGATGAATTTCATTAAAATGAGCAAAATGCTTTGGATTTTAGAGTCTTTCCTTGAATTAAATTGTCTATATAATTGCTATAGATATTTGTTTAAGTTTAGATGAATAAATCTAAACAAATCTTTTGAAAATAAAAAATGATCTTGCAGCCAGGCACTGGTGGCTCACGCCTGTAATCCTAGCTACTCAGGAGGCTGAGATCTGAGGATCGTGGTTCAAAGCCAGCCCGGGCAGGAGAGACCGTGAGACTCCTATCTCCAATAAACCACCAGAAAACCGGAAGTGGCACTAGGATCGTGGTTCAAAGCCAGCCCGGGCAGGAGAGACCGTGAGACTCCTATCTCCAATAAACCACCAGAAAACCGGAAGTGGCGCTGTAGCTCAAGTGGTAGAGCACTCGCCTTGAGCTGAAGAGCTGAGGGACAGTGCCCAGGCCCAGGGTTCAAGCCCCACGACCGACAAAAAAAAAAAAAATGATCTTGCAGAATTTTGTTTATGATTTTTCTTCTATTTTTGTTCTGTTAGGAATAATTTTAAATGAGATTGATAGTTGAATAATACTATTTATAGTTGTAACTTTTGTGATTTATAGAAAAAATGAGCATTTGATCATAAACAGTTTACTATTATGTAGACTATGTGTCTTAAGTATTTATAAACTTCCTGTATAGGATAACATTTCCTGATTATTTGCATTTATGCTACTTTTTATTTGATACTCTAAATATACTCAGTGAAAACTCAGCTTCATGCCTCCTCCTCCTCCTCCTCTTCCTCCTTATTCTCCTCTTCCTTCTACTTCTCTTCCTCTTCCTCCTCCTCTTCTTCTTCTTCCTCCTCCTCCTCTACCTCTTCTTCCTCCTCCTCTTCCTTCTCCTCCTCTTCCTCCTCCTCCTCCTTTTCCTCCTTATTCTCCTTCTCTTCCTTCTACTTCTCTTCCTCTTCCTCCTCCTCCTCATTCTCCTCTTCCTTCTACTTCTCTTCCTTTTCCTCCTCCTCCTCTTCCTCCTCTTCCTCTCCTCCTACTCCTCCTATCCGCCAAACCTCCACATTGATCGTGGAGTCAGTTGATCATGCTTTTGTTCTTATCCAGAGTGGAGGCATTCTGCCTTGTGGCTGCTGAGTTACTTGCTGTTGACTGCTAGCTCTCTTGTCTTGGAGAACAAGTGTAACAGTTTGTAAGTAGGGTTCTCTTCAAGACTAAATCATCATCCTTTGACAGTTTCAGCAATGTTGGAAATTTCATTTTCCTATAATGGAAGGTGTAGCTTCTTGGGATGGGGGAGCACAGTCCTTTCTAGGTGTGATTTGCTGCTTTCTACTGCTCCCCCTCCCTGTGGAAGGAAACTACAGGCCCTGGTGTGTGATTTCCATGTGGGCTGGACTAGTCTCCTTTCCTTGTCACTGCAGGTTCCATCCGAGAAGAGAACGGGGTCCGGTGGCACGTCTGCCCCTACTGCACCAAGGAGTTCCGGAAGCCCAGCGACCTCGTGCGCCACATCCGCATCCACACCCATGAGAAGCCCTTCAAGTGTCCGCAGTGTTTCCGGGCCTTCGCTGTGAAGAGCACGCTGACTGCGCACATCAAAACCCATACCGGCATCAAGGCCTTCAAGTGCCAGCACTGCATGAAGAGCTTCTCCACCTCAGGGAGCCTCAAGGTGCACATCCGCCTGCACACAGGTGCGCCGTTTCTTGGGAGGACACCAGTGGGCAGCGTAAGGGGAGAGCCAGGCCTTGGTCCTCTAGGCTGTGTGTGTGTGTGTGTGTGCGTGTGTGTGTGTGTGTGTGTGCGCGCGCGTGTGTGCACGCGTGCGTCCGTGCCTGTCTTTTCATTTGAGCCAGGGTCTCACTTTGTAATGCAGACTGGCTTGGAACTTGTAGTTTTTCTGCCTCAACCATCTGAATTACACATGTATACCATACAGGCTTTATATTCCTTCTGAATTACACATGTATACCATACAGGCTTTGTATTCCCTCTGACTTACACATGTGTACCATATAGGCTTTATATTCCTTCTGAATTACACATGTATACCATGCAGGCTTTGTATTCCCTCTAAATTACACATGTGTACCATACAGGCTTTATATTCCTTCTGAATTACACATGTATACCATGCAGGCTTTGTATTCCCTCTAAATTACACATGTGTACCATACAGGCTTTGTATTCCTTCTGAATTACACATGTGTACCATACAGGCTTTGTATTTCCTTCTGAATTATACATCTATACCATACAGGCTTTGTATTTCCCTCTGAATTACACATGTATACCATACAGGCTTTATATTTCCTTCTTTCTCTCTACACACACTCACTTGTGGTATCAGGGTTTGAATTCAGGGCCTTGTGCTGGCTAGTCAGGCATTACACCACTTGAACCATAGTCCCAGCTCATAAGCAGTGTTTATTCATTTGCCATGTTGGTCCACATGGAGGAGCCATATTGGACAGGACATATTCATAACACTTCTGGGGGAGAGCAGCCTGGGCTTTAGACTGAGTGAGCCTTTTGAAGGAGGAAATGCATGCTGCATCATCCTGGGGGCTTGTGGTGTGGCAAGCCGAAGCAGCTGATTGGCCTGGCAGCCTGGGAAAGAGCCCGTTGGACCAAGGCCTTGAACAGGGAGCAGACTTCCATGTCTTCCTTGCTCTCAGATCTTCTTTAGCCACTATTACAGCATGAAATTGTTCATATCTGGGCTCTACATCTTTTAAAGTAACAGCTTTCTTGAGATGTAATTCACATGCAATTTATGAAGTATATAGTTTATAATTGTGTGATCCACACAACTGTCTACTGGAAACATTTTTATACCTTCAAAAAGTCTGTGTACTGGACTATAGTGAGTGTCCTTGCAGACCTCAGTACTGTCTTCTCTGTGTGTGTGTGTGTGTGTGTGTGTGTGTGTGTGTGTGTGTGTATGTGTGTATGCATGCATTGTTAGAAACCAGTTTTGTTGCATGTCTGTTCTTTAAATCTGTATTGTCATTTATGTTATGAATAAAGTTGTAAGAAGAGGAAATTCCCTTCAGGGAAGAGATAGTGGTTGAGGATAATCATTTGCAGTCAGTGACTACTAGCACTGACTCATGCTCAGTGCTGGTTCTGCATCAGCATGTAACCCCTGTAGTGGCTAGTGAGGGCTTCGCATCCCAGGTTTATGGATGTCAGCCGAGCTGACAAGAGAGCTCTCTCTTGTCACATCACAGTTCTTAAGAACGACTAGTTGTTTGAATGTCTGTATTTTACAATGTATCGCTTTGTTCTAAATCTAGGAAATGTTCTCTGTTACTTACCATAACTTCTACATGTACTGTTCAAATCAAGGGAACAAATAAACATAAACAGGGAGTAACAAATGAAATACTTAAATCAGTATTCGAAATACTAACAGTGTATGTTGGCATTTGCCATTGAGGTGTAAGTCCCTGAAATAATGATTTTATTTTATTAGGAGTCAGACCTTTTGCCTGTCCTCACTGTGACAAAAAGTTCCGAACCTCAGGACACAGGAAGACTCATGTCGCCTCCCACTTCAAACACACGGAGTTGAGGAAAATGAGGCACCAGCGCAAACCTGCGAAGGTTCGCATTGGCAAGACAAATGCTCCCGTCCCCGACGTTCCTCTGCAAGAACCAATTCTCATAACTGACTTGGGTAAGACAGAGTGTGGCATTGTCACCACTTACTGGGCCCGCTGTCCTTCCATCCCTAATAGGAAAGTTGTGGATGCGTTTTGGTGTGGGCAGATAAATATTTCCAGCATACTATTAGTGAAGATTTCCTTAACACTTGTTTTATTTTTGGACTTCTGTGTTCCTCACTAAGGATTAAAAGCCTCAGGTACCACTACCTAGATTGTATTTCTGGTTAAAGGGGAAGTATGTGAGGGGAAGTCCTCACTAAAGACATGCTTCTGAGCTAGCATTGTAAGAAACCTCTTTTTAAGTCCATTTGCATTGCTGTAACAAGGAGAGCTTCTGCTAGTAGCTCACGAATAGTAGCAGGTTATTTCTCTCAGACCTAGAGGCTAGTAAGTCCAAGGTGACTCAGTGACTGGGAGGCCCAGCTCCCATAGATGACACCGGGTAGTCCTCTGGGGCTCTGTAATAGGCGCTAATACTGCTTATGAGGGCTCCACTCCAGACCCAGTCATTTCCCCTAACCCTTGAGAGAAGGGGGACTGAGGGAGAGCCATGCCCAAGCGGGTGAGTCTGATCAAAGTATGTTGTATGTATGTATGCACATATCAAAGTGGAACCCCCTGTACAACTAATTCATGCTAATATAAATGTGTGTGCATGTGCATGTGTATGTGTGTGTAAACATGTTAATTAAGTGGCTCATCTAGGTCCACTAGTTAGTGAGCAAGTAAAAGGATAACAGTGATTAGGAGCCTGCCGATTGCTATGACATTGGGATTTGATTTCAACAGAAGACTTTTGTGGGAACACAGGTGTGTAGACAAGCATTATTTAAATTCTGTGTGTAAATTTACATTTTTATATGTTGTCTATATTATATGATTTTCCTAGACAAGATAATCTAGCCTAAGCAGAATTAATCTCAAAAAACAAAGATGTAGTTTAAATTGATATAAGGTAATGAGTGGTTAGAACCTTTATAGATATCTAAGACCATTATATCAAAAAATGTAAACCAAAACATTTATAAGAAAAGAAATTCAAATTCTTGAGTGAGGGATCCTCAGTTAGAAGTATTCCTTACCAGAAGCACAGTAGAATTGATGCATACGAGCACATACCAATTGGCTTTGAAATAGCTATGGGGTCTTTTTTTTATTTTTGGTCAGTCATGGGGCTTGAACTCTGGGCTTGGGCGCTGTCCCTCAGCTCTTCAGCTCAAGGTGCGTGCTCTACCGCTTGAGCCACAGTGCCACTTCTGGTTTTCTAGTGGTTTATTGGAGATAAGAGTCTCACGAACTTTCCTTGCCTGGGCTGGCTTTGAACCTTGATCCTCAGATCTCAGCCTCCTGAGTAGCTAGGATGACAGGGGTGAGCCACCAGCACCCGGTGTAATAGAGTCTTTTACCTCAAATATTCTTTCAGATATGCACAAATGGTTTCAATCTAAATCATAGACAAAATTCAGTAAGTTCTGAAAAAGTGATATTGTTTAGGATATAATCTGTAATTACAGTTGAGTAAAAACAATTAAAAATACCCATGCAAAACTTGTATGTTACAGTTGGGAGGAAGAGTCAAACAAGTTGGGTTGGTCTATGCTGACCTCAGAAACATTAGGTCTTTTGAGTGTTCTTATTAAAAATAAGTATGGAACAAATATTTAACTGAAAAGCTGGGCAAATGGAAAAAGCAGGAAAGAACTGGTAAATATAAAATGATTTAAGATAAATTGATAATTTTATAAAACTTAAATAATAAAACAGATGACTTGTCATTAATGAACCAAAGAGAAAATGGAACATATACAAGGAATGAGAAGTGTTAGAGATGAGCATTGTTTAAAGCATTCTACAACTGCACTTGAAAATGTAGATGAGGGGCTGGGAAGGTGGCTCAGAGGTAGAGCGCTTGCCTTGCATGCATGAGGCCCTGGGTTCGATTCCTCAGCACCACATAAGCAGAAAAAGCCAGAAGTGGCACTGTGGCTCACATGGTAGGATGCTAACCTTGAGCTGAAGAGCTGAGGGACAGTGCCCAGGCCCAGAGTTCAGGCCCCACGACCGGACCACCCAAAAAATTTAAAAAAAAAAAGAAAAGAAAATGTAGATGAAATGGTTATTTTCTGGGTGATAAATGATCAGAATCATCCTTAGAAAAACACACAACCAATTACTGAGATAGTAAGATCACCTTCCTCACACCAGTCTGTAGTGACTATGAGTGCATTTTGTCTGGCTTCCTGGGGTATTTAATTGTCATGGCAATTGATGTTTCAGAGCATGGAAGGATGCATTTCCCTCTGGAATTTGGACACTTTGATTTATTTTTCCATTTTTCAGAACTTAAAACACTTTTGTCTATTTTCAGAGGGAGAAGGGGAGAGAGAGAGAGAGAAGAAAGAGAGAGAGAGAGAGAGTGTGTGTGTGTGTGTGTGTGTGTGTGTGTGTGTGTATGTATATACACCTGTGCTAGGCTTGAACTCAAGCGCTTGCATTTGGCTTTTTCCTTTAGGCTGTCACTCTACCACTTGAGCCATTCCTATACTTCTGGCTTTTTGGTGGTTACTTGGAGATAGGAGTTTCTTGGATTTATCTGCCAGGCTAGCTTTAAGCTGCAATCCTCAGATCTCAGCTTCCCCAATATCTAGGATTATAGGCTTAAGCCACCAGCACCCAAGAAATATAGGTCCCATGGTTTCCCTTATTTGCAATGACTAGTATATATCTAAGATGATCTTATCAGACAGACAGAAAAGGTCAAAAGCTATGTACATATGACCATATAAGATGATGCTAAGTGAAATGAACCCCAAGATAGGGAACCAAGAGATTTTTTTCTTTGTCACTGTTTTTAATGAACTATGGGATTTTTTCGTTTCTTTTGTATGTTCTTCCCCCATATATAACCCCTGTTGTCACTGTATTTGGCTCAGGTTGTTTTTGTTTTTTGTTTTTTTGGTTGGTCATGGGGCTTGAACTCTGGGCTTGGATGCTGTTCCTGCACTCTTCAGCTCAAGGTGAGCGCTCTACCGCTTGAGCCACAGTGCCACTTTGGTTTATTGGAGATAAGAGTCTCACGGACTTTCCTGCCCGGGCTGGCTCTGAACTGTGATCCTCATATCTCAGCCTCCTGAGTAGCTAGGATGACAGGTGTGAGCCACCAGCGCCCAGCTTGGCTCAGGTTGTTTTAAATCAAATTAAATACCTATCTGTTCCTTTTTTTTTTTTTTTTTTGGTGGTCGGTCTTGGAGCTTGAACTCAGGGCCAATGTGATGTCCTTGGCCTCTTCAGCTCAAGGCTAGAGTTCTACCCCTTGAGCTACAGCATTAATTGGAGATAAAAGTCTCATGGACTTTTCCTGTCCAGGCTGGCTCTGAACTGCAGTCCACAGATCTCAGCCTCCTGAGTAGCTAGGATTACAAGCGTGAGGCACTGGCACCCTGCTCCTATATGTTTTTTAACTTCAGGTTTATAAATCTTTGAATTACATTAGAATCTTTATTCTACAGTTTTTTTTTTTTTGGTAGTTACTTTGTCCATTGGCTTCAAAGGTGCCTGAATCTTGGATCAAGTACCTGAATTTCCCTTTGGTGTTGGCTGTGGGATACATGATCTAAATTATTTGTAGACATGGCATCACACTGTAAAACAAATGATTGTAACTGTTTTGTGCTGACTCCATTATTACTTATGTGTGTTCATGTTGTTAGAGACTTAGCTCTTTTTGTCTTTGAATACTGAGCTTGAGACTCGTTGTCACTGAGCTCCTTGGGGGTCTATGAAAGATCTGGCTACGATGCTGATTTTGATAAAAACACACAGGATTTTAGCATAAAATACTTTAAGCTATTTAACCTTATTGGGAGGTGGGCTGGTCCATTTCAGTTTAGTTACTTACAGCACAGGATGTTTTACACAAAGACTGTTGTTTAAGAAAGTTTTGGGATGCATTAACAATACTGTAGCAACTAATTCTCTTCATTGTTAAGGAAAATGGTTGTATGGTATTGAAACAAGTGGTCATGTGTTTTTAGAAACTTTAAAACAACCTTCCCTCAGTTATTGTGCATTCTCTACTGCTGGTTTTTATAGACCTAAGTACAGGTTTGGTAGCATTTCAGACTTTGAGGTCATCCAACTGGGTTGCATCACCCATGGTGACCCTAAGAGACGAATCTTCTGAATTCTAGGCCTGGCTTGGCCTCCGTTGAGTGAAACTCACATTTCTTCTGTGTCTACAGCCATTGACCATCATCATACTCAGAACTGTGGACACAGCCACTCCTGGCTGAACTTGGAGATTGCGTATTGTTGGTCTCTGGAGGGAGTGCCTTGAAGGACATTCTCTCGATCACATGCAGACATTCTTGTTTTAAAGTCAGGAACTAATTTTTTTCTTCCCTTCCTCTTTCCCTCTCTTTCTCCCTCCCTCCCTCTCTTCCATCCTTCCCTTTCATTAGCACAGATTAGTTATACAAGGGGAATTTCATTGTGACATTTACATACAAGCAAGAACTAGGTTTTGAATAGAATGATGTTCAGACTGGGGAAGTACTGGAGTCCATATGATGATGTAAGTTGAGTATCTGTCACCCAAAATGCTTGGGACAAAATGTTTTGATATTAGGTATCTTGCATGTATATGTTTGTGTATATGTGCATATTTATACACACACATGTTTGTATACATCTAATATATACACATATACACACATGCACATACATATACATATATAGCACATATATGTGTGTGTATCATATATAAAATGGTTTGTTTTTGTGGTGAGATCCAATCTAGACAAAATTCCTACATACCATATAGGCATAGGCTGAAGGTAATTTTTACAGAATTTTTAGTGTGCCTATATTTTGACTATATCCTGTTATGGGTCAAATGTGTGAGAGTGGTTAAAATTTTTGAATTTGGGAATATTTCAGATAAGGGAGTTTTAATCTATATTCTGTTCTACAATTATTTCCTTTTTTTTGGGGGGTGGGGGGGTCCGGTCGTGGGGCCTGAACTCTGCCTGGGCGCTGTCCCTCAGCTCTTCAGCTCAAGGCTAGCGCTCTACCACTTGAGCCACAGCGCCACTTCTGGCTTTTTTCTTTTTGCTTATGTGGTGCTGAGGAATCGAATCCAGGGCCTCATGCATGCAAGGCAAGCGCTCTACCACTGAGCCACCTTCCCAGCCCCTACAATTATTTCTTAACTTATGAATCATGTGTGTGTGTATTATGAGTTATCTCACAAAGGTATGTTATATCAAATACACATCCTATATAAATATATACCAAATCACTTATATATGTGAATGTGAATATATATGACATGTCTATTTTCAACTACATCAGTTTCTGTATCTGTTGACTATGCATGTGTTCTACATCATTTTGCTGAGTACCAATGTGTGAAATATTTTTCTGTCACGTGAGATAGGCTTTAGTTATGGACAGTTTTGTACCGGGGGCTTGATTGGTACTTAAGGATGTTTGCTGTTTTAGTGCTGTGATATGCATGCAGTTACCTCGCTTGTTCACACTGTGTCTGACGCTGGGTGTCCAGATTATGATGTTAGATATAGTCTCCTTGTGCTGTCACATGTAGTGTTTGCATTCTGTTGAAGACCAAGCTCCATAATAGAAAACTTTTCTTGGATCTTATAGAAGGAACTTATGGATACTTCACAGACATTTCTAGTCTATTTTTGAATTACACTAATTAAATATCTATCCATACCTCTTGTCTTCTCTTCCCTCTCGCCATCGCCCCTTCCCTCCCCTCCCTTTCTTGCCAGTACCAGGGTTTGAACTCAGCCTCATGTGATAGCTTACGCTCTACCACCGAGCCTTACCTATGCCTTCCTTTAGTAGCTATTAGTAAAAATTAGAGGTTTCTTATTTAACAAACAAATATGTTTATAGGTATTATATTTATAAATAAGTTAAGTAGCATTGTTTTATTTATCCTTACTTTTTTCTTTAAAAAGTATGACCTCAGTCTGTTTTGATAGAAATAGTGTACTAAAATTTGCAAAGGTGAAAACAGAGTATTTGAGAAATTAGCTTGTTATTTTACTTCATGTCTTACAGTAGGGACCTGCCCTCTCCAATGAAGGGCTCAAAAGTACATCTGCAACGATAACTCTCTTTGTGCTGGTCTCTCTTTGTGAGCTCATTGCTTGGGCAATGACCCATTATCCCTGAGCTCTTTTGCTCAAGGCTAGTGCTCTATCACTTGAGCCATGGCTCCACTTCTGGCTTTTTTTTTGGAGGGGGGGTGCTTAATTAGAGATTTAGCTGAAGAGTCTCACAGACTTGCCTGCCTGGGTTGGCTTTCAGCCATCCTCCTCAGACTTCAGCCTCCTGAATAGCTACGATTGCAGACATGGGCCACTTGCACCCAGCCTTTGGACCTCTTTTAAAACATCCACGTGGGGGGAGGAGGGTTGGATGGGGGGGGCGGGGGGAGGATGGGCAGGGATGGGAAGGGGAAACAAAGGAGGAGGCTGCAATGCTTGATAAGAAATGTACTCATTATCTTGCCCATGTAATTGTAACCCCTCTGTACAGTATTTCCACAATTAAAAAAAAAAAATAAAACATCCATGTACTTGAGCATCGACCCAAGGATTGTATGCCTGGGGGGAGATGCTAGGTGACAGTGGTCCATCCTCAGGTTGTTTGTGATTGAAGCCTATGTCAGAATAGCATGGATTCGGTGAATTCTGTGTAGATATCCAGGGGGGGCATGCAGTGAATTCTGTGTAGACATGCAGAGGGCATGCGGTGAATTCTGTGCAGACATGCAGAGGGCATGCGGTGAATTCTGTGCAGACATGCAGAGGGGAGGGTTAGCGCAGTGGTGAGGCATGGATGAGTCGGAAGGGATTTGGTGCACAGACTGGTGATTACAGAGCAGCACGAGATGGAGTTTCACAAAGATCTGAACAGTTTTGCCTCACAGTTGCTCTTTTATCACCACTGAGGCCTTGTGGGATAAGCATTTGGATTGTGAAGTTTTCTATTTTTTAATTCAAGGCCTGTGCTAGGCAAGAATTCTACTACTTGAGCCACATGCTAACTCCTGGCTTTTGTTTTTTGCTTTTATTGTTTTTCAGGCAGGATCTCACTTTCTTGTCTAGGTCTGGCCTCAGGTTGTAAGCCTCCTTACCTTCACATAGTTGGGATCACAGGCGCTTAAAACCATACACAGGCTATTTGTTGAAATGAGTCTCACATACTTTTTGTCGAGGCTGACACTGAGCCATGATCTGATCCCCACTCAGTATCTGTCTTTCCAGGGAGCTGGGATTATAAACATGGGCCACTGCTCTTGAGCCTGAAATATAAAGTTCGGTAAGCTTACTTAGAAATAACTAAAGACATCACTCTTTCTAGTTGCCATTTGGAGAATGTACACATCCAAAGGAAGTCTACTTGGAGAATAATCACATTAGGTTTTTCTTTACCTATCCGTTATTCTTTTTTTTTTTTTTGGTCAGTCCTGGGGCTTGAACTCTGGGCCTGGGCGTTGTCCCTCAGCTCTTCAGCTCAAGGCAAGCGCTCTACCACTTGAGCCACAGTGCCACTTCCGGTTTTCTGAGTGATTTATTGGAGATAAGAGTCTCACCGACTTTTTCTGCCTGGGCTGGTTTTGAGTCGATGGTCAAATCTCAGCCTCCCTGAGTAGCTAGGATTACAGGTGTGAGCCGCCAGCACCCGGCCCAAATTATTCTGCATTTAGGGAACCTAATGTGGTTCCCTAAATGCAGTGGATGTCCAATAGTGCTTACCATAAAGCTATAAATAAATGCCTTTAGTTTGAGTTTGCATAATTTGCAGATGTGGAAAACAGGGATCAGTTACTCAGTTACATTGTGTTTTTCTGCCAGATAGTGTTACTTGGATTTACAACTGTACAATGGCAACTTATATCCTGATAGAGTGGGGAAAAAGAGACATGGGGCTAAGCAGTGAGTAGTAACAGGTGCTAAAAATAGAAATAAGTCTAGTAACAGGAGGGAGGGTCTCCAGGAAATGGCAAGAGTATAAAGCTGGGGATCATTTGGTGCAGTTGCATTTTTGAGTGGTAGCGGGTGACTGAATGGGTGGATGGATGGATGGATGGATGGGTGAATGGATGGGTGTAGTAGGCTGGATGGATGGATGAGTAGATGGACGGATGGATAGATGTGGTTGGATGGATGGAGGGATGAATGGCGAGGGAGGGATGGGTGAACAGAATAGAATGATGGATGAACAGATGGATTTGGTTGAGTAGATGGATGGATGATGGATGGAGGAGTAGACAGATGAGTGGATGGACAGAGGGATGTGGTTGGTTGGGTGGATGGATGGATGAATAAGCTGACTGCATTTGTGGTAGTAGACATAGAAATGAAGAAACTAGTTTAAGAGACACTAGAGAGATGTGAATGATCAGATTGGCGTTGATTTTCCTAACAAGAGGAAGAGTCTCAAGATTCTGAAGCATCTAGCCCATGGATCAGAAAGAGCTGTGCAGGGCAGTAGATTTTAGGAGAAAGAAGTGAAACCTAACATGGGCTTGTGGGGGTCAGGACTGACACACTGGATTCCGTGCATATGTAGTGGCAGCGTCGTATCACAGTTGGTGATCACGGCAGTCATTTATATAGTTAAAAACATGCAAACTGTGAGATACGAAATACAGCCATGACAATACACACAGCTTCATGGTGGAACCAAGTGTCTTAATTTATGAATGTGTCTCTGTAGGTCTGCAGTAGTTCCCAAGGTGATTACAATAGCATCTGGTTACAACCTTAGAATCAACAACTTATTCGCATTTTAATCTTAAGGGAAAAGCAGACGCCTTTTAACATTTAAATTTATCTCTACTGTTGACAGTGAATTATGCCTGCTTTTCTTTTGGCTTGTAGGTCTTATCCAACCCATTCCAAGAAGCCAGTTTTTCCAAAGTTATTTTAATAATAATTTTGTCAATGAAGCAGATAGACCGTACAAGTGTTTTTACTGTCATCGGGCATATAAAAAGTCTTGCCACCTTAAACAACACATCAGGTAAGGTAACATAAGTTACAGAAATGGAAGTTTTGTATACTTATAGAGACTTAGTGGTCTAATGACTTGTTAGGTCGCTAGGGAGGGGATGGTTTTGGTGTTTTGTTTTTGTTTTGGCACTTGGGCTTGAACTCAGAATCTTTCTTTTTCTCTTGCTTGTTTTTTTCACTCAACCACTTGAGCCATGCCTCTAGCCCTAGCTGATGTTTTTATTGTCAACTAAAACATTTTACTCAGATATTGATCAAGCCCTAGTGACTTGTGCCTATAATCCCAGCTACTCAGGAGGCTGAGATCTGGAGGATATGGGTTCAAAGCCAACCTGAGCAGAAAAGCTCTTGAGACTCCATCTCCAGTTAACCAGCAACAAACCTGGGCAGAGGGTATGTCTTAAGTGGTAGAAGGTCATCGATAAAAAAGTAATCCAAGTGATCAGGAGGCCCTGCTTCTAGCCTCAGTACTGGCGAAGCAAAGGAAGAAAAGAAATTTCTACTTAATTTTATTCATAGTTCCATTACATTTCGGTGTTTACAAGTTACAGGAAAGATCAAAGAGGAATCTGGTTATTTAATTTGATTTATGTTGTTATGTTTGAGGTTTGCAGAGTCTGGGTCTCTGCTGGCTAACTGCTTAGCTGGGAAAATGTGATGCTGGGGTACAAGGCATATAAGTGTGTATGCTCATAATGAAGTGTTATCAGAACAGAAGAAGAGCACTCATCACATTGTCTTTCTTTTAGATCACATACAGGGGAAAAGCCTTTTAAGTGTGCTCAGTGTGGAAGAGGCTTTGTTTCTGCAGGTGTGCTCAAAGCGCATGTCCGGACGCACACAGGACTGAAATCTTTTAAGTGTCTGATCTGTAATGGAGCCTTTACCACTGGCGGTAGTTTACGGCGGCACATGGGCATACATAATGACCTCCGTCCCTACATGTGTCCTTACTGCCAGAAAACATTTAAGACCTCTCTAAACTGCAAGAAACACATGAAAACCCATAGGTAGGTATAATTCTGCTAGTCACTTTATTCATTGCTGATTGTTACTTTTTATTTATCCACAATTCCCAGATAGTGGGATACAAAATCCTATAATCCTAAGATCCTAGCTATTGAGAGGCTGAAAAACAACTGGGCGTGGAGGTATGGCTCGTGGTGCGCCAGCGGGAAGTAAGAAGCTAAGCGGGAGTGCAAGGTCCTGAGTTTAAGCCCTAGTACTGGCCAAGAGAAAACATAAAAAAGAAAGAATAATTATCTTTGATTTCTGCATTATCATTTCTAACTTGGAGCATATATGGGCTGCAGAAACTGTCAGTGTCTGAGGATCTTCTGAGACCAATAGATGAATGCATTAACTTATTCATTTATTTATCTCTTGAAACAGAGCTTCACTATGTAGCTCAGGGTGACTTTGAACTCCTGCCTGGGCCTCCCAAATGTTGGGGCCTTAGAAATGTACCTCTATTTCCACTTGGCTCTTGACCTTTGCCATGAGAGAGGCCTGAAACTTGGGAACTCATATACCCAGTGGCACATTGAATGATACTTTTCTCTGTATTAAGCCAGGCCTTCTGTGGTAGTACTGGGAAAACTCTTAAGGTGTTGAAAGCTTTTGAGGCCACTGGCCAGTGGTATAATTGCTAGGTCACATGTACTAGGTGGAACTGGTTAGTAGCCATACTATTTGTCCTGGGTTACACTAAGGAGGAGTAGGAGTAGTATGCATTCTATAGACTTGAAGTGAATGACTCTGAGGTGACCTTCGACAGGTAGATCAGGCTGTATGTACATGAAGCCGCACATCCACGAGCAGAGAGGAGATCCTGTGTCTTGTCACTTTCTCTGAGGATCGCTAGATGTGCAGGATGCTGTTCTCTGCTTGTGGAAGCAGGGCTGTGCCTCAAGTGGTAGAGTGCTAGCCTTGAGCAAAAGAGCTCAGGGGCAGCACCCAGGCCCAGAGTTCAAGTCCCGGGACTGAAGAAAAAAGAAAAAAAAAGATACTATCAAAATAGATTTGCAACTATGAAAAAAGAACAAGGAAACCTACTGAGGATGCTGTTGAGCTTGGGGGCAAGGGGCAGGTGAACTTGACTAGAATCTGAGTAACCATATGTGGAGATGTAACCTCAAAATCCTTCTGAAACTATAAATATAACTGTAACTACAAGCCAACAAAACATAGACATTCATTGTTACAGTGCTAAATCCCCAAACCTAGGCAAGCAAGCAGAAAAGACATTTCTACAATTGCCACGTGAGTTAGAGTCTCCCAGGGAGAGTGGGGAAGTCTGTTTCTGAACGGTGCCACTCTGCAGAGGAGCGAAGAGTATGTCTTCCGATGCTTTGCTTCGTGCACACTTTCTTCTTTGTCTGGTCTGCAGTAAAAGTTGATGATAATTGATGTCAGGATCTGAGGAGAAAAGACTTCGTTGGAGCTGAAAATGAGATTCCGTAGAAGTGAATGGCTAAGATTAAAGACACACAGGATGGGCCCGGCGGGAGCATGTGTTTGCGACAGAGGAGCAGGAATGCAGGGATTCCTGCATTCTCCATGCTGGTGATCAAATGAGCTCTTAGATGACTGGCCATTTGTTAGTCCTGTGTGTGTGTTGTTGTTGCTGCTGCCTGACAGAAAGAGCTTAAAATAGCAAAGATTTGTTTTGGTTCCCAGTTTCAGAGCCGTCAGGTCTTAGTGGACTGGCTACGTATTTTTAAGCTGTAGTGAAGCAGTCTTAGTGATGAGGAGGATGTGGCCAGGCCTCTGTGGCTCATGGTAGCCAGGAAACAGGAAGAGGGAAGGAGGTGGGGAAAGAATATATCCTTTGAAGACACGTTCCCAGTGACCCACTTCTTCCAACTATCCCCCCCTACCTTCTACCATCTTCCAATAATGCCACCAGACTAGGAATCCATAAGAGGATGAATCCACTTACCCTTTCCTGGAGGTCAGACCCTCAAGCTCTTCTCTCCCTGGGGAGCCAAGCCTTTGGATGATGTCCTACCAAACCCTTCCCCTGCTAACATGGGCATACTGTGGACCGTGAATCAGCAGGTTATAAGATTGCTTCTTCTGTCCATGCACCGCCTTTGCTTGAAACATTTTAATAAAGCATTGCCTCAGTTCTTTTCCTGAAAGCTTGTAGCCAGCACAGAATTGAGGTTTGGAGTTTTTTTTATTTTTTACTTTTGGAGTTTTATTTTTAAACAGGTAAAATCTTTTGTAATTTCTTAAACTTTAAGTAGAAATTCTGTTCCTTTGTATCTTGTGACCCTTAAGGTTTGCTTTTGAATTTTTTTATTATTGAATTTTTTTGTATTAATATAAAGGTGATATACAGAGGAGTTACAGTTATCTAAATCAGGTAAAGAATACATTTCTGTTTGTTTGGTTTTTTTTTTGGATCCGGTCGTGGGGCCTGAACTCTGGGCCTGGGCGCTGTCCCTCAGCTCTTCAGCTCAAGGCTAGCGTTCTACCACTTGAGCCACAGCACCACTTCCGGCTTTTTTTCTTTTTGCTTATGTGGTGCTGAGGAATTGAACCCAGGGCCTCATGCATGCAAGGCAAGCACTCTACCACTGAGCCACCTTCCAAGCCCCATGAATACATTTCTTTTTAGACAATGTAACCCATTCCCTCCCTTGTGCTTGTGATTTTTTTTAATGTTTTCATTTTAGCTCTTCTTTAAGAATTTTGCTTAATGAACTACCCCTTACACAGACATGTCCATGCAGGCGCTGTGGACAGCATCTAACTTTGAGAATTATCACTGCTTTTTCTGAAGATATGAACTCGCTCAACAGCTGCAGCAGCAGCAGCAGCAGGCTGCCTCAGGGGATGACAGCACTGTGGACCAGCAGGGTCTCCAGGTGTCTGCACCCATGCCAGTGGAGATGGAGAGCACCGAGCTGCAGCCGGCAGCCGAGCCAGTCACCGCAGACCCCGAGGCCTTGCTGGACCTGGGCCCTCAACACGTGGTGGGCACAGAAGATGGAGGCCTCACGCAGCCGCTGGCAGACCAGCCTTTGGAGGCTGATGAAGGTAGACTTAGAAGTGTGAGCTTTTGAGTGATGCTGTAGTCAGCCCACACCCCTCACACTTACCACATTCATGTTGGGATCTCCCAGCTTTTTGGGGGTCTCTGTATGTGTGTGTGTGTGTGTGTGTGTGTGTGTGTGTGTGTGTGTGTGTGTGAGAACGTCATAGAACAATATGCATGACATTGGATAGCTGTCATCCGTATCAGCTCCATCTCTCTGATTCTCACCTCAGATGGGTTTGCAGCCCCCCAGGACCCTCTCCCAGGACACATGGACCAGTTTGAAGAGCAGACTCCTCCACAACAGCCCTTTGAGTCAGCAGGGCTACCACAAGGTCAGCGAAAGTTCACTGACACTTGCAGACAGGCTGCCCTGTGCTGGGTTTGCTTTGATAACTATTGGAGGTGTTTTTCTGAAACACTTCTAAAATTTATGGTATCTTTTTTGGGGGGGGAGAGTCTGGTCGTGGGCCTGAACTCTGTGTCTGGCCGCTGTCCCTCAGCTCTTCAGTTAAGGCTAGCACTCTACCACTTGAGCCACAGCACCACATCTGGCTTTTTTTTTCTGCTTATGTGGTGCTGAGGAATCGAACCCAGGGCCTCAGGCATGCAAGGCAAGCGCTCTACCACTGAGCAACCTTCCCAGCCCCTAAAATTTATGGTTTCACACCAAATAATTTTGTCATGAATTGTGTAAATTTTTATTGCACATACTACTGTGTGGTCCGCTCAGATCTCCTGGATGTGACTTAGTCACTTAGAGTGCCACACAGACCTCTTCTAGTTCTCACTCAGTAGAAATGTCTCTAGATACCTTTTATTTAACATATTGTGGAGCTCCTTTTGTGATCTGCTTCAGGCTTCCCAGTGACTGACACATACAATCAACAGACTCCGTTTCCACCTGTGCAACAACTGCAGGATTCCAGCACACTTGAGTCCCAGGCCCTGTCTACAACTTTCCACCAGCAGAACTTACTGCAGGTTTCCAGCTCGGACACCATCAATGTGGTGCGTGTTTGCAGAAGGGGTGCATGGCTCTCGCTGCTCAGCAGGGGCCCTCTGTCCTCTGCTGTAACCTTTTCCTTTGCTTGCTGAGAGGGCCTGTCTGTTCTCATACCGTTCAGGTTAGCACGTGCGGAAACCTTGCTTTACAGCACACAGGGCTCCCTTCATCCCCTTCTCTCCCCTCTCCTTCCTTCCCTCCTCTCCCCTTCTCTCCTGTCCCCCACTCTCCTCTCCTCTCTCCTCCCCTCCTCTCCTGTCCCATTCTCTCCTCCCCTCCCCTCTCCTCTCCTCTCCTCCCCTCCCCTCTCCTCCCCTCTCCTCCCCCTTCTCCTCCTCTCCTCTCCTGTCCCATTCTCTCCTCTCCTCTCCTCCCCTCTCTTCCCTTCCCCTCCCCCTTCCCCTCCTCTCCCCTCCTCTCCTCTCTCCTCACCTCCTCTCCTCTCTCCTCCTCTCCTGTCCCCTCCTCTCCTGTCCCATTCTCTCCTCCCCTCCCCTCTCCTCTCTCCTCCTCTCCTCCCCTCCCCCTTCCCCTCCTCTCCTCTCCTCTCCTGTCCCATTCTCTCCTCTCCTCTGCTCTCCTCTCCTTCCCTCCCCCTTCCCCTCCTCTCCCTTCCTCTCCTCTCTCCTCACCTCCTCTCCTCTCCCCTCCTCTCCTCTCCCCTCCTCTCCTCTCTCCTCACCTCCTCTCCTCTCCCCTCCTCTCCTGTCCCCTCCTCTCCTGTCCTATTCTCTCCTCTCCTCCGCTCTCCTCTCCTCCCCTCTCCTCCCCTCCCCTCTCCTCTCCTCTCTCCTCCCCTCACCTCTCCTCCCCTCTCCTCTCCTCCCTTCTCCTCTCTCCTCCTCTCCTCTCTTCCCCTCCCCCTTCCCCTCCTCTCCCGTCCTCTCCTCTCCTCTCTCCTCACCTCCTCTCCCCTCCTCTCCTGTCCCATTCTCTTCTCCTCTCTCCTCCCCTGTCCTCTCCTCTCCTCTCCTCTCCTCTCCTCCCCTCCCCCTTCCCCTCCTCTCCCGTCCTCTCTCCTCTCTCCTCACCTCCTCTCCTCTCCTCTCCTGTCCCATTCTCTCCTCTCCTCTCCTCCCCTCCCCTCTCCTCTCCTCCCCTCTCGCCTCCTCTCTTCTCCCCTCCCCTCCTCTCTCCTCCTCCTCTCCTCTGCCCTCCCCTCCCCTCCTACTCTCCCCTCTTCTCCTCTCCCCTCCTCCTCCTCTTCCCTCCTCTCCTTCTTTTCTCTTCTCCTCTCTTCTTTTTGGAGCAGCTTGTTGTAGTTTTTACTCAGGCCTGTAGTGGGACTGAACCCTGGGGCGTGGGGGAGCCCAGCAGACCCTTTATTAACCTAGAAGTGGAGACGGGTATTACTGAGTGGGTACTCAGCTTAGACTCTGCAAAACTTTCAAAACCTGCCTAACCATAAGCCCAGGGAGGAGATTGCTTGCCAGCCCAAAGGCACACAAGTGGAGGTGGGCTTCAGCAAGAACAGTCCTAGAGAGGAAAATGTGATCCCAGGGACAGGGCTAGTGAGAGACGGGGATTGGGATTAGAGCCCAGGTTGGATTCCAGAGCAGGAGCGTTTGAGTGGCTAGGCTGGCCTGCTGTCTGCAGCACAGTCTGACCTGTGGCCACCAGCCCAGGCTGGAGCCATCCCCACCTCCAGGCCCCCTACTAGTGAATGGGCAGAGCCTGACTCCAGCCCTGAGTCCACCCTACACCAGTGAGCACCGAGGAGGTGATTTGGGACCCCATGTCCCCTGGGACAACCTTGACTCATACTACAGACCCTGCTCTTTTCTTAGAACATCTTAAGGCTGCTTAGGTGTCCTCAGGATGATGTGGCCTTTCCTTTTTGGCCAGAAGCCAGGAAGTTGGAAGAGTGTTGTATAAGAGAAGGAAAATAAAATTAATGTTGATACATTATAAACACATATTTCATTATTTAAAACAACTCCTTTTCTTGGAAATGAAAACGATAGACCAATTAACAGTTAATCTCTTTAAAACCTGTTGGTAGCTTTGTCAGTGGCGGGTGTGAATGTGTCAGCAGTTTCTCTAGCTGGAAGCCACACACTTGACCGTGGTGCTGAGTGGTGTGGAGAGTGTGCTGCCTATAACCTGCCTTTCTTTCTCAATCAGTGGGGTGACCTGTAGAGTGTTTGTGGCAGTAAAGTGAACAGATTAGGAGTGGGATGTTTTTTAGCAGATGTACGGTAGGCAGATCGCTACTCTTTGCAGCCTGCCTTGGCTCTGCACAGACAGTGAGCATTGTGAGCAGGATGTATTCCTCGGGGTCAGAAGACATTGTCCGGGCTGTCTTCAGCACTGCTGTGCGCTGTCGTCTGTGAGCTCAGGGGTGAGGGGAGTCAGGGTGACTGCTCTGTATGTGGCGCTCCTCCCTTCAGAACAGGATTTTTATCAGCTTGGAGCCTGAGTGCGCTTTTGCTGTGCTGGAATGCCTGAGATGAGCAAGTTAAAGCGAGAGGACAGCTTCGCCTCGGTGCCTCCTTTCCAGAGTTTTGGTCCATTTCCTGTGGGCTCTGTTGCTTCTGGTCCATGGCGAGGCAGACATTATGGTGAGGAGTATGTGGTGGAGCAAGATGCCCTGCCAGGGCTACCCCTCCAGTGAGCTGGCTTTCTCCACGCCACCTGCAGCCAGGACACAGGTTGGTGTCCTCACCTTTGGCATCTGGGCCTCTAGGCGCCCATTTAAGTCCCAAATTAATAACTAGTGTGAGGCAAGTGGATGAAACAGTTACAGTTTTTTAAGCCTTGAAAAAAGAGTTTGTATTAGATTAGTAGAAAATGAATTTACTTCTCAGATCTGTGTTAAAATTAAGTTCATCATGTTCTGGCACAAATGATTGCAATAGACTACTTACAGTTTCTCTTATTCCCATCCATGAGCATTTTTATCCTTAGCTCTTAGTTGTGTCATTTTGTGTTTGTTTATAAGGTATTCATATGCTTTTCCTTTCTATGTCTGTTTTAGACAACTCCTTTGCTTCCGGAGTCATCCCAAGAAGAGCTGGACTTACAGCCCCAGCGTCCCCAGTTCCTAGAGGACAGTGAGGACCAGAGCAGGCGCACTTACAGGTAGCTGCCAGCCAGACCTGGCTCTTCTGCTGAGTGCTGATTGCACACAGGGCTGTGCAACTCCATTTTCTCAGGCTCTCTAAGAGAGTTCATTGTCACTCCTGCTTAATGAAGGTTCCAGGATGTGCCTTTTAGGGTTAGAGAAAGCTTATAAGTACATAATTAGAAGTCATTAGATACTTTATCTGCTGAGGAGTTATTATAGCACTTACTAATTTGGAAATAATAAAATTCATTTAAAACTACAGGTAACCTGAGCAGAACTTGATTTAGCAAATCAAGTTTTGCTTGAATCAAATTTGGTTCAGCAAATACTCATTGCCACTGTTTTTCTGCTGCATATTTCCATTGCCTTAAGTGTGGGACAGTGTGATTTCTGTCTGTCCATTTGCTTCGTGAGATGGCTAAAGCTAGATTTCTGTCCTCTCTTCTCATGTATTATGCTAGTGATTGCCCTCTGCGCAGAGCTGGCACGATTAGAACTCGTACGCTTTAGTGGTCACGTGCTGAACAGAGTGTGCACTATTGGAACTCTGTGTGTTAGTGATCGCCCTCTGAGCAGAGTGGGTACTATTGGAACTCTGTGTGTTAGTGATCATGCTCTGTGCAGAACGGGCACAATTGGAACTCTATGTGTTAGTGATCTCGCTCTGAGCAGTGTGGGCACTATTGGAACTCTGTTAGTGATCATGTTCTGTGCAGAGTGGGCATGATTGGAACTCTGTGTGGCAGTGTTCGTGCTCTGTGCAGAGTTGGCGCTATCGGAACTCTGTGTGTTAGTGATCATGCTCTGTGCAGAGTGGACACTATTGGAACTCTATGCGTTAGTGATCACGCTCTACACAGGGAGGTCAGTATTGGAACTGTGTGTGTGAGTGATTGTGCTCTGAGCAGAGTGGGCACGATGGGAGCTCTTGTGTGTGATGATGTTCTGTGCAGAGTGAGCATGATTGGAACTCTGTGTGTTTGAATTTTAGGTGTGACTATTGCAATAAAGGCTTCAAGAAATCTAGCCACTTGAAGCAGCACGTGCGGTCACACACGGGGGAGAAGCCCTACAAGTGCAAGCTCTGTGGGCGTGGCTTTGTTTCATCTGGTGTCCTCAAGTCCCATGAGAAGACTCACACTGGTAATGGTCTCCTTATGCCTTTTTGTCTTTTATATGGAGCTCTATGGAGATACAGCCCCTGTACCGCCCAGTTCTCTAATAGTATGTAATTCAGTGGTTTTTATGATGTTTAGAGTTATGCAATCACCAGCACTATAATTTTAGGACTTTTAAAAAAATCATACCCCAAAAGTATTCTATAACTATTAACAGTCACTCCCCACATTCCTTAAATGTCCCCAGGAAACCCATGGTCTACCACCGCCTAGTAAATTGGTCTGTTTTAGACATGGCCTGTGAATAGGCTCATACTGTATGTGGTCTTTGGTGGCTGTTGTCTTTCAGGCATACAGTATATTTTAAATTTGTCTGAATAGTGGCCTGTATCAGCACTGCATTCCTTTTTATTTCCCATGTCATTCCTTTGTGTGCATAAATGTTTTAGTTTATCAAACTTTTCCACAGCAGCTACACGGTTACCTGTTCACCAGCAAATGTATTAGGTTCTGTTTCTCCACATCTTTGCTTGTCACTGCCTATCTTATTCAGACATAACAAGATGGACTGTCTTCAGAGAGTTAATGACTCAATATAGATATTATTTGCATATCTTTAGTGCTGATGACTTTTTTTTTTTGGTGCCTGTCCTGGGGCTCGAACTTGGGCCTGGGTGCTATCCCTGAGATTTTGCTCAGGGCTTAGTAGTCAGCTACTTGAGCCATAGCTCCACTTCCATTTTTTTTTTTTTCTGATGGTTAATTTGAGCTAAGAGTCACACAGAGACTTTCCTGCCCAGGCTGGCTTTGAACTACAATCCTCAGATCACAGCCCCCTAAATAGCTAGGATTACAGGCATGGCTAATTATTTTGAACTTTCCATGTGCTTAGTGAAAAATGACTAGAGACTGGGAATGTGGCTTAGAGGTAGAGTGCTTGAAGCACTCTCATATGCGTGAAGCCCTGAGGTCCATTCCTCAGTACCACGTACATAGAAAAAGCCAGAGGGGTTCTGTGGCTCAATTGCTAGCCTTAAGCAAAAGAAGCTCAGGGACCAGGCCCAGGCCCTAAGTTCAAGCCTCAGGACTGGAAAAAAGAAAAAAAGAAAGAAAAATGTCTACTAATCCTGTGGCCATCTTTATATTACATTATTTGTCTCCATGTTATGGAGTTGGTAAGGTTTTTTTGTTTTAAATATACATTGGTTATTGGATGTTTGACAGATGGTTTCCATGACTTGTAATTAAATATATTGTCAGTGTAATGTAGTTAGCTGTTTAATTTAGTGTACGTATTTAACGTACTGAAAATATACATGCTGACATCAGGTATTTTTGAAAGGATGTGTATAGATAAACCGAGGGAGAAGTCTTAGGGCCTGGCCCTCCTGCAGGTGACTGGTGGGGCTACGTAAGGCTGTTAGAAGGATGACTGGGAGATTGGTGATGTGCTGGAGGCACCGTGGAACTGTTTGTGACTGATGAGCTGTGGATAGAAGACAGGGCCAGGTGCTTGATCTGAAATGAGGCTGGGGACAGGGCTTCCAGACTTTCTGGGGTCCAACTTAATCTACGTTACCTGATGAGGCAGTGATACAAGATGAGGTTTAGAAAAACACTCCTGGGGCCAAATCTACCAACTTTTGTTGGTAGCTGTGAATGACCAAAGACAGAGACATCTTAGTTTGTTGTGAGCAGCCTCTTCCTGGAGGCTGTTCGTTTTGGTAGAGAATGTGTATTCCCAGCGACATGGCAAGTAGAGATAGGAGGATCACAGGCCAACCTAGGCAAAATGTCAATGACAGCCTATCTCAAGCCAGGCAGGATGGCATGTGGTTGAAATCCTAGTTTCTGAATCCTAACCACTTGGAAGGTGGAAGCTGGAGGACTGAGGGCTAAGGGATATTATAAGGTCCTAGGCAAATAGCAAAATCCTATCTGGCAAGTAACTATACACACTGAAGGGCTGGGGATTGGGTCAAATGGTAGGATGTTTGGCTAGCACGCACATGGTCCTGAGTTCAAATCTCAGCACTGCCAAAGAAAACGAGAAAGAATATAGTAAGATGTACTCTGTCCTGTGTTCTTAAACCAATTCTTTCCCTAAAATTCACACAGCACAGTGAGTGAGCTGTCCTTTGGGAGCTCTTGAACGAGTACTTGCTTTTGAGTGCTTGCAGTTTTTCTTGATACTCTGTCTTGGCTGTTGTACAGGAGTAAAGGCGTTCAGCTGCAGCATCTGCAGCGCCTCGTTTACCACCAATGGCAGCCTCACCAGGCACATGGCCACACACATGAGCATGAAGCCTTACAAGTGCCCGTTCTGTGAAGAGGGATTCCGCACTGCTGTTCACTGCAAGAAGCACATGAAGAGACACCAAATGGTCCCCTCTGCTGCGGCCACCACCACGGAGACAGAGGCAGCAGGTATTCAGACACCCATGTAGAAATGGGCTAATGTCCAAATCATATCTGGCTGTGTCATCTTTAAGCTTTAAAATGGATCTTACATGCCCCAGAGAAAGACATCAGAGAGGCTGAACAGAAAGCTGTGCCTTTTCATGGCTGCACTGTCCCTGCCTTGCTCATGCGCACAGTTGGGGGTTGATGTCTGGCAATGGCAGCGTGCTGGTGTGCTGTTGGGGTCTTTTGAATCTCCTTGTGATTGAGCTTATTGGACAAAGGCTGCAGAAGCACAGATTATGCCTGGCTAGGCCTGGAGCCCAGCACATACCCTCGACTGGCTGTGAAGTATGGAGAGCCACATCTGTTCTTTCCTGGAATCGGAGCTAGCTCTTTGCTCCCCGACCATGTGTGCTTATTCTTGGCCATCTGAGGGGCTGATTTCATGAATCCATCCAGTTTAAGCAAGTGAATCTGCCCAACTCCAGACCATGTGGGGTGGGAGTTGATTTTCTTGCGTAGGCCTTTTTGTACCTGTCAGATAATTACCTTTTCGCAGATTCCACAGGGGATATCACAGTGTGAGACTCTGCTCACTGTGTCTCTTCTCTAGAGACACCAGCTCACTGTTGCCTTCCGGGCCGTCCTCACACCTCTGAGGGCGTAGTCCCTGTCTCCCCTGGGCTGTCACGGCATGGTGGTACCCGGGTTAGTCCAGCCAGTGTCGTGGGCGATGGCTTGGAGGCAGCACAGTCAGTGTTCTGCAGAGGCCCCTGCTTGTCTCCTCGGTTGCTACAACCCCTCCCCCTGTCTGTGTCATCACCTGACCTTCAGGTCACAGGCCTCAGGTCCTCATGTGCTACCCTGGAATGCGAGCGCTGCTGCCTGCTCCTCCATTCTGAGGCAACAGCTCCAGCGAGGACATTGACAGGCAGTGGCTCAGCAGCCCTTTCCGCAGACAGCTCAGAATTACCTGGAGGGTGCTCTGTATCTTTCAGCCTGGCAGTTTGGTAGTGCCTTGATTCCCAGTTAGTCAGTGCTGCGTGAGGTGAGGAAAGCAGCTTCTCTCCCAGGCATTATTTCTAGAGCTCTGAGATTTGGAGAGAGATATGCAGCAGGAATAACATGTATGTGCAGTTACGTGTTCGTGGGTTCACAAAGCTGTGATTCCAGAGGGTTCCTCATGCTGCCACATACACATTTATAAATCACCTTCCTTATTGGCACTCGGCCACAGGAGAAAAGTTTCCTGTTTAATCCCAGCCATACCCACACCCAGAGTCTGGCTGTAAGGAATGATTGATTTACTGTAAGGATTGAGCTCTAGGCCTTATGTTATTAGGTAAATGTTCTGTGCTCTTTCACTTCACCCACATGCCTAGTCCTTTGCTTTCAGTTTGTTCAGCTGGGGTCTCATGCTAATATTGCTCGGGCTGTCCTGGAATTCGGTTCTCCTGCCTCTGCCTCTTGAGCATCTGGGACCGCAGGCATGTCCTGCACATCTGGCTTTGTGGTGGGACCTGCTTCCTGATGATTCTGTGACAGTCGGGTTTCCTCTGTCTGCTCTGTGCAGGCCTCCATCATGGCCTGCCTCTCCTCTTGAGGCCTGTGCCAGTCAGCGTTGTCAGGGGCACTGTCTGTAAGCTGCTCCTGTGACTTTGCGGGCTTTACAGGTGAAATATGGCACTGTAGTGGACTGTATTTTCTTCTTCTGGAACTTGCACCAAGTGGATATTGAATCTCTTGACTCTGTCTTGTGTGACAGACTGTCCCCTTCCCACCTTCCCTCCCATCTTTTCATGAGTTTCTAAGAAAAGATGATGCAGGTGAGAACTTCAGCTTTTATGGGGATTCTGAATTATTTTCCTGTGTGCTGTGTAGACACGTGTATGGAGGATGAAGAAGAGAACTCTGACAGAAGTGCATCAAGAAAGCCTCGCCCTGAGGTCATCACGTTCACAGAGGAGGAGACAGCCCAGCTGGCCAAGATTCGACCCCAGGAGAGTGCTACGGTGTCAGAGAAGGTGCTGGTACAGTCTGCTGCAGAAAAGGACCGCATTAGCGAGATGAAAGACAAGCAGGCAGAGCTGGAAGCAGAGCCCAAGCATGCCAACTGTTGCACATACTGCCCCAAAAGTTTCAAGAAGCCCAGCGACCTGGTGAGGTGAGGGAGCCACTGTCCTCCCCGGTGGGCCCAGACACCGAATGTGTCTGCCCCCCATCAGCAGACACGTTACCTGTGAGCCTGTGGGAACTCTAGTAAGCTCATTCTTGGCAACAATGAGGAGGAGGAGGAGGAAGAGGCCTGTGTTCTCTGCTGATTGCTTACGTGTATTTATGGTGGTAGTGGTAAAGGAAGTGACAGCTGATTGACGTGTTGAGGAAGACAGGTGCTACACATGAGGGGTCCCTGCTCAGAGGACCACTGGTCCACGTGAGCATCAGGACACGGAGTTGAGCAGGGTGTTGGGAATCTGGGTGATAGAAGGAGGAGCTCAGCACTGTCCAGGCCACGGGAAGAGGCTGAGTTCAGCCATTCATTCCTGCACACTATTAATACTGTTTCCCTATACATCCGGGGGATGCTTAGTTCTGCTAGCAGCTTTTTTTTTCTTTTGCACAATTTTCTTGCTCCTTGTCAGCTCCTTTGTTAATTTTAATTTTCTTCTCTTTTGGCTTAAGATCTGGTCTCATCTGAGACCAGATTGCTTTGATTTATGAGGTAAGAATGGCTCATGCTTCTAATCTGCCATCTAGCCCTGCCTCCAGCAGCTGAGATTGTAGCCCAGCAGCTTAATAACAGGACTGTGACGACCGTAAGATGACTAATGATGGACAGATTGCCGCAGAACTAGACGGAGAACTTTCCCTGTGTCCCGTGCTCTATGAGGTGGAGACGGGCAGTGGGGTGGGAGGTGTTGAATGGGGCTGTTCCAAGGGGAGTGTGAGGGTTCTGGATGGCACAACTCCTAGGGCAGGGCAGTCAGGGAGCCTTGAGGTTGCTTTCAGCAAGACAGAAGGTGTGGACAGAGAAGGCCTGGAAGGTGTGACGTGTCTCAGGTCAGGACAGGAAGTCAGGAACTTGGTGATATGATCTGAAGTCAGCTAATAAAAGAATAGGATGCTAAACTACAGAGGACTGTTAAAACCAACAGGGAGGGCTCTCTCCTGGTGGGAGTTTGCGGAGAGCACAAATGGGACAATTGTGCTGGACACATTTGACAGTAGGGCAGACAGTAGTGGAGACAGCTCTGAGCCGCACAGATGGCCGGCCAGCCCTGTGCTGGTGAGCAGCCAGTAGCCACAGCTTTGTGTCCTGTCCAGGCTCAGTCTGGGACAAGTCATAATAGAACACATCATAAAGCAAGGTGGAAGATGTTCTGCTCCCAAGAGATAATACTGTTGACGGTTTCCTGTGTGTGTTCAGAAATGCCTGTACATGTCCACCGACATGAATGTCTGCGATTCTGGTGTCCATTTCATTTTTACCTATCAGGGAGCCCTCCACATCTTTCCTACAGATGTTGAATTTATAAACTTCTCTCTGTGTTCTGCTGCCTGGATACCCCAGCGTTGTGTCCCAGGCCTGCTGGTGGCCATGAAGTGCTCATAGTGATATAGATGAGACACTGGGGCGTGTCCTCTGAGCAGCTCCTGGCTGGGCTCACGGCTCACTGCCGCACGTGGCACACCCCAGCGGGCCTGCGCTCATGCACTTCCCTCCGTCCCACGTCTGTTTGAGTGTGCAACTCTGCCACCCTGCTCTTTGAATCGAGCACACTTGTCTGCCTGTGCATGTGTCTTAGCTGTCTGCTGTGTTGTTAAGAACAGGCCGTCACTTCACACTGTGAGCTGCACTGCCTTTGTTTATCTGGAGCTGGTTGTTTTACTGGTTTGTAGGACACTTTAATTTTCAAGGAAATTAGGCCTGTCTTTATTAATTTTATATCTATCTTTGTTGTTACTTAGATTTGTTTATGTTTTTTTCTTTGACTTCAGAGTGGTAGGAATTTCTAATGACAGGGTTACAGATGGAGAATGACAAGATCTCAGGAAGGGATTTAAAGATCAGAGATACTGGAGTATGAGAGAATTTAAAAAGAAAAAACTTTTTTTTTTTTTTTTGGGGTCCAGTCATGGGGCCTGAACTCTGGGCCTGAGCGCTGTCCCTCAGCTCTTCAGCTCAAGGCTAGTGTTCTACCACTTGAGCCACAGTGCCACTCTCAGCTTTTTTCTTTTTGCTTATGTGGTGCTGAGGAATCAAACCCAGGGCTTCATGTATACAAGGCAAGCACTCTATCACTGAGCCACCTTCCCAGCCCAAGAAAAACTTTTTATATGCCTGAGTTATGAATCTGCTGAGGTTTCTTCCTCCCCCCCCCTCCCACCGCCAGTCCTGGGGCTTGAACTCAGGGCCTAGGCACTACCCCTGAGCTTCTTTTGCTCAAGACTAGCACTCTACCACTTGAACTACAGCACCACTTCTGGCTTTTTCTGTTTATGTGGTACTGAGGAATAGAACCCAGGGCTTCATGCATGCCAGGCAAGTACTCTATCACTAAGCCACATTCCCAGCCCAAGAGATTTTTTTTTTTTAGGCAAAGATTCAAATATTATTTCCATTACTTGCAAAACTATTGGTAGGCAGACTTCTTTTTTTAAATATGTATTTTATTGTTTCTGTAGAGGTGATAGTAGATGAGACAGGTTATGGAATATTTTTGGAGAGTGAAGCTTAAAAGTTTTATTTGGCCACATTTAATTAGAACTTAGTAATGTATTATTTTTATTAAGATGGTTGTAAGTTTTCAAATGTAAAATTTATAAATGCATGCAGTTTAAAAGAAAATCACTTAATTACAAATGGTTTTTGGACAGGCATGTTCGCATCCATACTGGAGAAAAGCCATATAAATGTGATGAATGTGGAAAGAGTTTCACGGTGAAATCTACCCTTGATTGCCATGTGAAAACGCACACAGGTAAGGAGCAGCTCCTGTGATATCGGTAGATGCCAGGTGTGTCATATCTGAACAGAACTTTGCCTGAGTATTTTCAAAAATTATAAAGTGTAAAATTCAGGACCTACAAAAATATATATGGGAGACTTTTTATTCTTGACAAGGAAAATGAGCTAACTAAGAAAAAGGGAGTAGATCTCAAAAGTCAAGTTGCAAATCATCTTCTTATACAGGCTTACAGATTTTCTTCTCAAACGTGACCTTAGGCAGGCAGTCGGCTGTGGTTTTGTAGAATCTGAGAACGTGGTAAGTCTGACAGTAGTCACTGGGCTGTACACTGTGAGAAGAAAATCTTATGAAGGGAGAACTCACCAGTCATTTTCCTTGCCTTTCTTCCACCGGATTTGAGGACCTACGAGTCAGTTGGACCCATCCAGATGGCATCCTCCATGCTTGAGTCCACCTCGCCGTGCGTCAGTGTGGTCACAGAGTGGCTCTCCTCCTTCTGACGAGGGACCCATCTGTGAGCCTGATGCGGGTGAGGCAGGCTGCGTCCTGAGCTGTAGGCTCCTGCTCTGAAGGGGCTCCGTCACTGCCGCTGTGATGCACCAAGACACACGTGTGACACACAACCCTCAGAGAACATTAGAGAGGGTTGAGATGATCAAACTGTTATTAACAGTTCAAATTGGAATAAATGGAATCTGTGCAAAGTTCTACAATGCTTTCCTGATGGGCTCTTTGAAACTGTATGAACAGACATGGGAACATTTAATAAGATTCTTTATTGTAAGTTGAGTGCTGGTGGTTCACACCTATAATCCTAGCTACTAGGAAGTTGAGATCAGAGGATTGCAGTTTGAAGACAGCCTGGGCAGGAAAGTCTGGGAGACTCTTAATCTCCAATTAGACAGCAAAAAAGCTGGAAAGGGGAACTGTGGCTCAAGTGGTGGAGCATGAGGATAATGCCCAGGTCCTCAGTTCAAGCCCCAGGCCTGGCACCACGGAAAGAAAAATTCTTTTTGCAGCTGCTCTAGTCAGTGCTTGAATCATACTATGGTTTCCAGATACTGAAACTCAGAGAGTTGTGAAAATTCAGAATTACAGTTATGAACAGCTCTGGCAGTTTCCAGAGCTGCCGACATCCCGCTGTGATGGGTCTCTACCGCACTTCCTGGTGGTGTCTGAGCATCCACTCGCCTGCCAGGGTGTCTGTGAGGGGCCAGTCACCAGCCCCCACTCATTCTTGTGGCTTTTCACAGGTCAGAAGCTGTTCAGCTGCCACGTGTGCAGCAACGCCTTCTCCACGAAGGGAAGCCTGAAGGTCCACATGCGCTTGCACACGGGAGCCAAGCCTTTCAAATGTCCACACTGTGAGCTACGCTTCCGCACGTCAGGGCGGAGGAAGACTCACATGCAGTTTCATTACAAGCCAGACACGAAGAAAGCCAGGACGTCTGTGGCACAAAGCCCTTCGGAAGGACTGCGGCCTGTGAACCTCCTCAATTCTTCCTCCCCTGACCCCAGTGTGTTCATCATGAATAACTCGGTTCTGACAGGGCAGTTTGATCAGAATTTGCTTCAGCAAGGGCTGGTGGGCCAGGCTATCCTCCCTGCCTCTGTGTCAGGTGAGGGCTCCATGGGGGTGGACTGGCCACTCATAGTGCATGTCCCCTCATCTGTCTCTGGACTGAAGAAATACCACTTGTAGCAGCTAGAAAGCTCCCTTCCTTGAGCCTTTCCTTTGCAAGGCAGCAGGAAGAATTCACATTTCATTGTTCACCCATCCACTTCCCATTCCTTTTCCCATCACATTTACTTCTTAACACCTCAACACATCGATTAGCTTTTGTTTTTGTTTTTGTCAGACGTGGGCCTGAACTCTGGGCCTGGGCGCTGTCCCTCAGCTCTTCAGCTCAAGGCAAGTGCTTTACCGCTTGAGCCACAGCACCACTTGCAGTTTTCTAGTGGTTTTTATTGGAGATAAGAGTCTCATGGACTTTCCTGCCCGGGCTGGCTTTGAACCGTGATCCTCAGATCTCAGCCTCCTGAGTAGCTAGGATTACAGGCGTAAGCAACCGGCGCCCAGCTAGCTTTTGTTCTTAAACATTTCTTTTCCATCATCATTCCCCAAAACTTAGTAATGAGATACGTACTTTACCCAAATACAACATTTACTACAGTGCCTTACCCAGTTGTCACAGGGACCCATGGTGGTTAGAAAGACTTAAATGTATTCACATACTTAGAAATAAATGTTGCAGCCTGCTAGTGTTTAGACATTCCTGTGTGCCTTCCCTTTGAAAACAGCTGTGTAGCCACTCCTTAGTGGTTATTCTGTTTTAAATCTTGGACTAACTGGTAGGTGCTTTTGAGCCATCTTTCTGATATGTGTCAAAGAGGTTTATTTCAGTGTTTGATTTTGTTCTGGTTCAGTTAGTTAGCATAGATATTAGTATTCTTTAACTAGGTCATATTAATACGACATATCAGCCTTGCATATTTATGTAAATAGGGAGCTTCTATGAGTTCTTTCAGACTTTAAAGCATTTCTGACTCTCGGTCCTTCGCTTTTCTTCCGGCCAGCCGGTGGGGACTTGACGGTATCTTTGACGGATGGGAGCTTGGCTGCCCTGGAAGGTATCCAGCTACAGTTGGCTGCTAATTTGGTTGGCCCAAACGTTCAGATTTCTGGAATTGATGCCTCCAGCATTAATAACATCACGTTGCAGGTATGACAGCTGCCATACTTTTTTGCCTCGGTATTGCCTAAATTACATAGATGGTGTCACATTTTCAGGACACATGTCTCTTGCTTTTCAGATTGATCCAAGCCTTTTGCAGCAAACTCTACAGCAGAGCAGCCTGCTCACGCAGCCACTGTCAGGGGAGTCCGGCATGGCCTCACAGAGCAGCTCTGTCCCAACTACTCCAGACAGCACTGTCCCAACCAGCGTGGTCATTCAGCCCATCCCAGGCCTGTCCTTGCAGCCCACGGTGACCTCTGCTAATCTGACCATTGGCCCACTGTCAGAGCAAGATTCTGTGCTGACCACCAGCAGCAGTGGTGAGGGCTGGACACTCACACACTCCAGCAGCTGGAGAGTGTTTTGTGCTGATGACTGCATATTTGATTAGGACATAATGTAGCCATTTTCTTTGTAAAGCTAAAGCTCTAAGAATGAGTTTATCTTAATTAACAGTGCTCATTCAGTATGTCTGTAGATTGCTATATTCCTAGATTTACTTTTCTCATGCTGGCTTCCCTTTTCATCCTAAGGCTTTTGAAAATAGTCTTTATTACTTATTAGTCATTGTTTTATTGCAGCACTGGGGATGAACTCTGTGGCTTTGTGCATGCTAGGACAAATCTTTTTCCATGACGTAATTAGAGATGATTGCTAGTTTATTTTAGCCTTTATCTTTTTGAAGTAACAATTTGTAAATGAGTAAAGAGAGCTGTGTTCCGTGGTGGAGCTTAACTGTGGTTTGCTGTGTCTGATAAGCAGGAACCCAGGACCTCACTCAGGTGGTGACTTCACAGGGCATCGTGTCTACCTCCACAGGCCCCCACGAGATCACCCTGACCATCAACAACTCAAGCCTCAGCCAGGTCCTGGCCCAGGCCGCCGGCCCCACCGCCACGTCATCTGCGGGGTCTCCCCAGGAGATCACCCTGACTATCTCTGGTGAGTAAGTTACAGACTAAATGATTAGTGCAGATCATCTTGCTTGGTTCTCTTTTCCACAACACTCATCTCTGCCCAAGTCATGGCTCATTTAATTACTTTCCAGAGTTGGCTACTTAGCTGTTCTTGTTTAGCAAAGTGAGGAATGGCTTTCTGATTCTTATGTTCCATTCATCAAGGAACGTAATTGGTGTGAGCTGGGCACACCAGGACACAATCAAGCATGATGCTTGCCTGCTTAAGTCTTCAGAATACTACTCAGATTACGTGGAAAAAGTTAAAGTACATAGACAGAAAAGCCATTTGCTACGAAAATGTCCTTAAAACTGGATTCTGCAGGTCAGCCACTGAGCCTTTGCTGCCCTGTGTCACAAGGCCCAGAAGGGAGCCTGGGTGTGGGCATGGCTCATAGAAGAAAAGACCAGTCCTTGCCTGATATGTCACAGGTTCGTCCTCTCAGCACTAACTGCTAGAGGAAATATGGAGAGGCTTTGTTGTCCTTTTGAAAGAAAACCCCTATGTCATACAAGACATGTTAGTACATAAAAGCTCGCACAAGCTGTCTTGGTAGCATGCCTTCCAGAACACATAGATGTGAGGGCTGAAGGGAGAGGAGGAACAGAGCTCCCCAGGTTGCCCTGCTGCACTTGGAACTTGGTGCTGAGCGTCCTGAGCACCCTGCTTGGTGCTGGGAGTTGTCCGACTTTTCCTCCTTGGTGGTAGCAGGGGTATCATTTCCCTTCTTCCATGCTGCTCTTTCTCTGCCATTTACTGAAGAAGCAGTGTGTACCCACCTGTAGAGCTACACACTCAGAAAACAAAAAAGTGAATTCTGGTGCTGTTAGATGTGCAGGAGCCGCTGCACAGCTCTTCTCACGCCCCGGGAAAGTGGCTTCCCCACTGTCCAGTGACCTTCCCTTGCCTCTTTCATAGAGCTAAATCCTGCAAGTGGGACCATCCCTTCGTCCACACCAATGTCGCCCTCAGCCATCTCCAGCCAGAACCTGGTCATGTCCTCTTCAGGCATGGGGGGTGATGCGAGCGTCACGCTGACCCTGGCTGACACTCAGGGTGTGCTGTCAGGAGGCCTGGACACGGTCACGCTCAACATCACCTCGCAGGTGAGTGTCCTAGGGGACCAGAGGTGCCCGTGGAAACATCAGCTTCTTCTGTGCTAAGGCTATACTGCTTCCTTTCACAATTAATACTTTTCTCACTAAAAAAGTAATATGGTCAATGTAGAGATCCATAAAATTCCAACCATTAATTTCACAGCGCAAATAGAACTAGGATGGACATGTTGGTGAATATGGCTATGTATGCAAGATAACCTTTTCCACATTCTGCATAAATAAGGTCATGTGGCACATTGTGACTATCTTCTTTTATGAGTAATTTTGATAGAGCTGAACTTTGTTGCTGGTGGTAGTTGTAGGGCTTGAACTCTACACTGTCCCTGAGCTTTTGTGCTCAAGGCTAGTATTCTACCACTTTGATCCATAACACTTCTGGGTTTGGGGGGATTGGAGACAAGAGTTTTACAGACTTTTGTGCCTAGGCTGGCTTCAAACCATGATCCTCAGATCTCAGCCTCCTGAGTAGCTCGGATTACAGACATGAGCCACCAGCAGCCCGCATAAAGCAGAACATTTAATGGCTGTACAGCATTTAATTTTGTAGATGAGGCTCCTCAAAGGAATAGTTATTTTGGAGTTTACTAAGTCATACAGAATTGTGAATTCCTGCCAGGTAGGCTCCATCAAAAGCGTGTATCTTTTACTATCCTGCCTCGGCTGAAGGTGCCTGGAAAGTTTTCAGAGTCTCACCTAGAAAACTCATGGTAATAGGTCAGCTTCTCAGATGTTCACCATCAGCACTGAGGTGCAGGTGGCATGAGTGGCTTAGCAGTGCTCTGCAGTGGAAGTGTTGCACGCGAGTGTGGAAGCAGAGCTGAGAGAGCCAGACGCAGGAGTCACCACAGGTACGTATCACAGAAAGTCCAGGAAAGAAGGCGTGGGCGTTTAGCCCAGCGGAAGGGCGCCCACCCAACGCGCGCACAAGGCCCTGGGTATGGTCCTCAGCCCTGGAAAAAAAAAAAAAGTCCAGGAAAGAAAATGGTCCTAAAACCATGTTAGTAGTTTACTTAAATTATGTTTTCCCATAGTTTCTGCCCAACAGGCAAAATTGAAACCATGCCAGAGTATTGAAGTCCAGAATTAATCCTAACTACAAGAGCAGCACTTTATGTATTCATGACAGGAATTGTACTTTATGAGTTCTTATAATGTTTTAAATGAAGCTACTTATTGTTACAGATAATTGACCAGGTGAAAATATTTAAAACTTGATATGTAGACATGTATATGTGGCTTTGGGAGCTCAGTAAAAAAATCAGGTCAGGAGCTGACAGGTCTTATTAAGACCTGTGGTGTGGCCAGAGCCTGCACGGGACCAACAGCCCTCTACGGCTTCAAGGACCTGTGGTGTGGCCAGAGCCTGCACGGGACCAACAGCCCTCTCATGGCTTCAAGGACCTGTGGTGTGGCCAGAGCCTGCACGGGACCAACAGCCCTCTCATGGCTTCAAGGACTGGGGACGTCTGGTCCTGCTGCTTGCAACAAGAAACCTCAGTAGTTTTGTGTGGCATAGTAAGACTGCATAGTAAGAGTGCCTTAAAGGTGCTCTCTTTTTCACATTTACATCAGTAAATGTCATTTATATTCTCTAGTGTCACCTGTAGTTTTTATGGTGGAGTAATATCCTCTGCTGCCATTAGGTGTCGTGGTAGACTGGAGATAATTACACTGAGTCAATAACCCAGGGTGTAGAAAGATAAATACTGTGTTTTGTCTCCATACACAGGATTTGAACACACTGACTTGATGAAGTATAGAGAAGAATATGAGCCACTAAGGCTAGGAAGGTTGAGGGAGGAGAGGGAGACTGCACATTCGGGTGGCATGCATCCTAGAGTACTGCAGTGTGGCAGGTGGTGCCCTTCAGAGGGAAGGTGGGAGGATCCCCCACACTTAGCTTGAGAGCCTACATGTTCCTTGACATTTCAGGGTGCTCTGTGCACAGGAATGCTGGTTTATAACCACGTAGCTTAGAGACTCGCATCTGAAGAGGTCCACTGTCCACTACAGTGTGTGTTTGTGGAAATCTTAAAAAACGTAAACAGTTCAATGGCTAGTTAATAGGGAATTGAATAGTGCTAGAACCACAATGCAGATGGTATTGTACAGGTGAGTGTTTTTTAACATTTTAGAGTTTTGTTCACAAAATCTAGTGCTAGGACATACGATTACCTTGAAGAGCAGCCTGGTGTCACTGGTGGTCGCTCCCACATTCTCCTCCTACCAGGTCTTCCCTAAACCTTGCTTTTAGTTCCAGCTCCTGGCAGTTTCTCATCTCCTTTCTGTCCCTGCAGGTTTGTTCTGGCAGTTGATATAATCGGAACAGCAGCAGATAGTTGTTGTTTCCAGGTCGCAGAACCCCACCAAGAAGACGACCGAGAGTCAGACTCTACAGCTGTTTTAAGGTTTTATGTAGACGGGCTGCAGCTCGGGCCTCGTCCTACACTCTGACACAGTGGAGCCTAGGAGGAGAGCCCCGAGCTAAAGATTTGCAGGGTTTATAAAGGCACACAACCAACCAGGTGTTTGGATTACCACCACGTGTTGCTCTGCTAGACAGAATTTGCTGATCTTAGGTTTAATTTAAACAAGCAACAAGTGGTCACTGCCTGCAAACTTTAACCCTTCATTCCCCTCCTTGACTTATGGTCCTGAGACACAATCTTATGGCTCTGGTCCAAAACTACACTCCAACAGTTCTCAATCTTGACTAGTCCCTCTCTGACCTTAGCCATGTTGTCTTTTGCTATTCAAAGTTCCCCTTGTTGTTGAGTGGCTCCCAGGAGTTCTGCAAATGATCAACAATACCAATAACAATCAGTCCACTTTTCTTTACACGGAGTGGTTGGGTAGGATGCTTGGAGACTTCCCATGTTTCCCCATGGCCATCCAGGGCAAAGGGGTCAGCCGGTCTGGCGTGGGAGCAGTGGATCCAATCAGCAATGCCATCCACCTTAAGGGCAGTGAGTGTAGCCAGTAGCACCATGTAAGGTCCCTTCCACTGTGGTTCCAGAGATCTCAAGTTGTGCCTTCAAACAAACACCCAGTCCCCTGGTTTAAACAAATGGGGGGTAGGAATAGAAGCAGAATCATATAATGCTCTAAGCTGGGGCCACGTACTCTTATGCACCAGCTGTAAATAGTCAAGCTTACACAGAAATTCAGTGTCATCCAGATGCTAGCAATTCAGTCTGAAGGCTAGGCATAATGGGTAGAGGGTGTCCATACATTATTTCAAAAGGAGTAAAGCCAAGCTGATAGGGTGAATTTCTTACTCTAAACAGGGCAAAAGGAAGGAGTGATACCCTGTCTGAGCTAGTCTCCAAGGACAATTTAGTTAAGGTCTCTTTTAGAGTCTGATTCATTCTTTCTACCTGCCCTGAACTCTGGGGTCTATAAGCACATTGCAATTTCCAATCTGTACCCAGTGTCATGGCTATTCCCTGACTTACTTTTGAGACGAAGGCCGGTCCATTGTCTGACCCGATGGTGGATGGGAAGCCATACCTGGGTAGGATTTCTTCCAGGATCTTCTTAGCCATGACGTTCCCGGTCTCATGCTTTGTTGGGTAGGCTTCAACCCATCCTGAAAAGGTGTCTACAAAACTAGCAACTATTTATATCCAAATTTTCCAGTTTTAATTTCTGTGAAGTGTACTTCCCAATACACACCTGTCTATTTTCACGGAGGCGAGCTCCTTTTGTAACCGGTTGATTGAGGACGCTGGTGAGCTGACAGGCTTTTACAATTTTTAACAATGTCCTCGATGAGTTGATTTCCTTGCCTAATTTTTACTTCTGAGTGTCGGAGCAAGTCCTGCATTCTTCGGGTTCCCATGGAACCCGATGGATTCTCTTAAGAATCCCCTTGTTCAATCTTTGTGGCAAGATAAGTTTCCCCTTACCAGTTTCCCATCAGTCTTTGTTTCCTTCTCTGTCCTGGCCATGGAAATTCTCTTTATCCACTCCAAGTCTTCTTGGGAGTACTGAGGCTCAGGAGGCAAAGCTCGTGGCTCTGGGTCTACTAGAGTCAGTACTTCCACTCTGGGCTGGAGGGCCGCCTCCTTAACTGCCTGATCGACCAAGTTATTTCCTTTGGTTATAGAATCAGTTCCCTGTTGATGGCCAGGACAGTGCATAATGGCAGTATTTGCTGGTTTCCATGTGGCCCGGATGAGGCTTAAAATTTCTTGTTTGTTTTTAATAGTCTTTCCCTCAGCTGTCAGCCGACCCCTCTCTTGGTAAATGGCTCCATGTACATGCATGGTGGCAAAAGCATACCAACTGTCCGTGTAAATGTTTAGTCTCTTCCCTTTTCCCATCTGTAGGGCTTTTGTTAGTGCCACTAGTTCTGCTCTTTGTGCAGACGTTCCCTGGGGGAGTGCTTCTGCCCACACTAACTCAGTGTCCGTGGTGACTGCTGCGCCCGCATACCTTTTTCCATCTCGAATGAAACTGCTGCTGTCTGTGAACCAGGTATGCTCGGCATGCGATAGTGATGAGTCCAATGAGTCTGGCCTCTTTTCCTTGGCCCTGTCTCTCTTTTCACGTTCAATTTCACGTTCTCTGTCCTTCCTTTCCTGTCTTTGCTCCTCTGTGTCTCTTTTATTGTAAACCTTTTCCACCGCGGCTACTAGATTCCTAATAGACTTTTCACCAAGTTTGTCTGAGCCTGCAACTTTCGTTTTATGTCTGGTGGAGCTTGATTTATATAGGCAAACATAATCATCAAGATCATACGGGGTATATTGACTAAAAGCTTCCATGAGCCGCTCAAGATATGCTGCCGGACTTCCACTTCCTCCCTGCCTAACATCATAAACCTTGGCCATATTAGTAGGTCGGCGAGCCACTGCCTTGAGACCTGCCAACAGAGCCTGGCGGTAGACAAGGAGTCGCTCCCTACCTTCAACCGTATTGTAGTCTCATGTTGGTCAGATCTCAGGAAAATAGACAGTGATCAGGGCAGGATCTGTGATGGGTGTTACTGTGGGGTCAGGGATATGTTTCCAGGCTGCCTCTCGGATACGATCTCTCTCTTCAGTGGTAAAAGGACCTGTAAAAGCTGACTGCAATCATCCCAAGTGGGCTGATGAGTAAAGAGAATAGTTTCAAGCAAACCAATTAAATCCTGGGGGTTCTCAGAAAAGGGGGCATTTTGGGTGTGCCAATTGTATAGATCACTGGTACCAATATTGGAGTTGCTGTTGACCATCCGCATCCACAGGACTTACAGCGTGTAAGGGAAAAACAGCTGCATTAGAAGGTGGGTTGATCCCACGGCTTCATCGAGTGACTGGCCCCTCAGAAACTTTAAGGGCAGGTGCCGAGGGTTCGGCTGCTGGTTCTATAGCTCCCTCCTCCTCTTGATCATTCTCAGGTTCTGCAAAAGAAACCTGGGAAGGAGAGTATGGGGGAGGAAACATTTCTTCTTCCAAGTTATCTCCCTGAAAAACTGGGGGTACCTTTTCTTTTCCTCTTTCTCAGCTTCTTTTTGTAAGTCTAGGGGGCTAGATGGAGTGGTGCCCATGGTTTCCAGTCCCGTCAGTTGTTCAGTCCAAAAAACAATGAACAGTACAAACAAGACACACGCAGGCCTGACAGTAAAAAAAAAAAAAAGCTTACGAAGTGGAGATCTCCCGAATTGGTCCGCTCACTCCTGTCATGGCGGGGTTCCACACCCCTGCCCCACAGCAGAAGGAGCGGACCCACAGTGCGCAACTTGGGCCTTGGTTAGGAGGTCCTCTTGGTCAGTTCCGGCCCAACACCGAACTGCCCCACGCCCCACAATTCTCATGGTGGGGTTCCAAGGATCCCCCCTGCCCCCCAATTCACATGGTGGGGTTGACCCCCCTCCCCCGACAAGACGTTCTGGGATGTCTCCCAGTTCCTTCAGGGTTGTCGTGCAAGCGCATCCGCTTTGACAACACTTTACACAATACGAATCAGAGTGGCCATCCTCACAAAGTAAAACAAAAGTACAATCAGACAATGACAGGACAAGACAAATTAACAAAGACAGCGCTGTTTTACCTTTGGAGTCTGAGGTCTCGGGAGTCTTTGGGGGGATCCCGGATGAGCCCCCACTAATATGTTGTGCTTTGGAGGTATCCCAGATGAGCCCCCACTAATATGTTTTGCCCAGGTCACAGGACTCCCACCAAGAAGACCACCGAGAGTCAGACTTTGCAGCTGTTTTAAGGTTTTATTTAGACGGGCTGCAGCTCAGGCCTAGTCCTACACTCCAACACAGCAGAGCCTAGGAGGAGAGCCCTGAGCTAAAGATTTGCAGGGCTTATAAAGGCACACAACCAACCAGATGTTTGGATTACCACCACGTGTTGCTCTGCTAGACAGAATTTGCTGATCTTAGGTTTAGTTTAAACAAGCAACAAGTGGTCACTGCCTCAAAACTTTAACCCTTAAGTAGTCTTCTGTAACTGGCCTTGTGCATGATAGTTTCCAGGTTCATTCGTGTTATGATGTGCTTCTTTCCTTCTTAGTGATTCCTGAATATTTCTACATATGGATATACCACAGTAATGATCCCTTATATGGATATACTGCATCCTTTAGTTGATGGATGTGTGGGTGGCTTCCACTTAGGGCTATTATAAGTAATTCTCTCATCACCATTTTGTCTACAGAGTGTCCACTAGACCTGATTCTTTGTTTTCCTTTGGTTGTTGGGTTGAGTAGTGAATCTTGCTTTCCAGAGTGAGTGCACCACTGAAGAGCTTTGAAACTACTACCAGACTTGATAATGCTACAACTTCTAAAATGGTCATCTTTTGCCAGGGTCAACAATTCCCCACCTTGCTCACGGATCCCTCGGGCCAAGGTGGAGCAGGCTCACCGCAGGTCATCTTGGTGAGCCACACCCCGCAGTCCTCTTCTGCTGCTTGTGAAGAAATAGCCTACCAGGTATGATGGGTCCTTTGACCCACATGGACCTTCAGCGTGGTTGTGGCCTGGGAGGTCGGGCTGCCGGGAGATGCCTACTAGGAAATGTAAAGTGCATCAGTGGCATCAATGATGCAGCCGCTGCCACAAATCTTCTAGAAGCTTCTGTTTGCCCATTGGTCAGTCTTCACAGAGACAGTTATACCTTCTATTTTTTTTCTTTTTTTTTGTCAGTCATGGGGCTTGAACCTGGGGTCTGGGTACTGTCCAGGTTAATTGGTAAATTAGAGATAAGAGTCTTGCCTGACCAGGCTGGCTTCAAAACATGACCCTCCCTTCTCAGCCTCTTGAGTGGGTAGAATTACAGACATGAACCACCAGCACCTGTCCTGCATTTACTTCTTTTTGCAGACTTTTCTGTAACACTTTCACTTGGTCAGTCATGGTCCTTGAACGCTGGGCCTGGGCGCTGTCCCTCAGCTCTTCAGCTCAAGGCTAGTAGGGCTCTACCACTTGAGCCACAGCGCCACTTCCAGTTTTCTGAGTGGTTTATTGGAGATAAGAGTCTCATGGACTTTCCTGGCCTGGCAGTTTGAACCACGATCCTCAGGTCTCAGCCTCCTGAGCAGCTAGGATTATAGGCGTGAGCCACTGGCACCCAGCTTGTTTTTTTTCAAGTCTCTTTTTCACATACACACATGTGAATTTTCACAAGCACATGTATTTGTGAGTCAAGACCTAGTTCTTGTTTGACTAATTTTTTCCTTAAAGTGCGTGTATAGCGATAGACACCTTTTATTAGGAACAAATCACCTGGAGCCAGGGCTGAGGAACCTTTTCTCCTTTGAGGGACATTTAGGTGCTCATTGCATCATTCTTGGGCGCACAGCATTATCAGTATGGGCAGAAAGAAGGGCTGTGGGCAGCATATGAGAAGCACATGTACCAAGTCTAAGGCCCGTGGTCTGGATGATCCCTACCCCTTAAAACTGTTTTCCTTAAAAGAGTTGCAGTTAGCTGTGTACAGAAAGCACATGCCTGTAATCCTAGCGCCTCAGGAGGCTGAGATCTTGAGGATCATGGTTCAAGTCCAGCCCAGGTAGGAAAGTTCGTGAGACTCATATCCCCAAACACTACCAAAAACTTGGAAGTGGAACTGAGATAAAAGTGGTAGACTTGAACAAGAAAGTTCAGGGGCAGCACCCAGGCCCTGAGTTCAAGCCCCAGTACTGGCACACATATACACAGAAAAAGCCCAGATTAAAGCACAGGTGATCGGTAATCTCAGAATTTATGAAACAAGTGTGAAACTTACTCTCAAGCCAGGCACTCATGGCTCATATCTGTAATCCTAGCTACTCAGGTGGCAGAGGTCTGGAAGATTAATGTTTGAAGCTAGCCTGGACAGAGTAATCCATCTCCATCTCCAAAATTATAATAAAAAAAGCACGTCTGGCAGTGTGGCTCCAGTGGTAGAGTGGCAGCTGAATAATCTAGACAAGCAAGCTTGAGGTCCTGAAAACAAACCAAAGTTTATACCTAAACAAATGAGTTTTGAGCAAGACAAAGATGTTCTCACAACAGAATTAGGTTCAACTAACACTGCCCAGTCCCCATTTTGGCCTCAGTCACCAGAGTTGAGGCGCTCTCCTGGGGGTACAACTTTAACCACTGCTGTTGGGTTTCCTGGGACTATGCTCCAGCTCTGTGGCGGACCACAGAGACCCGAGGGATGCTGAGAGATGGTGCACCTTCACAGTCGTGAGTCCTGTGTCATAGCAGCAGGGGCAGGAAGGCAGGCAAACAGGTGGAGTCCCCAGGACTCGGGTGTGCAGTGAGGCCCAGTCGCCCTCCCACACCCCTGTGCTGTGTCCAGCTGCCTCTCTCTCGCCCCAAGTGGAGTGGCCAGTCTCTGTCTCTGCCTCTCCCTCTTACACATATGCGCGCACAGGCCCTGTCGTCAGTGTGGTGTCACTGACTGCGCTCCTTGTCCCAGCAGTGTTTGAGGACACTGTCAGTTGTTGATGGCCCGTCGGCGAGGCATGGAGTGCCCTGTAGCTGGTGTGCTGACAGATGGAGGGACACCTACATCCCTGGGCTGCCAAAATCAGCTGTTGACTGTAGATCAGTGTTACCTGTCCGTCTGGAGTTGCTTGTGGTCGTGTCGGCATTAGCAGGGTGTTTGTGTTAGTGGAAAGTGTGCTGTGTGGAGGAGTGCTCTCAGCCCCTTTCCATACAGCACTGTGACTTCTAATTGTGTCTCCATTGAGGAACAGGTAGCGGTGAATAAGCTTATCAGGAAGGCAGCAGTGGAGCTGGACTTGAACCTGGTTAGTCTGGCCCCAGAGCTTCCCATTAACCACTGTTGTAGCCAGCACATCCCATAGACTTATGGCTAGGAGCAGGGGAAAGAGTGCGGGACACCCCAAGCTCCGCAAGCCAGCGGCAGCTGGTGGCAGCGAGCTCAGAGACCACAGCACGCCCCTCACAGCGCCCCTCACGCCCCACAGGTGACGGACGTCTCCACCCACCTGGCCGCCAGCAGCCAGCCTGAGAAGGAGGGCCCTGCCCACCAGTGCCTGGACTGTGAGCGCAGCTTCTCCTCGGCCGCGGTGCTGATGCACCACAGCAAGGAGGTCCACGGCAAGGAGCGCATCCACGGCTGCCGCATCTGCAGGAAGGCCTTCAAGCGGGCCACACACCTCAAGGTATGCCAGGAGCAGGCAGGGCCGGCATGAGAAGCATCTCCCACTCTTCTGAGGAAAGGGTCAGTGCTACAAACGCATGTACAAGGTTCTGTCACAGTGTTGTGTTATGCACACATAAATTGAATTCCATATTCACACTCAGTACAGTTAAAAACAACATCAATACCGTCTCTCTCCCCAGGCCATGGCAATGTAAAGGTTGACTATCATCTGTTGTTGAGGCTATAGTGGTTCAAACTTTCATGACCTCTGGTGACTCCAGTGTGGCAGGATGGGAGTGAAGTGACACCTCTTATAAAGGGCAGCGCCCCCCCGGGGAGCCAGCCTGCACATGGCCACACAGGATGGAGGGGCATGGGGTTCTGGCTGCCTGGCCACGGAGAAGTGGCACGAAGGGTGGGCTCTCTGGAAGCTCCACTGGGCCCTGGACCCCTCCTTCTCCTAAGGGAAAGCATGTGGGAAGGGACAGAAACAGATGGACCTGAAGTGGAGAGTCCTGACAGTAACTGGCCAGGTATTGACCAGGTAGGAGGGCAGTGTCCATAGTCACATGGTGGGGTCTACGAAGAACATGGCACTCTCTTCCCAAAACTGAATTAGGAGAAAAATGTTGACCAGTCCAGGTTAGGTCACATCCTGCAAAAGACCCATCCAGGTCACCAAAGGCAAGGGTCTGGGGAAGTCGCAGCTCAGAGGCCTGAGGAGACATGGTGGGACATGTTGAGCTTGTAAGCATGACAAGATGCTGCTGTGCACAGCCTCCAGGGTCTCCCGTATCCAGCGCCCTCCCGGTGCACACTTCCTGTCTTCCCCGGCCCTGTGCAGTGCTCCGGGTGGAGTTGGAGGACCTGGGTGAGAGGCCCTGTCTCTGAGAGCCTGTCAGCAGTACCTGCAGGCTCTTCATGGCGGGCGGTGGGCCATGGTGTCTGGGTAGACCTCAGCCGCATGAAGGGCAGGAGAAGGGCTTCATGGGGCTTCTCTCTGGCCAGCTGCGTGAGGTCTGCGTGTCCAGGCGTCCCTCATGGCCTGTTGGGGAGGTGCTGCTGCCTCATGGGGGTCAGAGCCAGCCAGGGCTGTGGGCCTGCCGAGCAGCCATGCTCTGGTGAGACTGGGCCTCCTGTCGCTGCCAGCAGGCTGCCGGCCTCACACACAGTCACACCGTCACCTGGCTTCTGAATTGTGCTTCCAGAGTGATTGGTTTTCCCTTTGCTGTTGCAAGTGTCTGAAGTTGCCCTTGTCTAAGATACTCGTGGTTTCTGTGTATTCTGCCAGGAGCATATGCTGACACACCAGGCAGGCCCCTCACTCAGCTCTCAGAAGCCCAGGGTGTTCAAGTGTGACACTTGTGAAAAGGCGTTTGCCAAGCCCAGCCAGCTGGAGCGCCACAGCCGCATTCACACAGGTAGGAGAAGCACCGAGCTTCGTTTTACTGTTCTTGAGAAGATAGCATGGGGCGTGTACGTGTGCAGGCATATGGTGCTGCATTATGCAGGCCAGCAGGGGTGGGGGTGGGGATGGGGTGGCTGGGAGTAGGAACCTTGGCTGTCTCAGCTCAGAGTCAGCTTGCACATCTGTGTCCCCCAGGAGGTGTTCTGCTCCAGGCTCTGGGACCCTGCCCAGGTCGCCCCTCTGGTACTCCATTTCCTTCAGGTGTCTCGTGCTGGGTACCTAGGGCTTCAGTCCTGGCCTCCACCAAGCATTCAGTAGAAGTGCAAACTAGCATCTGTGCTGTAACTTCCTAGTGATTTTAGTGAGAAACAGTTCAGAGAGAAAGAGACAGAGAGAGAAAGAAAGTGCTGTGCTCCTGAAGAATAGAATGAAGGCATTGTGAAGATACTAGCATGGGTTTCAGAAGTTCAGTGACAGCTAACTGGTGTGGGTGCTAGGAGCATAGTGATGGCTAACTGGCGTGGGTGCTAGGAGTACAGTGACGGCTAACTGCTGTGGGTGCTAGGAGCACAGTGACGGCTAACTGGCGTGGGTGCTAGGAGCACAGTGGCGGCTAACTGCTGTGGGTGCTAGGAGCACAGTGGCAGCTAACTGCTGTGGGTGCTAGGAGCACAGTGACGGCTAACTGGCGTGGGTGCTAGGAGCACAGTGGCGGCTAACTGCTGTGGGTGCTAGGAGCACAGTGGCGGGTAACTGCTGTGGGTGCTAGGAGCACAGTGATGGCTAACTGCTGTGGGTGCTGGGAACACAGTGATGGCTACCCTCTCTAGTCTAGAATGGAAACTTCGTGGTGGCCCCACAGCGTGACTAGTCGAGCCCAGGCTGGGAGTGTGCTGCTGTGGGAGCTGTGTCTCGTAGCCTCCCCCGCAGGTGCAGAGCTCTGTGGAGAATCAGCTGCTGCACACCTGCAGCTTCCCTCTGGAGTGTGCTACAGCGTGCATCTGACTGCTGTGCAAGCTAGCTTCTCCAGTGTTCACTGCTACGCAAACTCTACAATTACATAGTTCAGTGTTTCCATTTGATTTTTAGAAATTACTGTGTATGTTCCTGTTTCTGGATTTTTCATTCTTTTCCTCAGTACAATGTGGCAATAGCAACCAACATACAAACATACAGTATCCTCTAGAGCTGTGCAAACTGTGGATATTAAGCTGGGATGATATATATTGATAGAGATCTGTCTATCTCTCTATAGTTTTTGGCAGTGCTGGGTTTTGAACTTGGTGTCATGCTTGCTTGTCTTGCTCACTTAACTGACACTCTACTTCTCACGCTATGCCTTCAGCCTTGCTTTTTTACTGGTTATTTTGGAGATGGAGTCCAGTGAACTTTTCTACCTGAGCTGGCCTCTCAACTGCCATCTTCTGGATCTCGATCTCCTGAGTAGTTAGGATTAGACTTGAGCCATTAGCTCTCACCTTGAATGATATCTTTAAAGATGCTCCAAGAGGAAGGCATTCGGCTTGAATCCTGTTCTTTAATTAGTGGGTTGCCTCGTTCCCTCCATTACTCCTTTGTGATCACAAATTTGCATGTTCCCAATTTGACGTGGGAACATAGGCCAGGTGCCCTCGCCTGTGAGGGATAGCGCCCCTCCCCGGTGGCCCAGATGCTGCTGCTGTGCCTGTCCTCTCTCCTGGAGGGTCATGGCAGCCTCCCGGGCTGTCCCTGCCCCCCGCCATGACCTCACTGCCCTCTGACCTCCCAGACATTGAATACATTGTGCCGTCTACCTTGCAGCAGCACCTGCGTCAGCAGTGTGACCTGCAGGGAGGTTTGCATTCCCTGGCTGGACCTGAGATGACAAGCCTCTGCTGGGGTGCTCTGGACAGGGGTGGGGAAACCCAGGCCCTGTGCCTGTGGCCCCGCCCACAGGTGGCAGGCCCCGCCCACAGGTGACAGGCCCCTCCCACAGGCAGCAAACTTTGCAACTTTTCATTTCCACAGTCTTTGCAGCAGTTAAGTAGCATTAAAAATTTTAGCATATACTTAATTATTGAGTATTTTTTTTCTTTTTCTTTTTTGTCGGTCATGGGGCTTGAACTCTGAGCCAGGGCGCTGTCTCTCAGCTCTTCAGCTCAAGGCTAGCACTCTACCACTTGAGTCACAGCACTACTTCTGGCTTTTTCTGCTTATGTGGTGCTGAGGAATCGAACCCAGGGCATCATGCATGCAAGGCAAGCGCTCTACCACTGAGCCACCTTCCCAGCCCAATTATTTTTCATTAAGATTATATTTTGTGTATTCAATTACATGTTTGTATATGGACATTACATAAATGGGAGCTACATGAGCTAATGGAAAAACCTTATGATCTAATAGAAAGTAAAAAATCAAGAAAATACAAGTTAGATCAATTATGTATAAAAGATTTTAAGAAAATAGTTATTAGAATGTAAAAAAGTTTATAATGTCAAGCTAGGCACTGGTGGCTCATGCCTGTAATCCTAGCTATTCAAGATGCTGAGATCAGAGGATTGTGCTTCAAAGCCAGCCTGGGCAGGAGAGTCCATGAGACTCTTACCTCCAATAAACCACCAGAAAAAGAAAAGGCCCCACAACCAACAACAACCGCACCCTTCTCCCCCCCCCCCCAAAAAAAGAAGATATACAGTATCATTCAATAATTTGGGTGTGTGTATGTGTCAATCCTGGGGCTTGAACTCAGTCCCTAGGGGCTGTCCTGAGTTACTGTGCTCAAGCTAGTGCTCTTCCACCAAGTCACAACTCCACTTCTAGCTTTTGGGTGGTTAGTTGGAGATAAGAGTCTCATGTACTTTCCTGCCTGAGCTGGCTTCAAACCAGACCTCATCCTCTGGAGTAGGTAGGATTCCAGGCAGGTGGCTGCCTGGCTCAATAATGTTTTAAATGACATTTTTAAATGACGTAAATACACTTTGTATGCAGTGGGTCTGATGCTCTCATGTCCAAATGACCTTCCTGCACAGCCTGGATAGTCAGTGTTCCCTGACTCCCACCGCTTTTTTCTTCTTCTTTTTACTGGTAGCAGGGCTGGAACTCCAGGTCTTGTGCTCTTGCCCAGTGCTGTTGATCATGGCTGGTGCTCCACCACTTGAGCCATGCCTCAAACCTCTGCACAGTGCGTGTGATTGACATTGGGTTTGTCTCAGTGCTGAGTGGCTCTGAGCAGTGTTGTGTGTGCGGGCGCACGGGTGGAGGACGGGGTGTGCACAGGCACACTGAGCGGGCGGGCTCTGCGCAGGTGAGCGGCCGTTCCACTGCACGCTGTGCGAGAAGGCCTTCAACCAGAAGAGCGCGCTGCAGGTGCACATGAAGAAGCACACGGGGGAGCGGCCCTACCGCTGTGACTACTGTGTCATGGGCTTCACCCAGAAGAGCAACATGAAGCTGCACATGAAGCGGGCCCACAGCTTCGTGGGTGAGCCCCGCGGGAGCCTGCGCTCCCGCAGCCCTTTCCCCCAGCCCACACCCCACCCTCCAAACCCGCCCTCCTCCCCTCCCCACTCCCACGGCATCCCCCACCCCCTGGGGACTTGGGATCTAGGGTGTCTGTGCCTTGGGGAGGCCTGTGTTGCCCTCTCTGCTGCGCAGTAGTTGTGCGTGCATTACACACAGCTGCACCTTACTCAGCTGCACCTTACACACAGCTGCACCTTACACACAGTACACCTTATACACAGCTGCACCTTACACACAGTGCACCTTACACACAGGACACCTTACACACAGCTGCACCTTACACACAGGACACCTTACACACAGGACACCTTACACACAGTGCACCTTACACACAGGACACCTTACACACAGCTGCACCTTACACACAGTACACCTTATACACAGCTGCACCTTACACACAGTGCACCTTACACACAGGACACCTTACACACAGCTGCACCTTACACACAGGACACCTTACACACAGGACACCTTACACACAGTGCACCTTACACACAGGACACCTTACACACAGCTGCACCTTACACAGCTGCACCTTACACACAGCTGCACCTTACACACAGTATACCTTACACACAGCTGCACCTTACACACAGTACACCTTACACACAGCTGCACCTTACACACAGCTGCACCTTACACACAGCTGCACCTTACACACAGTGCACCTTATACACAGCTGCACCTTACACACAGTGCACCTTACACACAGGACACCTTACACACAGCTGCACCTTACACACAGGACACCTTACACACAGCTGCACCTTACACACAGTGCACCTTACACACAGTGCACCTTACACACAGTACACCTTACACACAGCTGCACCTTACACAGCTGCACCTTACACACAGCTGCACCTTACACACAGTATACCTTACACACAGCTGCACCTTACACACAGTACACCTTACACACAGCTGCACCTTACACACAGCTGCACCTTACACACAGCTGCACCTTACACACAGTGCACCTTATACACAGCTGCACCTTACACACAGGACACCTTACACACAGCTGCACCTTACACACAGTGCACCTTACACACAGTACACCTTACACACAGTGCACCTTACACACAGCTGCACCTTACACAGCTGCACCTTACACAGAGCTGCACCTTACACACAGTATACTTTACGCACAGCTGCACCTTACACACAGTGCACCTTACACACAGTGCACCTGACACACAGTGCACCTTACACACAGCTGCACCTTACACACAGGACACCTTACACACAGCTGCACCTTACACACAGTACACCTTACACACAGTGCACCTTACACACAGTGCACCTTACACACAGTACACCTTATACACAGTACACCTTACACACAGTACACCTTATACACAGTGCACCTTACATACAGGACACTTTACACACAGCTGCACCTTACACACAGGACACCTTATACACAGTACACCTTCCACACAGTGCACCTTACACACAGCTGCACCTTACACACAGTACACCTTACACACAGTACACCTTACACACAGTGTACCTTACACACAGTGCACCTTACACACAGTGCACCTTACACACAGCTGCACCTTACACACAGCTGCACCTTACACACAGTACACCTTACACACAGTACACCTTACACACAGTGCACCCTACACACAGTGCACCTTACACACAGTACACCTTATACAGATGCACCTTACACACAGTACACCTTACACACAGTACACCTTACACACAGTGCACCTTACACACAGTGCACCTTACACACAGCTGCACCTTACACACAGTGCACCTTACACACAGCTGCACCTTACACAGCTGCACCTTACACACAGCTACACCTTACACACAGTATACCTTACGCACAGCTGCACCTTACACACAGCTGCACCTTACACACAGTGCACCTTACACACAGTGCACCTTACACACAGGACACCTTATACACAGCTGTAACTTACAGTACACCTTACACACAGTACACCTTACACACAGTGCACCTTACACACAGGACACCTTACACACAGTGCACCTTATACACAGCTGTAACTTACAGTGCACCTTACACACAGTACACCTCACACACAGTGCACCTTACACACAGCTGCACCTTACACACAGGACACCTCACACACAGCTGCACCTTACACACAGTGCACCTTACACACAGTGCACCTTACACACAGTGCACCTTACACACAGTGCACCTTATACACAGTACACCTTACACACAGTACACCTTATACACAGTGCACCTTACATACAGGACACCTTACACACAGCTGCACCTTACACACAGGACACCTTATACACAGTGCACCTTACACACAGTGCACTTTACACACAGCTGCACCTTACACACAGTACACCTTACACACAGTACACCTTACACACAGTACACCTTACACACAGTGCACCTTACACACAGCTGCACCTTACACACAGTACACCTTACACACAGTACACCTTACACACAGTGCACCTTACACACAGTGCACCTTACACACAGTACACCTTATACAGATGCACCTTACACACAGTACACCTTACACACAGTACACCTTACACACAGTGCACCTTACACGCAGTGCACCTTACACAGAGTGCACCTTACACACAGTGCACCTTACACACAGTACACCTTACACACAGTGCACCTTACACACAGTACACCTTATACACAGTACACCTTACACACAGTACACCTTATACACAGCTGTACCTTACAGTGCACCTTACACACAGTACACCTTACACACAGCTGCACCTTACACACAAGACACCTTATACACAGTACACCTTATACACAGTGCACCTTACACACAGTACACCTTATACACAGTACACCTTACACACAGTATACCTTACACACAGTACACCTTACACACAGGACACCTTATACAGCTGCACCTTACACATAGTACACCTTACACACAGTGCACCTTACACACAGTGCACCTTACACACAGTGCACCTTTTACACAGTACACCTTACACACAGCTGCACCTTACACACAGGACACCTTACACACAGCTGCACCTTACACACAGTACACCTTACACACAGTACACCTTACACACAGGACACCTTATACACAGTGCACCTTACACACAGTGCACCTTACACACAGTACACCTTACACACAGCTGCACCTTACACACAGTACACCTTACACACAGTATACCTTACACACAGTATACCTTACACACAGGACACCTTACACACAGCTGCACCTTACACACAGTGCACCTTATACACAGTACACCTTACACACAGCTGCACCTTACACACAGTGCACCTTACACACAGTGCACCTTACACACAGCTGCACCTTACACACAGTACACCTTACACACAGTACACCTTACACACAGTGCACTTTACACACAGTACACCTTACACACAGTACACCTTACACACAGAGCACCTTACACACAGTACACCTTACACACAGCTGCACCTTACACACAAGACACCTTATACACAGTACACCTTATACGCAGTGCACCTTACACACAGTACACCTTATACACAGTACACCTTACACACAGTATACCTTACACACAGTACACCTTACACACAGGACACCTTATACAGCTGCACCTTACACACAGTACACCTTACACACAGTGCACCTTACACACAGTGCACCTTACACACAGTGCACCTTACACACAGTACACCTTACACACAGCTGCACCTTACACACAGGACACCTTACACACAGCTGCACCTTACACACAGTACACCTTACACACAGCTGCACCTTACACACAGTGCACCTTTCACGCAGTGCACCTTACACACAGTGCACCTTACACGCAGTGCACCTTACACACAGTACACCTTACACACAGTATACCTTACACACAGGACACCTTACACACAGGACACCTTACACACAGTGCACCTTACACACAGTGCACCTTATACACAGTGCACCTTACACACAGTACACCTTACACACAGTACACCTTACACACAGTGCGCCTTACACACAGTGCACCTTACACACAGCTGCACCTTACACACAGTACACCTTACACACAGTACACCTTACACACAGTGCACTTTACACACAGTACACCTTACACACAGTACACCTTACACACAGTGCACCTTACACACAGTACACCTTACACACAGGACACCTTACACACAGGACACCTTCCAGACAGGACACCTTACACACAGCTGCACCTTACACACAGTACACCTTACACAAAGCTGCACCTTACACACAGTACACCTTACACACAGGACACCTTACACACAGGACACCTTACACACAGGACACCTTACACACAGTGCACCTTACACGCAGTGCACCTTACACGCAGTGCACCTTACACGCAGTGCACCTTACACGCAGTGCACCTTACACGCAGTTGCACCTTACACGCAGCTGCACCTTACACATAGCTGCACCTTACACACAGTACACCTTACACACAGTACACCTTACACACAGTGCACCTTACACACAGTACACCTTATACACAGCTGCACCTTACACACACACAGTGCACCTTACACACAGTGCACCTTACACACAGCTGCACCTTACACACAGCTGCACCTTACACACAGCTGCACCTTACACACAGTACACCTTACACACAGGACACCTTACACACAGGACACCTTACACACAGCTGCACCTTACACACAGTACACCTTACACACAGTGCACCTTACACACAGTGCACCTTACACACAGTACACCTTACACACAGTACACTTTACACACAGGACACCTTACACACAGGACACCTTACACACAGTACACCTTACACACAGCTGCACCTTACACACAGTACACCTTACACACAGTGCACCTTACACACAGTGCACCTTACACACAGTACACCTTACACACAGTACACCTTACACACAGCTGCACCTTACACACAGTACACCTTACACACAGCTGCACCTTACACACAGTACACCTTACACACAGCTGCACCTTACACACAGTACACCTTATACACAGTACACCTTACACACAGTACACCTTACACACAGTGCACCTTACACACAGTGCACCTTACACACAGTGCACCTTATACACAGGACACCTTACACACAGGACACCTTACACACAGGACACCTTACACACAGTACACCTTACACACAGTACACCTTACACACAGCTGCACCTTACACACAGGACACCTTATACACAGTACACCTTACAGTACACCTTACATACAGGACACCTTATACACACAGTACACCTTACACACAGCTGCACCTGACACACAGTACACCTTACACACAGCTGCACCTTACACACAGGACACCTTACACACTGTACACCTTACACACAGCTGCACCTTACACACAGGACACCTTACACACTGTACACCTTACACACAGCTGCACCTTACACACAGTACACCTTACATACAGCTGCACCTTATACATGGTACACCTTATACACAGTACACCTTATACACAGTACACCTTACATACAGCTGCACCTTACACACAGTACACCTTACACAGCTGCACCTTACAGTACACCTTACACACAGTGCACTTTATACACAGTACATCTTACACACAGTACACCTTACACAGCTGCACCTTACACACAGTACACCTTACACACAGTATGCCTTACACACAGTACACCTTACACACAGTACACCTTATACACAGTACACCTTACACACAGTACACCTTATACACAGTACACCTTACACACACACAGTGCACCTTACACACAGTACACCTTACACACACAGTGCACCTTACACACAGTACACCTTACACATAGTGCTCCTTACACAGCTGCACCTTACATAGTACACCTTACACAAATGCACCTTATACACAGTACACCTTACATACAGTACACCTTACACACAGTGCACCTTACACAGCTGCACCTTACACATCTGCATTTTATACACAGTACACCTTACACACAGCACACCTTACACACAGTACACCTTACACACAGTATATCTTACACATAGTGCACCTTACACACAGTGCACCTTACACAGCTGCACCTTACACAGTACACCTTATACAGATGCACCTTATACACAGTACACCTTACATACAGTACACCTTACACACAGTACACCTTACACACAGTGCACCTTACACAGCTGCATCTTACACAGTACACCTTACAGGAGGAAGAAACCTGATTTGGAGAGGCCATGAGTGGGGGTGTAGGGTTAGACCCCAGCTGGACGCCTCTCTTCTCTCCCCTCCTAGACAGGGTCTTGTGATGTAGCCAGGCTGGCCCGCCTGGTGACAGTGGTGCTGCTGGGACCATCCTGGGCTGACAGTGTCCACAGAACTTGTGGACACCCCTGTGTCCTCCGCACTCCAGGCTTTCTCTGCGGAGAAAGCGGTGGATGGGGCCGCTTTGGTGCAGCTCCTTCCCACCCTCTGCCTCCTCAGCACAGACCACGTGTGGCCTCAGTAGTCTTGGCTGGTCAGCGAGTATTGGTGCCTCCAGGGCTGACTGTCTGGAGGGATGTGTTCCGCACCTACCACTGCCCCAGCTCCTCCACACAGCCTAGCAGCAGGAGGGCTAGTCAGTACTCCGCCCTGCACGCGGGCCCATCAGGGTCGAGCACCGCACTGTGCCGAGCGTTCAAGGAAAGGAAGAAGCTCACTTCTCCCTGTAGGCTCCTTGCTTTCCTTTCTGTTGGAGAAGTCAGCTGCGTTGTTGACCTGAATTATTCATTGCTGGTCATGAGTTCACAGCCTTTACAGGAGTGGGCACGTGGAACAACACATCCTCCTTACCTGTGCAAGTGGTGGTGTGGCCGTGACTGTGGCAGGCAGACACGTGGCTGGGCTCGGGGTATCACTCAGTGGCGGGGTACACGGCGGGCTTGCGAAGGCTCCTCTCCCACAGAATGATTTACCTGGCTTTGTCCCTGGAGTGGCAGGGCTTCCTGTTTGTGCCCTCTCTGAGGCCTGCTTTCTCTGCTGCCCCAGGCACCCTGCAGGCCACCGCCGTGGTCCAGGAGCAGGACGGGGAGGAGCTGAGGGCCCTGCGTCTGGAGGAGGCGGTGCAGGAGGCGGCCGGCGAGTGGCAGACCCTCACCAACGTGTTCTGACGCCATGGTGGAGCCTGCCCGGAGCCTGCCCGGAGGACCGCGGCCGCGAGGGTTAAAAATCCACCACAAACGATGTTTAGCTAGACGATTATCTAAAGAATCATTGTCTGTCAGAGACTCACAGGAAAAACTGAGAAAGATGGAAATGTGTTGTCATTTGTCTACAAATCACTGAACTCAGGTACTACAATAGCTTCCTCTCCTCCATGGCCAGTGAATCTAGTTAACAGGAAATTAACTGGATCTTCCTATCATTGTAGTGTGATTTCTTTGTATTAGCAAAGACAGGAGTTAACAGGAAAGGTGTGTAAGGTTTCCTTTATGCTTTCTGTGATAAGAAGCCTTGCTTACAACGCATACGGCAGGTGCATGAAGTCCTCGGCAGTGTCATTACACACAGGGTGTTTCCACTTTTTATTCTGCAGTTCGAAGCTGGTAGCAACTGACTTTTATTCTACCCTAAATTAGTATAGCGGATGCCTTGCAAGATGGCTGGACCCATCTACCTCCTCACAGCATCTCACCCCTGGTTGGAAGAACGCAGGATCTGGGCGCTGGCAGGGTGGGGGCTGCCCCACAGCCTCGGCGGCGGGTCTTTGCTGCGTGGGGCTATGCAGGCCGTAGGTTGGATGCCTGCAGAAGCACAAGCCATACACTGCAAACAGGAAGTGGCAGGCATCTCTTGGGACAAGCTGTCCCTGTCCATCTCTGCAGGTGAAGGGTGAGGACCACAAGAACCCATGGCTTTTTCCTCCTCCCTAGAGACGTAAGTTTTCATTTCAGGGAGCTCTTTATTGTCACCAATGGCGCCACACAGGACCTGTCTCAAACCAAATCCCTCCTGTACTGGGCAGCGTGTGTGCCAAGCCCACAGCATTCCAAAGACGGAAGGTTCTCCACTTGGTGTTAATCCCCTTAAAACTATTTATATGTTCTATATGTAAATACATGTGTACATAGACAGCTGTATGGCCTCCATGTGGCTGAGTGGTGTATTTGTAAATAGCAGTGAGTCCTTGCCGTGGCACGCATCCGAGGCGGCTCTCCGCACACTCAGGCGGACTTGTGTGCGTTTTATTAATAAATGGATATCTTTTTCACTGTAACAGACAGCTGGGGTCTATTTTTTTCTGGGGATGATTGCTCTGTTTTCTCTTGTGGCCTCCTCCATTTCTGAAGAGCAGTTTTATTATGGTGTCCAGACTTGGTGCATCGCCACTGGGCCCTGCGGTGGGTCTAACCACATCGCTCACTTTGCGGTGGTGTCTTCTGGCATCTTTACCTAAGTAATGCTGGCAGTGACCGAAACATTTTTATGTACAATATTTAAGTCAGAAAGTTGTTAAATAAGATTACCTTTTTTCAAACAGCTTTGTGTACTGTATATTTTTTTTTAAGAAAATAAGAACCTTATTTGACCCCTCGTGATCCTAGACTTGTGTGAACCCCCAGGCCCCTAAATGTCAGCCTTCACGGGCTGTGGTCCTGTTTTCACAATAATTGTAACTGTGCAAGGGCTTTAAGCGCTCTGCTTTTAATGCACTTTTCTTTTATGATTGTGCATTCGGTAATTCAGAAGTGCTGGTTCATTTTCACGAAAAGAGTATCTCCAGGGTCGAATTTACTGGCATTTTACAAAGGTGGTGGTGTCGCTGGGTGGTCATTTTATGGTACGTGGAGCGTGGTCTCCGGTCGTCGGGAGGGGTCGTGTAGTGCGGGGTGACGGCCGGCTCGCCGCCTGCGGAGCGGGTCCTGCCCGAGGCTCTGCATTGTCTCTCCTGGTTGCTCTGACGAGCGCACGGCGGTGTTGTTCTGATCACTTCCGGTCCTAAAAGCTGCCTGTCCTGTGCGAAGCATTCCCAGGGAACTCGGGGCCGCCACCGCGGGTTCCCGCCCCGGGGTCCCCGTCTCTGCCCTGGGGTTCCCGCCCCGGGGTCCCCGTCTCTGCCCTGGGGTTCCCGCCCCGGGGTCCCCGTCTCTGCCCTGGGGTTCCCGCCCCGGGGTCCCCGTCTCTGCCCTGGGGTTCCCGCCCCGGGGTCCCCGTCTCTGCCCTGGGGTTCCCACCCCCGGGTCCCCGTCTCTGCCCTGGGGTCCCCGCCCCGGGGTTCCCGCCCCGGGGTCCCCGTTTCTGCCCTGGGGTCCCCGTCCCGGGGTTCCCGCCCCGGGGTCCCCGTCTCTGCCCTGGGGTCCCCGTCCCGGGGTTCCCGCCCCGGGGTCCCCGTTTCTGCCCTGGGGTCTCCACCGCGGGGTCCCCGCCCCGGGGTCCCTGTCTCTGCCCTGGGGTTCCCACCCCTGGGTCCCCGTCTCTGCCCTGCGGTCTCCACCGCGGGGTCCCCGCCCCGGGGTCCCCGTCTCTGCCCTGGGGTCCCCGCCCCGGGGTCCCCGTCTCTGCCCTGGGGTCTCCACTGCGGGGTCCCCGTCTCTGCCCTGGGGTCCCCGCCCCAGGGTCCCCGTCTCTGCCCTGGGGTCCCCGCCCCGGGGTCCCCGTCTCTGCCCTGGGGTCCCCGCCCCGGGGTCCCCGTCTCTGCCCTGGGGTCCCCGCCCCGGGGTCCCCGTCTCTGCCCTGGGGTCCCCGCCCCGGGGTCCCCGTCTCTGCCCTGGGGTCCCCGCCCCGGGGTCCCCGTCTCTGCCCTGGGGTCTCCACTGCGGGGTCCCCGTCTCTGCCCTGGGGTCTCCACCGCAGGGTCTTCGCCCCGGGGCCCTGCCTCCATCTCGGGGTCCCCACCTCCACTCTGGGGTCCCCGCCTCCTTCTCGGGGTCCCCGCCTCCGAGAACTGGTCGGAGGTACGTGTCGCACGTGGTGGGGACACTGGCCTTCGGGACGTCCGGGCCAAGTCCCCGCTGGGGCGTGGCTGCGCATGCGCAGTTCACCCCCCCCCACCCCCGCGGGGCGCGGGCATCGGGAGCGGGCTGGAAGCAGGCGGCGCCCCCAGGACTGGTACAGGGCCCGGCCGAGGTGGCGGGGCCTGGCGTGGGCCGGACAGCGGACCGAGGGACACGGTGCACACGTGTCCCCTGTGCGTCCCCAGTGCCACGTGGAAGTGCGTGCGCAGGCGCTGTCCGCACGTGCTGGCACGAGGCCGCGCGGGGGTCCTTGCTCTGCTCGGCCTCGCCTCCGCGCCCCGCCCCCTCTGCGCACGCGCAGTCCACCCTCGGGAGAGCCTTTCCTGTGCGTGGTTCATCTGCGCGCGTGCGCTTGCCGCGGCCGCCAGCCTGCTGGGGAGCGAGTGCTCTGTGTTCAGCGCGGCCTCCTGGTCTGTTTGCACATCAGAAGGTGAGTACTTAGTTCAGATTTGTATTGGAAATGCAACGTTGGGCCAACAGCCGCTGAGCTGACTCGGAGATAATAGAGCAGCTTTGTATTGTTTTCAGCCTCGGGCTCGGCCTGTGAGGCGGCCCAGCGGGCAGCCCGGCCCACAGGCTCGGCCCACCGACTCTGGCTGGCTTCGGAGTGCCTGCAGGCCCGGCCCACAGGCTCGGCCCGCGGGCTCGGCCCACGGACCCCGGCTGGCTTCGGAGTGCCTGCAGGCCCGGCCCACAGGCTTGGCCCAGGACCCGGCTGGCTTCGGAGTGCCTGCAGGCCCGGCCCGCGGGCTCGGCCCAGGACCCGGCTGGCTGCGGAGTGCCTGCAGGCCCGGCCCACAGGCTTGGCCCACCGACTCTGGCTGGCTGCGGAGTGCCTGCAGGCCCGGCCCGCGGGCTTGGCCCACCGACTCTGGCTGGCTGCGGAGTGCCTGCAGGCCCGGCCCGCGGGCTCGGCCCACCGACTCTGGCTGGCTGCGGAGTGCCTGCAGGCCAGTCACTGCGTGGACCTCAGCCAGCATAGCGGCGGGCTGGCCTGCGGCCCCGACCATCCATTACCTGTGCGGCCTTCTCTTCCTGTGTGTCACACCCTGGCCCGAGGACGCGTCCCGTGTCATCCACCTGTGAGGAACTAGGGCTGTAGGCCGCTGTCTTCACCACCTGCTGCCTAGTGCGCTTCCTTTGTAGGAGGCCTAGTTCTGCTGGCCGAGGGGTTCCCACTGCGGGGTCCTCCCGCCCACTCAGGATGCTTTCCCCAGTGAGCCTTGCAGAAGGGCCGGCTGCTGGGGAGCACCGGGTGTCCTTGGGTGGACACAGGATGGAGGGGGCAGCGCGTGTGCACCACGGGGCCGAGGTGCCAGGGCAGCCTTCTGACGGCTGGGCGTGGCTGCCTGCTCACCTCTGTAAGTTCACACGCCAAAGATAGCCTCTTTTCTGTGAGGCTCACAGGAAAGCTGCCAGGAGAGGACAGACTTTCCGTGCCAGTTGGAGCTCAGCGCTATGGCGCCCACAACCTCTGATTCAAGCAGACATGGGCGAACAAGTTGTATCTTAAATTGTGTCTGTATGGCTTAGGTGTAACGGTGCACGTAGGCACGATGTACGGATGCTGCGGTTGAAGGGGTCATGTGGGTTCTGTGCAAACACTAGGCCCTGTGAGTGCAGGTTTGGGCATGGGGTGTCAGTACCATGTGGGCACTGAGTGCTGCTGCCATGGCCCTGCAGGCCCCCCGGCAGTGAGCACGTGTTGGGATAGAGGCCCTGAACCTTACAGCCCACTCGGCCTGCATGCCACAACAGCCCCACCATGCCTGAGCCCCGCAACTAGGGGTTTTCAGTTGTCTCTCCCCTGCTGCGTTTGTTGGCTCTGTTCTACTTGAAGGAAAAGCTTCCTCTTCTCTCTCACTTGTTCTGGGCCTGTTGGTTTGAGCCGGTGGCTTCCTGTTTCACCTGGCTGCAATCTGTTAGCATCCTACTCACTCCTGCATGTGTCACAGGTCAAAATGGCACGGCATAGAGAGACTACATGCGCACCGCGTCCACAAAACTTTTTCCTGTTTGCTGGCAGTCCTGGCCCCGGTCCCCTCCCCTGACGAGTGTAGGCTCGGAGGGGGCTGTGGGGCGGCCCTGGCTCTGCCAGAGCATGCGCGCTCCTGTTACTTCCTGTGGTGTGGCTGTGCCTTCACCACACCCGCTACCAGCCAGGACATGCAATGAGACACCTGTGCAAACTGGGTTGCAAGTTTCTTACTTTATTTCAAAATTCAAGAACAGGGTGTGCTCCCTTGCCCCGCCGCACCGGGCTAGGGCTCCTGGAGAACAATTGGAAGGGTTTCATTCTGGAACCTGGTTCCACTTTTTTATGTTTTTCTTACTTTCACTGTTGATACTATGTATTAATGTGCATTACTTAGACCCATGCTGAACATTCAGAATTAGCAGGGGATTAACCAGGGAGGGGTCTGGGCATTCTTTGACAGGACCGGGGCTCACGCGCCGGTGCTTCAGAAGGTCTCTCGAAAACACGCCGAGTTGCAGGGTGAGTGAGTAGGTTAGGGCAGGGTGTCGGTGGGTGCTCAGAGCTCTTTTCCCCGTGGGGTCGGCCAGGCCAGCCCTGAGTCTGGGTTAGCGAGTCAGCGATGGGCAAGGCCTGATTCATTCGCTAAGGACGGGTGACGTCTAGGGGAGGAAGGGACTGTTAGCTCCTGGCGGGGGTTAGTGTGTGCTGATGGACACTGCCACTGCCAGCCGCCGCTGCTTACCCTGGCAAGAAGAGGTCACCCGAGAACTCCCACAGTCCCCATCTGAGACATGCCCTCTCCCTGGACTCTCCCTGGGCTCAGAGGAAACGGGGTCTCCGCTGTGGCTGCTCTGGCGGCCACCTGTTCACCCGCCGTGACCCAGCAGCCGCACGCTCGTCCCCAAGCTCCCGTTTCCTTGCGGGCCCCCATGGGCCCACGCATCCCTTTCCTGCCCTCTGCCACACTCAAAATCAGCCAGTGGGTGCGGGGGCTGCTCCCTGCGCAGCCCACTCCAGACTCTCACAGCTGCCCAGCCCACGCTCACGTACCGAAAGTCCCACTGTCAGCACAACCCCCCCCCCCCCCCCCCCCCCCCCGTGACTGTCTGATCCCGTTAGGAAACATAAGGCGCTGAGGAGAGAGGTCAGGAAGAAACAAAGCAAGCCTGGATCAGGACAGTCCCATGCCGTGTTCTCTGGTGCCTGAGTGGCCAGCCTGATAGCAGTGCCCACAAAAGCTGGGGAGGGGGTGTCGCACGGCAGAGTCCAGGGTGGGGTGGGGTGAACTCGGAGGGTTGTCTGTGCACTTGAGTCTGCAGAGACTGGACCGGGGTGCATCGGGGTGCTGTGCAGGGACCCCGAGGAAACGCAATCTTCCAGCAGAAAAGGACCGTGTGAACCATTTAGTCTTGATTTGCTCTGTTCAGATATTGGCTGGGGTGGTCAGGGAGGTGTTGTGGGTATGGCCCCCATGGCCCCCAGCTCCAGAGGTTAGGAAAGAGGGCATCTGCTCTAGCTAGCTAAGTGAGGCAGGGGATTAAGGTTTA